CAATACAGTGCGGAAGAGTAAGAATGCACATGGCCAATCCGAGTGTGGGGATCGCGCCCCCCCAGCGCCTCCCCCTCTGTTGTTAAATTCGACAAGCGCAACTCGTTATGTTTTTGCCGGGACATCTGTGGCTTTGACGATTGCGGGATGAACCTGGAACGAGAGCGTAGAAATCACCAGCTTGTCTTGCCAGCCCCCCCCAGCGAGCACCCTCCTGCGTGGCCCCTCGACATTGTGCTGAAACATGGACCCCCCCATTCCGCTCCTTACGGCTGCGCCGTCGCCCCTGCTTGTCGTTCGACTGGTAGATTCTCGAGATGAGACTCGAGTTAGCCTGATCGGCCAACACGTTTCTCGCTAAACTCGGAGTAGGCAGCTGCTGTGCAGTCCGGCATCGTCTCTTCCAGGAACACGCACTCATCCTCACCAATCTCATCAATACTCTGTACCTCTTGTACAGTACCAGTTTGGTCTGGTGAGGAGGGGCCTTGCTCCGAGCCCTGTCCCAAAAAATTGTCGGACAGCTACTGGGCACTTCAGATCCTAAACGCTCCCCTGTCGGCCATTGTCTGTTTAGCGGGCCGGAAAGGCGCCATCAATGACAGAGGACGGGCGAGCCATGGCACCATTTTGCAGCCATGAGCATCCGAGCTTGGTTCCACCTTGTCTGCATGCCGGGCACGAACGGGCAAGCTGCATCCCGTCTGCAGATGGGCCTTGATGTATTCGTACAGGATGTACTGTACCTGCAATGGGCCTGCCCACGCCCCCTCCAGGGCTCAGGACCTGGACGGCGGGCAGGGCGCCGGGTACCGCCCTGTACCTCTGCAGCTGCAGCAGGGTTTTTGAGTTGGAGAGCGTCAGGCACCGGAGCGCAATTCAAGCGGCGTTTCAGGGACCGGGTCATCCCATCATTCATGGCCGGCCTTCCCGCGAGCCGCCCCTCCCCTGTTCTCTCGGGGCAAAAGGGCTGCCGTCTACAAATCCTCGTGTGTTTGAGGAGCCGGCATAGACTTGGAACGAATGTGACGACTGCGGCCTTGAGGTACCTTTACCGTCACGTCAATTGGCCTCGGGGCTGTACCTACCTATTCTACCTATTGTAGGCGTGTACCTTAGGTACCTAGATACCTCACCTACTTTGGTAAGGTATGTACTGTACATGCATGTACCGCTGCGGCACCCAACGACAAGCGCAGCATTTTGCCTCATGTGCCGTTGGCCGTCCTGCTGCCTCGTGGGCGGCCATGTACCGCCAAGTACCCGAAAATGGAGTAAGCAGAAGCGTCCCGTCGGCTGCAGCCACCCCCCTCCCCACATGGTCGCCTTGCGGATGCGTCTCTCGTTATTATTCTGGCAGGCAGGCCAGGGAGGGTGGGCGCCCGAGGAACTCGCGTGTTTTGCCCTCTCTACGCACATAACCCCATGCAGCTTCGCCTACCGACCGACGCCCTAGGGCTCTCTCTCTCTCTCTCTCTCTCTGCACGCTCGAGAGCGGCTCTGAGCAATCTCCACCACGGACAAAAGAGATGGATGATTCACATGTGCTCGGTGTAAGTCGCCACAAGTGCGTGTACAGTACACACAGTCCAACTGGCAACGAGACATCAGAAGCTCGTACGGACGGATACATGTGCCCAATCGGGCCCTAGGCGGATGGCAACTCTGGCGGAGGTGGGCTGTTGCTGGCGGTGATGTCAGCGCGAGGCTTGTGAGACTCTTGGGGATAGTCAGCCGCCTTGTCTTGTGCCACATTCTCGGCCTACGACGCGGCCCCGCCGGACTCTGACCCCGAACCGTGTAGATCCCAGATGCCCAGGGCGACTATTGCCAAACCATCTTGGCTCATCATGCCAATTGTTCCATGCCAGTCCGCAACAGCACTGGACATACCTGAACATACCTGGACATACAGTAGACGACACTCGCCATCATGGACAAAGTTGGCAAATGACACCAGAAAACGTGGAGCGCAAGGCGAGGAGCCGGGGTGGAGGGGGGAGGGCCTGGAAGCCAGCTCGGCCTTTCTCGACGCTGTGCACGCACACATGCAGGCCAAGCTGCGGAGCCAGCGACTTCTCTGCAGTCATCCGCCCCAGCCTTCGGCGTGGCTGATTAGAGAGGATACGGACAAGAAGAAGAAGAAGAAGAAGAAGAAGAAGAATCATTCGCACTAGTTAGCCGGCATCCAGAGAAAGAAAGCAGACAAGAGAAACGAACCGGCCGTCCATGTTACTGGGCCATGGAACTCTGTGATCCAAGGGGTGAGACTTTGGGGCCGAGACGACCAGGCACTCTTCCGCCTCCAACTGCGGGAAACCTTGATTTGCCGTGTGCGAAGAAGCGAGCGGCGCTTGCTGACCTGTGCACTAGTGTCATCCTCGTGGCACAGGCACAGGCACAGGCACAGGCATCGTCTCCTTTGCTGTCGGCGTCACGAGGGCAGAGGGAATGGATGCGAACACACACGCGCGGTGGCGTAGTCATGGACGGGGGATCAAAGGGGGGAAGAGGCGAGGCCCATGTGTGGCTGGACGAAGAGGGACATGTAGAAGTCATCTCGAGAAATACACACACACACACACACACACACACACACACACACACACACACACACACCGGCACTGTCAGATCCGGCTCGTGAGCTGGGGGCCGAAAGCTAGACGACCGGTAAAGGGAGGGAGGGGGTTCCCCCACTTCTCTCCCCCCCACCCAAGACAGTATGAATGGGTGGAAAATGATGATCAGATTGAACCGGAAATAATGAATCCATCACAAACCATGCCCTCTGGACGTCCTGGGACAGGCGACGGCCATACTCTCGCTCACTGCCCGCCGTCGTGCGGCAGACTGGCAATTGCAAAAGGAAAACCAAAAATCAAAAACACCTAGGGCTGAGACGATCCGCGACGGGTGCCCATCTTGTTTCTGCAGCAAAGCAAATCGATAACATTTTTGGGCGAGATCTGGGCGAGAGGCCGAGGCAAGGAACGCTCCCTCTTTGCCTCGCCTATCCAGATCCGCCGGCCGGCCCCCCCCATCCGCCCCATGCCAAGGGAAAATTGCCTGTGTCGATAAGAGATGCCCCGGAGCGACCTATCAAGCGCCTCTTGGCCGCTGTCTTGCGACGCTGCGCTGCATGCATGTACACGCGCTGCACGCACGCTCAGTATGGACGTCGCAGGTACCTTGGCCTGTTCGTATTGCGAGGTTGGGCGTTGCTGGTAGTGGAAAAGGAGGACGCCGGTGAGCGCCTCGCCCGCCAAAAATGCTCCGTCGTTCCAGTGACTTGGTCGGGATGCATCACTGGTCCATTTCAGAATCGCCCGCCTCGCTGGATGTGAGTGCGTTGTGCCTCGTACTACCAGCAAGGTGGTGGTACTGGCCCGCCATGATAAGGCCCTGGCAGGTCATGGCGTGCAAAGCGCCACAGAAGGCCCCCCCCCGCCTGGTCAAAGGTGACGAGAGTACTGGTGCCTCTTCTCACGTCTTCGAGTTGCCAGCCCATCACCAAACCTCGCCGCTTGGTCTACTGTGGTAGTGCCAAGTGGTAATGCAAGGACGTGATGCCAAGCACTAACCCCAAGGTGCCCAAAAGGCCTTTTTAGAGCCCAGCCGCCAACGCACTCGGGCGCTGCCCTTGTATCCATCGGTGAGTACTTGCACAACTTCGCCTTGGATCCCTGCGCTGTTCCGCCACGCCGCGATGGACGTATGCAATTGCCCACATCAGACACCAGTCCGCATTGCTGGCTACGTACTTCTAGATGATGCGCAGAATACCGGTCAGGTTCGTCAGGCGAGTTCTGCGGCTGTTCTGGCTGGTCCTTGCACAAAGGGTGGTTGTGACTTGAGCCGGCCGGCCACCTCTGCCGACTGACTGTACGGGGTATGTACCTCGCCCAGCGGTACTTGGTCTACTGGCGTCCGGGGTGTCGCGTAGCCCCATGTACCCAAGGTGGCGTGCAAGTCAGGCCGCTCCGAGGAGCCGTCGCCGCATCTTTTCGCGCCCATGTCGCCGCCATTGGCATATCTCCTCACTGTGCCCTTGGTCTCGGGTCGCCAACGAGTATATCAAGCACGCACTTCGGTCGACTGACATCCAGAGCCTGAACAAGGCCGGGTACCGGGTTCTGGGCCGCAGGATAAAAGGTGGTGGGGGTACATACTTAAGGTACCTCTAGTACTACGAGTAGTACCTACTAGTACTACCACTTACCTAAAGTACTACCCCGCCACACCCCCCCCTGGCCAAGACGCCGCCTGTGGGTGGGCTCGGGCTGCTAGCACCGTCATCGGGAAGACGCTTCACCCCCACTGCACTCTCAGGGCTCCAGCGCCTTGGGACTAGCCCCAGGTACCTCGAGGTTTCATGGCCGCCGCCGCCGAGGTACTGTACTGCACTGTACCTCCCAGCCGGGGCGGTTTCCATGGCTGCCAGGCGGCCCACGCCCTCTCAACTGACCAAAGTCTCCAGTGGCTGTCCACCCGCCCCTACCCCAGTAAGCTTCCGCCCATCCATCCCTCTCTTCCTCTTGCTTCCTCGTGACGGGGGAGCGACATCTCTCTCTTCTCCTCCTCCTCCCACCACGCTCGTCCCGAGAGCCCATTCACCGGCTTCTTTCCTTGGCTGCCGACCTTTTTTTTTGGTTATTGTCCCGGGCCCCATTCACCCGCTGCTGCTCCTATTGTGTGCTTCACATCCATTGCTCTCCCTATGGGGGGACGCCGGCAGCCCATTGTCTTTTGTTCTCTGCCGGCCGGCTGCAGCCATTCGCCCACGACCCGACCTTAGATAAAAGCATTCGACAATGTGACGACCTCTCACTCGACAACCTTTTCTTTCAGAAGTCCAACACCCAACGCACTTCCTTCCCAATCTCGCCCTCGAACGCTCCCGATTTCCCTACCCACCGCCACGGCGATCGGCATCATCCACTTTCGCCCTTGGAACCACCCCGATCTGGCCCGGTTCGCGTTGACACGCGCATACGGCCATCATGAACTCCCTCAAGGTTCCGGAGAGTGGCCTGCTGCTCGATGGGCCCTCTGAAGGGGACTCTTCCTCGCCTCCCCAGGCCTTTGTCCTCTCTCTCAGCGACGCCGTCGTTCAGAACCTCGTCCAGAGTGCTCGCAATGGCGAGGATCTGCACCTCGCCTTGGGGAATATTCCGGTATGCTGACTCCTTGGAAAGCCACTCCTGCCCTGTCTCGGTCAAGGGCGCGTGTGTCTGCTGCTGGATGAGGCGTTGCCGAGCCGCGGCGTTGTGCCTTGTTTTCGTTTAGATGCAGTGGACATGCTGACAGCCAGGTTCACTTAGACGCTGCATTTTGGCTCCCAGTCACATGCAATCACCCCGCCCGACGATGACGTTCCGTACGACTTATACCTCACGAAACCATTCGAGTCGACGCGCAAGGCAGAGAGGCTGCCCCACACGGGCTCACTGTTCAAGAAGCCCAAGCAACCCGCCTCGGACCAGAAGAAGACCTCGGCTAAGGCTGTAAAGGACGCGGACCAAAAAACAAACGGTGCCCCTACCAACGGCAAGAGCTCAACACCCTCCGCCTTGGAGTCCGACATCGAGGCTCTCCAGAACGGACTGGCGGCCCATGATGCGGCACGAGAGAGGTATGGCCCGAGTCGAGGTCAGACTCCTGGGCGTCGATATGCTAATCATTTCTAAAAGAGCTCGCATGGTCGAGAAGCTGCCTGCGTCGAGAAAGGGGGCAGACAAGGCAAAGGGCAAGCTTTGGCCAAATTACAACTCGACGCCCAAGTCAATGCCGACATCGCCCGCCCTCAACAACTCTGCGGCCTCGCCGTCCTCGACCCCTGCCTTGGATGCCTCGCAGCAGGTGATGGAACGAAAGAAGGAGCAAAGAGTTGTGCTCGTCCACGAATTGGCCGTCAAGGACCGGACAACAGACTACTTGCGGGGGAAATGGGCGGCCAGGGAGTCAGAGTTTCGACCAACTCTGGAGAAAATGGCCGAGTTCAGCCCGGACTCGAACAAGTGGGCGATGAAGAAGCCTTGTTGGAAGGAGCTGGACGTGTGGAGATACGACTACGGCACCCAGGAAGATCGGCTGACAGCCATCGACAACGCCGTTCGACAGTACGACAAGCAAAGGCTGTCATCATCCGAAGTGGAGTGGCAAAGGCTACTGCCAAAGGAGGAGCGAGGCAAGGGCAAGTGCTTGAGTCGTCTGCAGGCCAACCTTGCCAAGGGTCCTGCGCAGCAGCCGGCACCGAAAATCAAGGTACAGCGGGCGGATGATAGCTCCGGATCCAAGGACGACGGGGACAGCCTGGACACTGACAAGCCCAAGGCCAACGGGGAAATCATGTCGAGATCGAACTCGAACCCTCTGCCCGCCAAGTCGAACAAGATCACGGCGCAGTCGGCTCAGGCCAAGCGCCTTCTTGGGAACTCCAAGGCCAAGGCGGCAGCGCAGAAGCCATCACCGACCAAGGCCAAGCCTGTGGCCAAGGGAAGCAGCGGGCGCGTCCTGTCGGCGGCCATAATCGAGAATTCGGACTCGTCGGGCGACGAGGCCCCTGCGCAGAAAGCCAAGCCGGCTTCGTCCAAGCCCAAGGACACGGTCATTGTCAAGACGAAACCTCTGCATCGTGCACCGCCTGTCAAGCAGCGGCAGCCGCCGCCGCCGCCGCCGCCGTCGCGGCCCCCCGTGAAGCGAAGTCGCGACGACGACGATTCGAGCTCCAGCTCTGGCACCCCACTGTCGAAGCGGATCAAGCCAAAGCCGCAGCCGCTGCCTGCGCGAAGCACAAAGCAGCGACCGCCCAACGCGGGCCCGGCGTCCCGCAGCGCCGGCGCGCCTTCGTCGTTGAAGAGCAAGAAGACTTCACCGACCAAGTCTTCGCCGTTGGCGTCGTCGCCACCAACCAACGCATCGGACCTGGACGAAGAGACGCCGCCGGCGCCATCCAAGAAACGCAAGGCCGAGAACGATAGCAAGCCAGGGCCGACGAAGCGACGGGTGGTTGAAAGCGTGCCGACGGACGTGCTGAGCAAGGCGCACAAGTTCAAGGCGTATTACCAAAAGTACGAGGCACTTCACTACGAGATCTCGGCGCTCGACGACCCGCCGCACGAGAAGCTGGCGGACCTATTGGACATGAGAGGCCGGCTGCAGATGATGAAGAAGGAAATTTACAAGCAGTACTCGCCCGACAGAGAGTAACGAGGATCGGGCTGGGGGCATGGACATTGGACGAACTTTGAATGCCCGGCAAGCAAGGGAGCGCTGATTTTGAAACCATTTGGCAAGAGGCCATGAAAGGCGTACAGGATAGTTTTCACCCAGACATTTGTCGGGTGCATTTGCATCAGGAATCATGGAAGGCCAGGGGACTTGCATGCATGCAGCAAGGGAGGATGAGGCGCTGGGCTGGCCAAGTGAGAGATTTTAACTCGACTTTGATACCACGAACTTGAGAAAGGCCAGAGAGGCAAATACAACGAAAGTTACAAATGGACGAAGCAGACTCTGGCGTGATGTGCCTTGAGCTCGGGACTTAAGCGACGGGCATGGGTAGAGCGCGGTGCTCGGTGGGAGTTGTCTATTAATAACTGCGAGGCGGCCAATGGCATTTGACAGGGCGGCAGCGGTAAAAGTTCCCGGCCAAGTACGGATGTACCGCGAGGTACCTTTTGTTTCCAGCAGCATGGGATGGACGGCGGAGCTCGGGGTCATGATGATGGACGGCTGCTGCAAGGAGCAGATGGTTGGAAAGACGTGTACCAATGTGTACTGTACAAAAGTATATGATGAGCAGCCGAAAACGTGGAAGAGGATGAAGGAGGCATGGATAGCTGACGGGGGGTTGCGGCTGGCACGATGGTAACGTATGACGCACATGCATCTTGTACGAATCCTTTGGGAGAAGGTACCTACGGATACTTGCCCAGGTAGCCAACCTGAGGTACCTTAAAAAGGTAAGTACTTTACTTAGGTAGGTACCTAGGCTATTTGAGCTGCCCAGCACCCGGCGCAATGTGCCGGACCGTTAACGTTGGTTAGTTGTACAGAACATGCATGCTTGTACCCGATAGGCCGGCCGGAGAGCTGGCATACAGGCAGGCAGGCAGGCAGGCACAGGCAGGCAGTGTGTAGTTGGGGAGGCATCAAGTGCAGCTCGTTTGCGGTTCTTCGTCCTCTCGGCTTGCGAAAGCATGCATGACGCGGCGCACACAATGGCTAATATTCAAGGGACAAGGACATGACGGGCATCAATGCCGAGGCATTTGATATCAAACAAGTGAAATGAATAAACACGGTACTTGGATGGGAGGGAGATGACATGCGGAGCCGACCAGCAGGGCCGGAAATCCAGTTCGGTCCACCGACATGGAGAAGCGAGGGATGCCCCTCTCTATGCTCGACGGGTGGTCCATGCAAAGGGCTACCTATTTGTTTTGTTATCGTCCATCCGCTTGACTGGGCTCCTCGGCTTACAGCGCTGGAGGGCGCGCTCGGCCCGGCCCCAGCTGAGGAGTGGAGCGGAGTGAACTCTGCAGGGCTCCGTTTTTTACGGCCCTCTCCTTGTCGTCCGTCCCGTCGCCGCTCCAGGAAAATTTCCCCTTGGCGTGTTCGCGATGTGAGGGAGAAACAGCACGGGAGTTTCGAAAAGGGAACGGAAAAAGAAAGAAAGAAAGGGAAAGCACAACGACAGCGAGACTCTTGTAAACTAGGCCAAGGCCACAGATGAGTCGTCTTCTTCAATTAAGGGACTTGCTCCCTCTCTTCCAGCAATCAAGCGCGACAGCCCGTCTTTCCTCTCCACATCGCCTCCTTTTCACCGGCCTCTCAACTCCACACGCCCAGCGCCTGTCCAGCTGAGCGAGGCAACCCCACCTCCTGCCTTTCGCTTGAATTCGGGAAAGACGGGAAGAGAAAAGAGCACAGTAAAGGGGGCAGGCAAACATGACGTCGCCCCTGGACTGGCCGCAAATGTGGCAGAAGCCGAGCTGTGCGATTTTGCTCGCCACCCTCGACGCCCTGGAGCTGAGCCCGCCCACCTGGAACCGCGAGGGCGGGCGGCCGTCGACGGGCCACGAGTCGCTGGCCAGCCAGCGCAAGGGCGAGACGACGCGGTACCTGTCGAGCATCATCAAGAGCCCGCTGGCGTGGATCGACGACGACGACCGCGAGCGCGTGTGGGAGCTGGCCAGCCGGCGCATGGCGGAGCGGTGCGGGCGGACCGCCATGGGCGAGCTGGTCCGGCACTGGCCCTTTGTCGGCGGCGGCGGCGGCGGCGAGTCCTTTGCGCTGACGGTCCGCGAGCCGGCGCTGACGGGCGACTCGCTCGGGCTCAAGACGTGGGCGTCATCGTACGTCCTGGCCCGCCACCTGCCGCGCCTGGCCGCTTCCACCACACCGTCGTCGTCGTCGTCGCTCTTCAAGCTCTTCGACGAGACCCTCGGCCAGCCGCGGCCGTCGGTGCTCGAGCTCGGCTCCGGCACGGGCTTGCTGGGCCTGGCCGCGGCGGCGCTCTGGAGGGTGCCCGTGGCGCTGAGCGATCTGCCGGGTATTGTGCCCAACCTCAAGCACAACGCCGATGCCAACGCCGCCCTCGTGGCTGCGCGCGGCGGGTCGCTGACAGTTGGGGCTTTGACCTGGGGAGGAGGGGAGGAAGAGGACACTGACCAGGGTCTTTTCGGTGTGCCCTTTCAGTTCAAGGTAAATGCAATCTCTGTTTCGCTTTCTTTTTCGAAATGGGAAAACGGCTCCCCTTTCGTCAATGAGAGACTTGATCCATAATATCATCCTCCCGAACCACGTACATATAACGTGGCAAGCATCATCCCCCGTGAAAGGGGGCCATTCCAGCTCACACTGACACGCGCCACCTTAGATCATCCTCGCCGCCGACCCGCTCTACGACGACAACCACCCTGGGCTGCTGGCATCGGCCATTGGCCAGCACCTCGCGCTGGGACCTGACGCGCGAGCCGTCGTCATGGTGCCGCGGCGCGACGCGACGACACGGCGGCTGCTCGAGGCCTTTAAGCAGGCCATGCTGGATCTCGAGGCGCCGCTCTTCTGCGACCAAGAGGACGAGCTGGCCGGGCAGGACGACTGGGTGGACGACGATGAGGCGGGGGTGGTGCAGTGCTGGCTGGGCGTGTTTTCGAGGGGGGGGACGCCGGCGAGTTTCTGCTGCTGACGACTGTGCGTGCGTCAAGACCCGTCTGCTTGCTGCCAGGGGCGGTGCGTTTTGTCACGGACGGGGGAGCACGGGAGTACAGGCGGTTGGTTTCCCATCAGGGGTACCGCCAGACATGGGACATGGGATAGACACGGGCTTGGACTTGGACCTAGACTTGGACCTAGACTTGGACCTAGACTTAGACTTGGAACTGGGCGTGGAGAGGGGAAAATACAGATGGAGCCAAGGCCAGAGAGGGACCGTTGCCGAACAAGCCAGTGCCCACGATCCTCCTTGTCTCACGCCAAAAGCGCGGCTCTGGCAGACGGGCGGGACCTGCGTGATCAGCCGTCGCCGAGGTGGTGCCATCGCGTAAGTATGTATGAAAGATGATGTGTGAATCGGCGCAAAGGAGCGAGAGGGGGAGAAGGCACGTGGGCGTCGCACAAGCAGTGCGGGGTCGCTGTCAAGGGGCATAGAGACGGACGGAGCGCGTGGAGGAGACGTGGCCGTCAACCAACATGGCAGATTCACAACAGAGTTGCCGTGATGGAGGCGGCGGGAGAAGCCGAGGCTGGAGGCGAAGACGGAGAGGAAAACGACGAGTGCGGTAGGACGCTTCCTTCTCCCCCTCGCAGCGCGGGCAAACAACACACGTGCACCGGCTGACGGAGAGCAGGAAAGACGGGACGAGAAACGAGGGCCATCTTATTCTTGTTGGGCCTCAACCATGGCCTCTTCGTCGTCGGCCGCCCGGCGTGACGTGGACGCCTGGAACACGTCGGTTTTTGCTCACGTGGCGCCTTTCTCCTGCCGGGGGCGCTGCATCGCCATGCGCGAGGCTCGTCAGAGACCAAGGGGCAGCGTTCCGTCCCGTCTGTTTGCCTGCCTGGCTGCGAGTCTCGGCACGCGAGTGAGCGAGAGACGGGGGCTGGCTGCTCTCATCGTCGGAGGGGAAGCTGCGCTGCACACACGATGCTGGGGCTTTTGGGCCTCCAGAGATGGAGAGATGGAGAGAGCGAGAGAGCGGAAGACAACGAGGTTGCAGGTTGCAGCAGTTCGGCTTGCAAGGCCAATGGCCTCGATAAGGCCCCGGGATCCCTTATCTAACTAACTATTCATCCTATGCAGCTGCGCGCTCCCAACTACTACAGCAGCGTCAATAGGTGGAGGGGGGAGACGGAGGGGTGACCGCTGCTGTTCCCTCACCGCGGCGACCATGCTTTCTTTCATGCTCTGCTTCTACGCCCTTTCCCACCGCCTATGCGGGTTTCCCTCTCGCTCTCCCGACGTCTCGCTTGCCCCGGTTCTCGCAACATATTCGGGGCACGCGCAAATCCTCACCAACAATCGCCTCGCCTCGCCGCTCCCGTCATCCCATCACGACACCCTTCAACCCTCGGCGCCGCCCCCCACGGCGAGGCCACGAGACGTCGATCAGTGGCCTCATTCGAAACGGCTTGTGCTCCCATCCCCCCTTCCCTGGCGCGTCTGTGCTTCCTTTGGAGGGGGGGAATCATCGCCGCGCGGGCATCCTGTGATTGACGGACGGACGACAGCCGCACGCTTCTATTCTTCCTACTTATTTGCTGCGCTTCTCCCTCTTCTGCCCGCTCTCCTCTCCTCTTCTTTTCGGGCCACACGGGAAAACACGTGCTGCACTCTCTCCGTCTATTGTTCTGCTCTTGAATCTGTTTTGAAAACCGCCAATAACCCAGCTCTGGCACCACCTGTTCCCTCTCCGTGCCCAGCTCTACCCTCCTCTTCCGGGCAACACTCAGTCATCATCGTCTACCTCTCTGTGCTTGACGCACTTGTTGGTGCACTGAATGCCCTCGGATCACACACTACACCCCTCTCGATAGTCAATAGGCGCCCAGGACCGGCTCCTCGCCAGAGCCGAGCCAAACATCCGAGGCCAGGCAACAACCGGCCTGTCTAGTCTCTGCGAAGCCTCTCTCTGCTCTACCGTGAGCCCAGCATGGTCGGCTCAGCAATCTACACCGACCTGGAGATTCTCTGGATCCTCGACCAGGTCCTTGCTAAAGCCAAACCTGCCGACATCCAGTCCGGCTTCCTCAACCGCTTCGGCAGAGAAATCGGCCCCAGCCAGATTCGCTATGTCAAGAACAAATATGGAAAAGATCCTCGTTTCAAGTAAGTTTTCCTTTCCACGTCTCCCAATAGCCATGATACTAATGGAGACAACCGTTTAGTAGCCCCCTGATTAACAGAAGGACGGCGACGGCTTCTTCTCCTTGTTTGGCGACGGAATCCAGAGCCGGGGCGGCTCGCCTGTCCTACCAGCAAGCGCCTTCTCGGACTCAAGGACTCGCCCATCCTCTTCCGGGACCGTTCCCCAACTTGGCACCGCCCCAAACCCAGGGAGGGCTCTTCCTGCCTCACGCGGGCGTCAGACGGCCACGAGAGGAAGACGACGATCAGCCCGGAGGCAGGCCTCAGGAAGCTGAACGAGCCCCCAAGCGCAGACGGGAGCTTCCGCCGCCGCCGAGACTGATTCTTCCCGCCGCCCAACCGCCGCAAGAGGAAGAAGAGTACGACGAGGAGGAAGAAGAAGAGGAAGAAGAAGAAGAAGAGGAGGAGGACCAAGAGGAGTCCCATGGCATTAGCCAAGATCCTGCCCCGGCCGCGCAAAAACAGTGTGTTGCTCCCGCGGAGCGAGAGACGCCGGCGCAAGACGACTACTAACCTTGGACCCTCCGCAGTCCGTCCCGGCGTGCGAGACGGGCTCACCGCGTAGCCAACGCCGCGCCTTCTCCTTTCTATGTTGCCACCGCTGCTGCTGCTGCTGCTGCCGCTGCCGCAGTCCCCCCGCCTCGGCCCGTCAGCTGGGCGCGCCTGAGCAGCCTCTCTCGCGGCAACTCGACGCCTCAGTACTGGGTCTCGCGAGCCCAGAGAGCCGCGTCTGGCAATAATGTGCCGCCGAGTGCCTTCGAGGACCAGGCCAGTACGCCTTCCTCTCGAGGTCAACCAGGGGCAACGCATTTTGAAGCCTCAAGGAATAGGCATGATGCAACCCCCAGCCACGGCCGCGCCCGCGTTGCTGGCGAAACAACCAAGCCCGCAACTGAAGGATGCCACGGTCCCGATCCCGATACCTCTCCAACATCCGCTCGTGACGGTAGCGAGATGGCCGGTGACGAGCACGCCGCTGCCGACAAGCCTCCAATCGTTGACTTGACGGGTGAGGACGTCGACTCCGCGCCTCAATACATGCCATTTCTCTACCAGGGCGGCCATACCGTCCCGGCCGCGGCGAATCTGAGCAACCTAGGCTATGAATATCAGCAGCTGGGGAACACAAGCAGCAACGCCGGATACACCACACACAGCACGCTGTACTCCCACCACGGAACGCTCCCTGCCAACACGGCAAATGTGAACAACCTCTACGACTTCGCAAATGTGCAGCCAGCCCGCCGCGTGCCGAACCAGAATCTCCAGGCCAGCAGCCTCGGCGAGGGCGCGGCCGCCTTCGGTGACGCAGCTTTTGTCGGCAACTCGGGGCCACACTTCCGCAGCGGCGTAAACACCGGCGCGAGAGGTTACGGCTACGTTAATGCCGGTGCAAACACCCAACACCTCCAGAGCTCGACCAGTTTCAGAGATGAGCCGGCGTCGCCGGGGCTCGGGGGCAGTCAAGTCGTGACTAACATGCCCAACTTGAATCGGCCCCCTGGCCCCAGCTTCGCGGGGGAATACTATAGCCAGGCCGTCCCCCAACAAGAGGACCGTGAGCCCGGAGCGAGCCGCCGTCAGGGCCATAGGGCTGGCCTGAGTCGGAGGAGTAGAGCGATGCCTCCGCCTCCGGTGCCGCAGCGCGTTGGGCGGTCCTCGCCGCAAGTAGCGGCCCCGAGCAGTGTCGGCTCGCAAGCTCGGCCCAACGAATTGTTGCCCGAGATCTTGTCCCGGGAGTGGCTCCAGCAGCGGTACTCGGAAGAGGAGAGTGGGAGGATACTCGACCAGTTCCACAATGACCCTGATTACGAGCCGTTCCCGTTCGACGATCTGCTGCCGACGCCGCGCGTACATCTCCCACAGCCGCTCTCCGAGAGGCAGAGCAGCCAGGGTGCTGCGTCCGTGCAGCAGCGGCAAGAGGCAGCCCCGCCGCGCCCTGTCGTCAGTACTGCTCCGACACCGGTGAGCGATGGCCCGGCGTGGGATCTCAGTGACGGGCAGCCGCCGAGCTCGGTGGAAGACGACAGCCCCATGGCGCAAGCCCTCGGGTTCGGCCGGGGTACTATTGCCCCCAACGACTCGCTCTTGCAGCCCCCAAAGCAGGGCGGGCTTCAGTTGGAGCAAATACTCCAGGAAGCCGAGGGCGGAGGGGCCAGGCTCGCCCAAGACGCGTTCTACAATGCCAACGTGCCCCAGGCCAACGCGCCATTTCAACGAGGCGCGCATGTGAAGGATGAAATGCCCGATCCCTTCCTCATCTCCTCGCCCATGGCCAGCGGCTACCCCTCCCTCCGGGCCGAGGGAGATAACGGCACCGCGCCCAAGGAGCCCTCGGTTGCCCTCCCCTTCGACGACCCTCTCTTCTTCGACCCCGAGGATTTATATGGGGTCGAGGACCCCTTCGAAGCCTTTGCATCGCCACCGCATCCCGAGGCGAGCGGCGAGCAGTCTCCCAAGGACCCCTCGCCCGCCCAGCAGCCCGCGACGAAGCCCGACGACCCGGCGGCGGGCTAGACGAGCTCGCCAGCTTTCAGTCGGGACTCTGTATCTTTTTTTTTTTGACGTGGTTCTTTTTGTATTGCGAAAGGCGAAAGGCGAAGGATATACCCGGTCCGTCCTCCCGTGGGCCCGCCCCGACTTGCGGCCCTCGAACCAGGACGGAAACACGTTTTGATTCTTGCGCTCCCTGTTCCCATTTGCATTGGGAACTGCCCCTATCAAAACCTCAATGACAGCAAAGTGTATGAAAACCAGCAAGTACACACCCCCAAAAAAAGGCCCAGAGTAAGAACACAGATGGAGGAGAGGGACAGCAACGCAGACCCGGGAGAAAGAGGGAAACGCGCCGGGACAGCCCTCATCGATGACGAGACCAGCCTACACACAGACGGGCAGACGAGCAGACGACTTCTTCCCCTGGGCTCGAATGCTGGCCGAACAACTCCCTCTGGCGGATTGGATTGTAAAACACACACACGCTGTTGCCGGGCGATTGCTGTGGAGTGGAGCCATCATCTCATCAGTCTGTCACGACGATGATCATGTAGAGTACACTTGCTCAGCGTACTGGGCGCAAGAGAGACAGGTCTGGTTGATTAAAAGAAAGTGATTATCTCGGCCGGGTGCTCGATGCGACATGTCCGTCTTTCGTACGTACCCCCTGACGCGCGACCTGTGCGGGAAATAAAAAGGGTATCAAGCGCATGGCGGAACGAGTAGAGAGCCTACGCCTAATCAAACCCCTTTCTTCCCTTGTCATATTGCCTTTACGCTTCCTCCTGTAACATTGAACCATCACGCCGACGACCACGAGTCCAAAATCTGGCCATGCAGCAATTTCCCAGTGCCTCGGAGGAGGAGAACCGGGGGTGAAGCTGATGGCAAGCGTGAAGCATGCATATCCCTTCCCTAGACCGCAATCATGACGTTTCTCCGTGCTTCGGCCTCTTCAACGGGAAACTGAAAGACAAATTTGAACAGCTCACGAAGGTACCCGAATCGGGGCGAGCTGCTGCTCAACGCCTGCACGCTCTTGGCCATCTCGTGGGCCGAGACTCGCTTGCCACGGACAGGAAGGGCTTGGGTGCGCGGGAGGAAGGCGTCGACCAAAATCGATTTTTTGTACTGCTGCAGCAGAGTGGCATGGCTCTGTAGGGAGCCGAAAGATCCCGGGGGCAGCCCTTGTACAAAGGCTTGAAAAACGACGGCGCCTGTGTTTGGGTCCACGATGGCGCTGCGATCAAAGCCCAGGTTCATTGCGGCTCGAACAAGGAGCATCTTGGATCGAGAAACGTTGGCATCCTCGTTGGCGGCTGTCGTCGTGGCCGTGCTCGAGGTGCGATTGCTGCTGCGCGAGTAGCTCGACATGTTGGATGCATTGCTCGACCACCGCCCCCCGCGGCTACCATCACTCGTGGTCCCGAGGACCATGATGTTGGGCAACTGCGGTGAGCGGCTCTCGGGCGAGACGGGGGTGTCCTCAAACTCTGTTATCGGCGTCTCGGGTACAGGCGGGGGCTTCCGCGGACGCTCGTCCAGGTGACCGCTCTTTATGCTCTCCCGTTTCGAATACAAGGATGATCGGCTGGACTGCCGACTCTCGCGGCCGGTCTGGTCAGGTGGATGCTGGGGAAAAAAGCTCGTCTGACTAGGCCGAGGCGTGTCCCGGTCGGGGCGAATCTGCGTCCATCCATCTCTGAAAATGTCGCACAGATCCCAACAGGCTTGCACGGCAGACCCAAGCAGCTCCTCGTCAGGCGGCTTACCGTCCCGCCGATTCTGGCGCAGGCTAAAGAGCATCTCAGCAAGGCCCCAGCATGCCCTCAGGAGCTGGTCCGTTTCCTCGGCGAGCTCGCTGCGTTGCTTCATCAGGCGATGGCACAAGGTAATGTAAAAATCCAGAGTCCTTTCTCTGAAAGGCTCGGGCAGGCCTCGGCTATCCTGTGCACTATAGAGACTAGTTGATAGAATTTCAGCCTTCAGTGGAACTTTCATTAAACAACTGGGAGGAAGACCAACTGATTGTTGAGCTCGAAGCTGACCCGTAGCACCGAGTCTGCAGCCCCGTCCCTTCTCTGCCGTACATCAAACAAAGCTTGGCAGAAATCGCGGCAGAGGTCGAGATTCGTCCGCACGTTCAGAGACCCTGTGTCATCGTCCTGATGCTCGTAAAGCCGTTGGCAAAGCTTCCAGCAGGTTTTCCATGCTTTCTCATGGGCATCCGGGGTTCCTGAGTTGCTGAAGATTCGGGCTCGGTGGATGGAGCTTAGGTTGGCCAAAGTGTTACAGAGCGTCCAACATTCCTGCAGCGCAGTGCGCAGCCCGGTCATCTCGTCGTTCTCAGTTCTCCCAGGAGGCACCTCGGAGTACTCGTCGTCGTCGTCGTCTCCTTCAGCCTCCGTCTGCTCATCGATTTCTAGTCGCCCACAATATCAGTAGCAGCTCCCAAAGGTTTAATGTGGATACATACTCTCGAGGCTGCTGGTGCTACTCGACCGCAGTCGATTGCTATCATTGAGCATATCTTGCAAGTCCTGGGCCCGGGGAGTGGCACTGTCGATACTGTATCGCACAGGCTTGACGTCTGTTGAGATGGGTGGCCGTGACGGCACAGCAGATGACTGCTTCGAGCGTTTAGAGTCTGTTCACCTTGGCCTCGGCACAGGCTTGCGGCCAGCTCACCTTCTGTAGGGTTTCCACCGACGCGACCGAGCTGCGTTCGTCGGGGTCTGGGGATGAAATGTCGCTCAACTGTTTGGACTCGGCGGCAGGCTTAGTAGAAGACTACGGCTAAATCAGTGCTCTGTTCCAAGCTGGAAGCAGTCGAGTGGGTGATGCCTACCCAGCTCGCAAAGCTTTCAGGAGCATGAATGACCGACACAGCTTCGTCGCTACTTGGTTGCCGTATGGAGTCGGGCAGGTTAGTCGCAAGCATGAGAAGCTGTGCAACCATCAGTACAAGGAGATGTGCTCTCGTATGGCTGGCTCAACTTACTTCGGAACCACGCGAAGCACTCCCATCCATCATGTGTGCTCGATGGACCTCCTCTGAGGCATCGTCCTCGATCTCAGTGGTCTCGGTCCCGTTGGAGGTGACCGGGGATGGTCCTACAATGTCGCTGGGACTCAAGAGGTTCATCGAGTTGGACGATACCCGGTTGGCCGAATGTGGCCTCAGAGAAGCCGAATCCATGGCGTAGGGTGGAGACGAACTTTTCAATTGCCGAGCGTGAGCGAACGAGGTCTTTTCGTGTCATTTCCTTGCCGGAAGGGATGCAACCTACACAGGTCGTAGAGGGGACCGAAGCCCTTCGGCATCTGCAGAGGACGACATTTCTCCCGGCCCAAGTGATGGAAAATGCAAATGTCCAGTCGACGATCGCAGAGGAGCCTCGAGAGCCATGTCGGGGTTGGGGGAAGATCCAATCTCTGCCGACAGTCAAGTTGTCGTCAGTGTCCACACCCGACCCCGTTGAGCAAGACCGAGTCGAAAAGAGGGCTATTTTTGACCCGTTCAGCACGCGCCCAAATTTCCAAGCCGCGGCAAGCTGAAACGAGGCAAGCTGCGAGACTGGGGCAGACGGGGCTATCGCTAAGCTTATGAGCTGCAGCAGGCCTACAGAGAGCCCCCGGAGGCACTCGTGGTAGCGCCGCGATGAGAGCAGCGTCGTGAGATAGCAACGAGCAAGATGACCTGCCGGAGCTTGAGACTGAGGACGAAAGCCGGAAGGTGGAGGGGCCTGTCGCGGCTTGTATGTCTGCCTGTCGACGACCGAAGTCAGACTGCCAAAAACAGGCGACCATTAAGAGTGAGCCAGCCTAGAGCGGTTCCCCAGTCGGACGAGGTGCCAAGCGCAGAGGCGGGGCCCAGTGGGGATGCGGCCTGTAGTGATGAGACTTGATGTGGCCAGGCGGGAGCAGCGCGCGTAAGTGCGTCTGATCAGGCCTCTGACGAGGGACCCTGCGGCGGGCCGGCGTGTGGCTCCCGCAGAAGAGCAGGCCTGCCTTAGACGGTTGCTGGCCGACTCAAAGACCAGGCTGAGCATCCAGACGCAAGACGGCAAAGCAGGCAGTGAGGCTGGCTTTCAGCGGGGCGTTTCCTTGCCGACACCTACATGCAGTATCAGAGGCAAGCCCGCGTAAGCAGAGGGGCGTGGATGGTGGAGACGGGGTGCAGATGATTAGTGAAGGGAGCCAACATCCAAACGTGTGCAACGAGGAGCGGTGCCTATCCTTGTGCGCCGCGCGACGGATCGTTGGATGCATTGCTCTTTAGTAGCTGCCGGGCCATGGGCTGAGCCAGCTACCCACCTAGGTAGTGAGGATAGCTGACGCCGCCGGCAAAGTCATGGAGCACCTGGCCATTGAGCATGAGCCTCTTGTCAGGTTGGGTCCCAGCAGGCTGTGTCAGCCGCCGGGTCACAACTTGCAAGCTAAGGGGAGCTTGTACGACTTTTTTGTCAAGTCCCTGTCGCTTCTCCCCAGTGCGGCGCACCTCGAAAAGGATCAGAGCTCCCGGCCAGTCAGAGACTAGCTCGGTCGTCTTGGTGGAGGATGGGGACGGGCTCCCAGGCGGCCAACGCGTGGGGCTGCATGGCAGAGAGACAGGCCTCGGCGCTTAAGTCGAGGTGAAAGTGGATTGGCGGGCATGCAGGACTCGCTTCCGCTGAGGGTGAGGTTGGGAAGCGAGCCGGGGTGGCGGGCGTCTAGAGAAACAAAGATGGAGGTCTGACGGCCGGAACCCACCCACCCAGTACAAGCTCAACAAGGCGGCGAATGGTCTGTCGAGGGCTGCCGCGGCTGCCATCTCGAGTCCGAGGCCGGGGTCGGGAGTCAGAGAGCACGGCAGACTGCAGTCTTGTCGACGGAGGAAGAGCCCAATTGTGTGGGGATTTGTGCAGCCAACATGCCTGCCCGTCTTCTCAGTGGCTGCGCTCCGTCCCGGCGATCTGGTCCCGGCCTGGTTCGACTCCACCCAGCTCCGGCCGCGGTGTGGGCCAAGCCGTGTCAACTGCCAAGGTTGGTCGCCGTCCAAGGTGCTGCGCTGCGCTCGCGAAGCGGGAGGGCCAAGAAGGGCGCGGGCGATGAAGTCTTGAGGGCGGTGGTCCAAAGACTCTGCGTTTCGGCTTCCTTCCAAGGTACGAAGTACAAGGTGCACCCCCACCTGACAGGAATGTGAGAGAGCAAGAGCTCCCGACCCCAGCATGGCAAGCACAATGCCATTTGGGTTACCAGTTTGTGTCAAGTATCAAGTACCTAGGTACCTACTTAAGTACCTACCTAGGTATGTAAGCCTCAGCGACCATGCCATTTTTCACTGAAGCCATCAGCATGCCTTGCCGAGGCGTTCTCCGGCTCTCTCGCCCCGAGGACAAAGTATCTACAGGCTGTATGTAGATGCTCCCCAAGGGCCACTTGACGGGAACAGGCAGCCTCCAAGTAATGGCGCGGGAGCTGCATGCCAGCTCCATGGAACCTATTTGGTAATGGAAAGCTGCTGCACATTTCCCGTTGGACCTTAGGGCTGTAAGGTATGGCCACGCTGGTGCAGGTCCGGCCCCATTGCACGCACGAAAGGCTTCCTTTTCTTCCGACCCGGCTTTCTGGACAGGACCAACATGCCGGTTCAGTGCCTACGGCTGCCGCGCATATGCGCATAATACGGATGACGAGTCAAGCCCGCCGTCGGGCTTTTTGGAATCCCCAATCTGTGGGTCCCTGTCAACTGCGGCGGTCAGCGTAGGTTTGGTTAGGTGCCTACAGGAGGTCAAACAGTCGCTTGCGCATGTTGGCGGTGAACCGGACATGTGTTGGTGGCTGATAGGATGCTCGAGGCCATACAAATGTCCTGCAAAGCGTCGTGTGCAACATGCTTTAGCTTCTTCCGCACTCTTGAGGCTCCGCGTGGAGCCCTCTTCAGCACCATATCCTGCCTCAGTCCGGTTAATGACTCACAAACAGCCCGACGACGTCCAACAGACCCGTATGAGCGGCAGCCTTGGCGCACATCGGCCGGACGAGTGCCCATCATGCTCGACCGGGGCTCTCTGCACAACACGATCACGGGGAGAGAACATTCTTGACCTTGAGATGTTCATCTTTTGAGATACACCAACCGCACTTTGTCAATCCATTTTGCCCGTGTTCGGAAGTCTCTTAATGATATGCCATCCCCTGCGCCGTTCCAGAACCGCAGAAAGCACCAAACGCCGAGAAATGCAGTGATCCATTGACGCTACCACGAGAGCCCTAGGCAAGCTCGTTGAGCCGTTGCTTCTTTTCGTTCCGGCCGTCTGGAGTGTACCTGCGGCCATGTCAGTCGCCTTGCCCGTGCAAAAGCCTCGTCGCGGGTCTCCAGAGCGGTCATCGTACTTGAGCAGTTTCTCAATCAAGTCCACGTGTGTCATGATCATGCGGCGGCAGCAGTATCGCTTCAGGCCGAGCTCGTCCATGGCATCTCTATCATTCAAGTCAATCCCTGCATCGTAGCCGGTCGTTCATCGTGTCGTCTTACCCGTCCGTCTTCCGAGGGTCGGCAATGAGCTGGAGGTAGCGCTCCCACAGATCCCCCGTGACCTGGCCTTGTTAGCAAAGATGCTCTCCAGAATGCATATCCTAGAGCGTACCTTTCCGCAGGAGAAGCAGCGAATAGGGATAATCATTTTCTTCGGCGAGTTCAGCGACGTTTGCAAGGCTGCGACAAAAAAATCTTGGATTTGCGCCTGGAAGGCGACTTTCTTGGGCGGCGGCGCTAGCACGGACCGCAAAACAGGTAAATCGCCGAAGTTTCCCCGCCCGCCTGTCCGCTTTATCTTATCGCATTGAAAAAAGTTGAACGCGGGACCGAAATTTTAGACCTGCTAGAGCGACGAATCGGTGACGATCGTGAATTCCGCGTGCGACTTGAAGAGAAAGGCCCCAAATCCTCTCTCTCTCCAAAGGGGATCGCTGCAAGATGGCCGGCCACAAAAGCCCCAGGGCCAGGGACGACAAAGCCAAAAAAAGAAAGAGAGAAGCCAACGACGGCGAGACAAAATCTAAGCGACACCGGCAGCAGCGTCAGCACGCCAATGACACCGGCCACGAGCGACGCTCTGTACAAGCTTTGGAGCCCAGCAGGCTTTTGCAAGCTGATTCTATCCAAGATATCGTTGCCCAGGACTCGACTCGTTGGTCCGATGACGGCGAGGCGGGCTGGAGAATCTCCAAGCCCATGGGGGGACGAATGCTTGATATCGATCCCCTTCTGACGGTAGACGAACAGTGAGCAGGTCCGCTCCGAAGCCGTCAGTTCGTATATCTGACGTTGAGTAGGTACCTTGTCTTGACGTACAACACATCGATTCAAGTTTACAACGCCGTCGACTCGCTACTGATCAGGCGAATACCGATATGCACTCTCGACGCCTCTGCGCCGCAGGGTTCGACTCCGTTAGCCATCGTTGCTGTGCGGCTGTCAAAGCAAAGCCCTGATTTCGTCTGGGTCGCTTGTTCTGATGGCCAAGTTTACAATGTCAACTGGACAATCGGGTCGCAGGTGTCGCCATGTTTCCGGACGGTCTCTGGCACTGCCAAAGCCATGACGATTGTGCCGGCTACCGGTCAAGATGAGCAACGAGACATTATTCTCCTTGCTGAATCAGACCGACAGCATCGAATGGAAGTCGTCGCGTACCAGGGAAAAGTCGGATCAACGTTCAAATCCAAGAAGATCCTTGTACTCAAAAAACCTGGCGACGGCCTTCAGTTGCTTGAAGCCAGCGAAGACGGTCAAGTCCTGGTTGGTGCATTTCACGATCGCCTGTTTCTAGGAGCCATGTCTCAACCGGAAGTAAACGAACTGGACCAGCTCCGGTATGAAATCTTCTCCTTTGACACCCCCGATCTCATCACAACGCTCGACTTGAGGCGGTATACGAGACCAGTCATACATCGAGGAAGCGACAGAAAGCGCGAAGACGCGTCGGGCATGGTGGTTGACATACTCGCCGGTGGAGCACGCGGAGGCATTTATGTGTATCGCGATGCTCTTTCGCGCGTTCAAGCCGTCGGCAAGCCGCAGTACGTCAAGGACGGCATCCAAGTCCACAAGTTTCACTGGCATCACAAAGCTGTCCACTCCGTCAAGTGGTCCCGCGACGGTATGCAACCTGTCTGTTTGCCCGTTGCGCACAGCTGCTGACTTGTAGCAGGCAACTACTTCATCTCGGGAGGATCCGAAAATGTTCTCGTCATTTGGCAAGTCGACACGTCGAAACAGGTCTTTCTGCCACATCTGTCTGGAAGCGTGGAGAACATCGTAGTGTCTGCATCTGGGTCCTCCTACGTTCTTCATCTTGATGACAATTCCGCCATGATCATCTCCACGGCAGAGCTGAAGCCGACAGCCTTTGTCTCCGGCATTCAGTCAGCAACCGTTGATGCTGCGACACCAAAGGACATGCTTGTCAAGCGCCTTTGGAGTGTTGCTGAGCACGTCCGACGACCTATTCCAGCGGCTATCAGATCGTCGGACTCATCAAAACTCCACGTCTGCGTGGGCAATGGCCGCCAGGCCACCATGTCTGGGGACTTTTCTGCTCCTCTGTTGCAGACCTTTGATCTGGAGTCCTTTACGAGCGTTTCCAGGCAAGCCCTGGCGCGGACACACCCGACAGACGTCAACTTGAACAACAAAGGTCACGCCATTGACGAGCCGCTCATCAGCCACATTGCCTTCTCCAACGATGGTCTATGGTTGGCAAGCGTGGACGAGTGGAAACCTTCAGCGAGGGATGTGGAGCTCGTCAGTAGTGATCTACAGGAGCAGTTTATCCGTGAGAGGCATGAGATATACTTGAAGTTCTGGCAAGTTGGGAATGGCGACGGGTCCATGGCGCTTGTGTCGAGGATTGATATCCCTCATTCTACGAACCATCCTGAAGTTGTTCTTGACCTTGCGTCTGACCCCACGGCGACCTGCTTTGCCTCCATCGGTGGCGATGGCATTGTCCGCTTATGGCGCCCAAAGACTCGACAGCAAAACGGAGTTGCCGTTAAGAGCGAGTCGGGCCAAGACGCGGTTCATTGGAGTTGTTCGCAGTTGATTGCGGTGGGAGAGCACTCAAGCCAGGAGCCCGCGACAGAAGTGTCGAATACTGCCGCCACCCCCAAGGCCCAAGGAAGTCTCGCCTTCTCGGAAGACGGTTCAACGCTGTTTGCTGCTTTTGGGGTTGCGGATGCCGGAGTCGTCTATGTGATCGACACTGCATCTAGTCAGGTTGTCAAGATACTCGACGGACTGTGGGAAGGCCAGCTGCACGCTGTTCGCGCTCTCTCGTCATTCGTCATCGTGCTTTCTGACGAGCTACGGGTGTACGACGTGGTCAGCGATGAGCTTCGTTATGGTATAGTGGTGCCCAAGATTCCCGGGGTTCACGAGCTTCTGCAGCTAGCCGTCGACCGTCAATCTGGCCGCTTCGCCGTTGCGCTGCCCATCGGTGACTTTTCCAGCGTGGGCGTTTTCGACCCGGAGGATTCGGAACCGCTGTTGGTCCGCAGCATCCCACACAGGATTGTTACCCTGGTCTCAGCACCCTCAACAAGCGGCTTCATTGTTCTCGACGACACAGCTCAAACCTGGGTCATTGCAGAGGGATCGGATCCTGCAGCCCTTGCGACAATGCAGCCACTTCAGGACCTGCGACTGGACGACACGGGGGCAGCCATCAAGGGAGAGAGCAAGGAAATCATTCTCGCCATGGACGACGCAGAGATGGCAAGCGACGATGAAATGGGAGACGACCAGGCGGAAAGAGACGAGGACGTTGACATGGACGAGGACCCTTCTCATGCGGTTGTCGTTCGCCAACAGCATTTGGCAGCCATTTTCGACGCGGCGCCTGCTTTTGCCGCGCCCTCGGTTGAGGCCATGTTCTATAAAGTGGCGGATCTACTTGCAGCAAAACCACTGCCGGCCTTGTCGGCTTGATATTCTATGCCAAAGTATTGGTCCGTTCAAGGCGTTCCAGGGACTGAAAGGTGGGGGACATTTCTGAGGATATACTTCAGGGGTTTGGAAGGGCGGCAACTGAACATACATCTTCTCCGTCGAGGCTCCCAGCCGCCAAATCGTCTGTAGCCAAAGCCGGCACCGGCGATGGTGGGGGAGGGGAGGATGGTGTTATGCCAACCAAACGGAGGGGTTGCGTGCTATGGCGCCATCATCGGCATCGAGCGGAGCTCCACCCCCAGATGGCGTGGATAGCTGGATACCTTTAGATACACCGAATCGACAGTCAAGACCATCAAAATTTACCAAGGATTTGCTCTCTGTCCGACTGACGCAGCGTCATGCCGTTTACCTCGATTCCAGTCTTGGACCTGGGGCTGGCTCGGGACCCAGCAACCAAGCCCGAGTTCCTCAGACAGCTCCGCCATGCTCTCATGGAGGTCGGATTTCTGTATCTCAAGAACGTAGGCATACCGGCGGATCTGATTCAAGACGTTGTTGAGAAAGGCAAGGCCTTCTTTGACATGCCAGTGGAAGAAAAGTAGGCTCTCGTCATCACGCCGACTCCCGCACGCCGAGCAAGGCTTGGATCCTCACGCGATACATAGGTTGAAGATTGAAATGAAGAATGCGCCCTCGTTCCTGGGCTACTCGAGGCTGTCGACCGAAATCACGGCCGGCCAGGTGGACCACCGGGAGCAGATGGACCTGTGCACCGAACACCCGCTTCCCGAACCCGGATCGCCGCTGTACCGCAACCTGCTCGCGCCGAATCAGTGGCCCTCGGAGGCGAGCGCACCGGGCTTCCGCCGGACCTACACCGACTACATGCGGCGCATGGGCGACATGTCCATCTACTTCACGTCGCTCATCGCCGAGGCCATCCAGCTGCCGCGCGACGCGTTCGACAGGTACTTTGACGAGGACCAGCACCACAAGCTCAAGATTGTCAAGTACCCGGACATGGAGGAGCTCGGCCACGGCAGCGGCGGCGGCCAGGGCGTCGGTCCGCACAAGGACAGCATGCTGACGAGCTACCTCCTGCAGGCCACGCCGCACCGCGGACTGCAAGTGCAAAACGTCGCGGGCGAGTGGATCGACTGCCTGCCGCTGGACGGGACGCTCGTCGTGGCCATCGGGCAGGGCATGGAGGCGCTGACGCAGGGCGTGTGCGTGTCGACGACGCACCGCGTGCTGAGCCCGCGGGCCGGCGAGGGCGCACGCTTCTCTATCCCCTTTTTCCAGGGCGTCAAGCTCGACGCCGACTTTGACAACCTCGAGACGGTGGGGGTTGGCGCCGTGCCGGACGAGGTCAGGGCGCAGAGGAGGACGGTGGTGGAGCGCGGCGGCGGCGCCAGGGTCGACGATGTCGAGTTCACGTTTAGGAAAGGCGCCGTGGCCAGGACGCTTGGGGAGGCGACGCTGCGGAACAGGGTCAAGAGCCATCCCGACGTGGGAGAGAGGTGGTACCCAGAGATCCTGAGGGCAGTTCGCGAGGAGCAGGCAAAGGCTCGGTCTGAGAAGACGTATGAGTCGGCCCCGTCAAGCACAGGGAGGCCGCAGCCGGCGGTGCAAGCGTAGTGAACTTGGTGTCTGAGGGGTGGAAGCGCAGAGCCCATCGGGGCGGGGAGGGTCGTGCATCATATATCGTGTACGCATTCACCACCGCATGCCGTTTCGATGGCCTACATCCAGCTACATACTCCCCATGGCGTGCGCTGGCCGCGTAATCCGCCCTAGTGTGACTCCTCGCTTGTTAAACGACCTGTTCCTTTCCTTTTCGCCTCTTCCCGTCAATGTTCCCCATAGCAGGCAAACCGTCGAGACTCCAGATGTAAGCGCAACTTCACTGGCCGGAGCCAGGGAAGCAGTCGGCAAGGCCCTTGCTGTGCTTGTTTGAAGCATGCTCCAACAATCTGGCAACGGGGCGAGGACATGTTAGAAGCGTACAGGACAGATGGACAAGTTGGAGGGTCACGCACGCGGGAGCCTTGGTGGTCTGAAGGAAAGTAGCCTTGCAGATCTGGCACTGAATGTTCATGGCTTTCTGGTTCTGTTGCATGATCCCGAGGTTAGGGCAAGAAGTGGGAAAAGCCGACCTGGATAAAGGGGACGCACAACTTTGAGCTGCGACTTGGCCGTCGTTTGCTCCTTTTGGTTGCGCTCGCGCTTCTGCTGCGCCCTGTTTCCCTGTTGATGATGAACATGATGCGCGTCAGCAAGGGCCAGCCCAAGGGAGAGAGGAGAGGGCGGGGAGTATGCTCCCATCAGCCACGATGGCAAAGTTTTCTTACGTTGCCCATTTTGTATAGTCAAGAGAGTGAGGACGAGCGGAGAAGGGGTTTTTAATAGATCTTTCGATAAGGTGTCTGCCGGTCGATCGGTCTCAAGAGGCGGCTGAGGGAGGCACTTTCGTTCTTCTTGGTGCTGCAGGCCTCGGTGGCCCCGTCTCGGTCGGAGCGGAAAATGCAGAGCAGGTCGTCGTCGAAGCGGGTTGACGCGAATATCTGAGTGACTTTTTCGCTCTCTTTGGTTTCGGTCGGGAGCAGAGTAAAAAGTAGGCTAGTTGCGTTGCGATGGAATAGAGATCGGTGTTGAGAGTGGGAGGGAGATGTTTGAATGTGAGAAACACTGGAAGAACTTCGTTCCGGCCTCCGGGTGGGTGGAAGAGTCCGGACCTTGCTCCGGCGCGGGACTTTCTTAGTGGGGACTGTTCGCAGCGACAACGCTGTCTCACCTCCCTCGGTCTCTTTTTCTGGCTTTCTTTTTCCGTTCTTCCTCTCTCCATACTTGCCAGGCGCCCGCAGAACCCATACACCGCCTGGACAGATAGGCGGACGATCCCATTTCGCGGCTTGCTACTGTGTACGCCGAAGACCATCAACACGTTGCTTGCGTGATCGCCGATATCTGAGCCCAGTCGATGGCAGGCGGTGGTGCAACGTGCGGCTTCACAGCTGCCGTCACCACGTGGCTCATCGGCCGGCATGGGGGCTCAAGGTCAGCAACAGTTTGGGGAACAAAAAGAGACGGACCGTCGAGGAAAAGCTTGGGACCCTCGGTTGCATTGTGGCCCGCCAAACTCATGGCATGCCAAGCCGGAAACGTAGCTGATTGTGGCAGAAGTTCGCGGCCCTGCCCATCTCTCCGTGGAAGTGCCATGCCAATCGTTATTCCGCAGCAAGTGCTGCTTTGCGACTCTCGCGCCACGACGAGGGGTGGTGTTGAGGAGCATTACGACTCCGTCGCACCATGACTCAACCACGGGACCTCTTATCACGGGCAAGCGCCTTGCAGAAGTGTCCCGAGAGCTTCATGTCATCCATTCCTGCGGTAAATTGGGTTGTGGTGATTTGGCCACTAGCCGTGTCCATTCTGCCGAAGAAGCCGAACAGGAGGATCCGGCGAGAACCGACTGCTGTTTAATGACGCGCGATGGCCGTAGCATCGCAGCCTCAAGGCCATGCATAACTCGCCGCAACCCATGTGCAAGACTTCAGCAACAGCCGACTCAAAGGAGACGGCGCGCAACGCGAAGCTGCAACGCAACAGTGGACTAGCATGGATTTGGCCACGCCGGCCCCTTTGAAGGGAGCCGTTGAGGTACAAGGGTAGCGGGCAGATCGGTTCTGGCATGCATTTCCTTGCAGCCCAACCTGGGAAACAAAACATGACGCCCAGGCACGCGGGCCGAGTGTCTTGGCGGCGCGCCTTTGATGCTATAAGATTGGCAGCCGCCTTTTTCACCTTTCGTTCGCGTTCCTATTGCTGCCTGCTCTGGAGCTTCGTCTTGCGGGAGGCATCGACATTACTCTCGCCCAGCATGCTCAGGCTCGCAACCGCAGCTGCTCTCGTGCTGGGCGTAGCTTGGGCTACTCCAACTCCTGGCAGCCATGTGGCTGACGAGGACAGCTTCTTGAAGCGAACCACTGGTTTCTGGTATCCCAACATGGACCACACCGGACAGCATCGTGGCTTCGCCCCGGACCTAGACGGCGACCACGCTTACCAAGTCTTCAAGTCTGTGAATCCCGGCGACGGCAATGCCATCCAAAGGGCCATCAATGACGACAACGGCGGCAAGCGTCACGGCAAGTGGTTTGCGTCTCAACCCAGAGTATGTCGGACAATGCGCCTCGAACGGTGGTTGCGAATGTTGAGGCTCTAACGTGTCCCGCGCAGGTTGTCTACATTCCTTCCGGCACGTACGAGATTGGAAAGACCATTCACATGAATACCGACACCGTACTGTTGGGCGACCCGACCGATGTAAGCGGTGGGCTCTGCTCTTCGACCTCTCGTGATGGCTAACTGATGGTTTCTTCTTCAGCCGCCCATCTTGAAGGCGGCTGCTGGCTTTTCTGGCAACCAAACTCTTCTCTCTGGTGAGGCGCGCTCTTGCAGCATTTCAGATAGTAGCGCCTCCTGACTAGTTGGAAAGGACAGGATCCCACTACGGGTGAAAAAGGTGAGCTCTCTTTTGCCGTCGGCCTCAAGAATCTGGTCTTCGACACCACCAACATCCCCGGAGGTGAGCTCATCCTATCCTTTGCACTCGAACCCACAATCCCTCGACAAGCACTGAAATTGGCAAACAGACTTGGCGTTCACGGCGCTTTATTGGGGCGTCGCCCAAGCTGCCCAACTTCAGAACATAAGAATCACCATGGCACCCTCGCGAGACGGCAAGGGCCACAGCGGTATCCGTCTCGGGCGCGGCTCCACCCTGGGCCTCTCCGACGTGCGTGTCGAGCGTGGACAGAACGGCGTCTGGCATGATAGTCACCAGCAAGCCGCCTACAAGAACATCCAATTCTACCAGAACAAGGTCGGCATGCTCATCAGCGGCGGCAGCACCATCACCATCATGGGATCCATCTTTGATTCGTGCGAGACGGGCGTCCGCAACACGGGCGGCTCCCCCTGGATTGCTCTGATTGACTCCAAATCGGTCAGCTCGGGTGTCTCTTTCGTCACGACAGGCCGTCCGTCCTTTCTCATTGAAAACTTGGACAAGGACAGCGACTCGGACATTGCACGAGTTTCCGGAGAGACCGTTCTTGGGCCCAAGAGGCACGTCGATACGTTTACCTATGCAAACACAGTGGGCCGCAACCCCGTCTATGGGTCGACGACTTCAGTCAACAAGCGCCCGGCTGCCCTGGCGCCCGGTGGAAAATACCCCGTCATCCCGGCTCCCAACTATGCCGACAAGACAGCCGCCGACTTTATCAACGTCAAGGACCCGTCCCAGAATGGCGGGCATTCGGTTCTCGGCGACAACAGCAGGGACGAGTCCGAAGCGCTCAACCGGGTGTTGCAGCACGCTGCCCAGCACCAAAAGATTGCCTACTTCCCCTTTGGCAAGTACCGCGTCGACTCGACCCTCTTCATCCCGCCGGGCTCGCGCATCGTCGGCGAGGCCTGGGCTACCATTTCGGGCAGCGGCAGCTTCTTCAAGGACGAGAGCCACCCCAAGCCCGTCGTGTCGGTGGGCCGAGAGGGCGATGTCGGCGTCGCCCAAATCCAGGACATGCGATTTACCGTGTCCGATGTGCTCCCGGGCGCCATCGTCGTTCAGTTCAACATGGCCGGCAAGGCCCCCGGCGACGTGGCTTTGTGGAACTCGCTCGTGACTGTAGGGGGCACGCGTGGGGCTTCCGGTCTCACCAGCGCCTGTCGCGACGCCGGCAACGCGTGTAAGGGCGCCTTTATCGGCATGCACCTGGCCAAGTCATCGTCGGCCTATGTCGAGAACGTGTGGAACTGGGTGGCGGATCATATTGGCGAGGATTTCGACGGCGGGTCCAGCATCGCCGGCAAGGGAGGGGCTCTTGTCGAGTCGACCAAGGCCACCTGGCTGCATGCGCTCGGCAGCGAGCACTGGTGGCTGTATCAGCTCAATCTGCACCGGGCTGACAACGTTATGGTGTCGCTGCTCCAGGCCGAGACCAACTACGAGCAGGGCGACAACGCGCGACATGTCGTCCCGGCTCCGTGGAAGGCTGACGCCAAAGGCTGGGGCGACCCGGACTTTTCCTGGTGTGCAGGCGGCGACAAACGTTGCCGCATGGGCTACTCGAACCTGATAGACGGCGGCTCCAATATCTACACGTACGGATCAGCGGCATGGGCCTTTTTCAGCGGGCCCGGGTTCCAGGGATGCGACCAGTTCCGGTGCCAAGGCAAGTCCAACACGGCGTCGTGAGGGAAAATGTTGGGCTGACGATGGGGAACCTACAGGGACCATGCACTGGATCAGCCAGACGCCGCGGAACCTGCAGGCCTTTGGGATGTGCTCCAAGGACGCCGAGGCGGTCCTTCGACTAGCCAATGGTACGAGGATCATGGCACAGGACGGCTTCGGGGGCTCGTGGCCCGGCGGCGGCGGCGTCGTGGGCCGGTACACGCCGTAACGGATGTGGCTCTGTTGACGATTTCATGGATACATATACATTTGTGGATTGTCGGCTGGGGGATTCCGTGTGCACGATGCTATGATGTAACGGAAGGAAATGCATGGACAGGACACGTAAATGAAGTCGACCTTGAACCGAGGTTGACGGGAGCAGCGGCAAGGCGTCGATAGGAGCCAGCCGCGGACGGGCTGTTCAGGCCTTGGCCTTTGTCCTGGCCTTTGCCTCGAGCCTCTTCTTGTGCTCGCGCCTACAGCGCTGGCACGTTCTGACAGCCTTGAGCTCGACGTGCTGCACGCCGTAGTCGCATTGGCCAAAGTGGGAGCGGTAGCGGGCGACGGGGCACCACTTGGGGACGACGGTCTGCTGGTGGGCGACCTGGCGGCCGCAAACGTCGCAGACGGTAAGGCTGTGGAACTCTTCACACATGGCCCTGCTGGTGGGTGTGTTTTGCAGGCGTGTATGAAGGTGTGTATTGGCTTGTCGCGTGTCGGAGGAGAGTGTATGGGTGTGTGAGTGAGTGAGTGAGTGAGCGGGATGAAGGGTACGGAATAAGAATAGTAACAAGGAGGGCGAGAGTGATGTGAGAGGCGGAGACGAGGTCGTCTTTATATATACACGACGAGAACAAGACGAGAACAGAGCCCGCTTCCGCAGCGCCAGAGCGACTCGTCGTGGATGCCGCCGGCCTCGCCGTGCGTGCGTACGCTGTGCGTGCATCAGATACACGCCACTCCCTCTTTCACAAACAAACACGGGCGGCGTATTCACACGCCACAGCAAGAGACGTGCAACGGGGGGACATGCCTCGGAGGAGCAGGGCGGGCGTGGCACGACGCCCGGAACCATTGGGCCATGGAGAGCCAGCTGGCCTGATGCTGCTGGGCCGTTGAGCGCAGGGGAGGTGAGGCTGACGCCGGGGAGCAGCCGAGGCAAACCTCGTCGCCGCCTTGCGCTGTCCCGGTCGGGCGAAGACGCGACGACGTCATTGCCCCGAACCCGCACCCGAGATATCCTCTCCAGTGTTTTCCTGCCCTGCTCGCTGGCCTTGCCCATATGCGCCGCGAGGGCTGGCGCATGCCGTGGCACCCTCAGACACCACCCTTGCATCGCCGTCGTCTGCCTCAGGTCGAGGCGGTCAGTTCATCGGCAGATCAAGCCACTGCCAAGGCCCAGAATAACGAAGTCTGTCTGATCTTTGTGGGATTTATCTCTCTTGCTCTTGTGGCGGCGGAGAGGTGCGTGATTATGATGCGTCGTGCTGAGCACTCGTCGTCGCGACTCACGGCTCCGGGCTACAGCCAGGCCTGTATTCACAGTTGCTCTCTTCCTTCTACAGCCTTTTCCTCTCCCCTTGTATCACTCACTCTCCCTCTGCAGCCAACCTTTTTCACCTCAACAATACACGGCACCGTCCAGACATGAAACGCTCTCGATGCGTCAGCACGGCTCCCTACACAACCGCCGTCCTCCCCAAAAGCACATCCCCGGCCGCGTCTAGTGGTCCGTCGGGGGGGGGGCGCTCATTGGTCCTTGCGGGCCTCGCCATTCTTCTGCGTCGCGGCGTACTTGTCGCTCAGCTCGTCGTACGCCTTGTGAAGCTGCTCGCTCTGCTTCTTGAGAGTCTGCAGGTCCTGCTCCTTCTTCTCCAGCTGCTTCTTGAGGCTGGCCAGTTCGCCCGGCTTGCCAGCCACGGCAAGCTTCTCGCTCTCCTTGGTGTCCTTCTTGGTGCCCTCGTACGATCGGACGCGGTCCTCGAGGCGCATCACTTCGAGGATCATGACGTAGGTGCGGTTCAAGATGAGCGACAGGAAGAGGGTGAAGCCGCAGAGGTACATGTTGCGCTGGGAGTAGAACTTGCGAGCCTGGACCTCGAGGCGCTCATGGCCCATGACGGTGGCACTGCAAAGGGCGCGGTCAGCACAGGGACGGGGGTGGAGGTCGGGATGGCCACGCACGATCCCTTAGATGTTTGCTCCGTGGCGGCCAAGAGCTCGAGCTGGACGCGGTACACGCGGTTGACGCTGTCGATGAAGAGGATGAGGATGAAGACAAACGTGATTTTCATCCAGTACTGAATCTTGGCGACAATGGGGTTCTCAGAGACGAAGCTATGTATGCGTGAGCAGGGCATGCGGGCTCGGCTGGGCCGGAAGGGCACACGCACGTAAAGATCTTCCTCTTGACGGTGAAGGGCAGAGGCACGAGGAGAAGCATAAACAGGCCCATCTCGAAGACGAGGAGGAGGAAAACCTGGCGCCTCGTCAGCAATGCACGTCGCCGTCCAGCGCATTGGACGGGAGAAACCCACGAGGCTGTAGTAGAGCGTCATGCTGGCGGCGTGGCGACGAGCCGGCGTCTGGTACTGGGCGATTGCAGTGAGGTGATTGTAAGCTCGGGATTCTGGTCGCAACGTCAAGTTTGGGCGATCTAGGGACTGAGGAAATGCGCTGAGGTGGGAAAGGAGGCTTCGTGACCGCCTTGGCAGAGACGGATGGTGGAGAGGGAGGAAGGGTGTTTGGAGGGGAAGAAAGAGGTGGCCTTACGATGACCAAAGGTAACTCAGCTGGTACTGCCCGCGCGTCCTTTGTACCCCCTTAACGCTACCACGGCCTACTGCTGAGGCCAAGGTAGGGTCAACGATACTCCGCTTTCGACATGTACATACTCGGCCGGTACTTGAGGTATCTGCCTGGAGCCCTGCCAGCGACGTTTTCCAGCGCGTGGTAGCCTTCGAGACCGCATCATGGCGACGTCATCGTTTGTGGCTGGAAGTTCTGGAACCAGCGACCTCGCAGACCCACACGAGCTTCCGTTCTCCACTCATCTTACTGTACAGTGTAACGTACAGTACGTAGGGATTGATTATGCTGATTGCTGGAGCTCCTGTCATCTCGGACAAAGCCACGTCTCGGTTGCGACTGGAGCCAGACTATCCACAGGCCGACTTTCTCCTCTCCGAGTCCTCTCCGTCGTCCCGCCTCCACCTACACCATGTAACTTATACAGCACAGTACACCCATCCTTCCCCTGCTCGGCTTGTCACTGCTCCCCATGCGCAAATAATCCTCCTCCCTCAGTTCCAAATCTCATCCTCTCTAAACTTCGCTGGCGGCCGTCGGTTCCTCACCGCCCGGTCGTTCCTCTTCCGCACCACCACGTCTTGGTCCTCGTCCTCGTCCATGTCCTCGGGATCCCCCGCGTCCTCGCCCATAGGCTCAAGCACCGACACCTCATGGAGCCCTCTCGTAGTGCCTTCGTCACTGTCTTCAATCTCGACGACCTCGGCCTTGAACCCTGGTGCCGGCTCTGGTGGCGCCGCGATTGGTGCTGGAGGCGGCTCCTCGGCCGTCTCTTCTTCCTCTTTGATTTTGGGCGCCGGCACGGGCTTGGGGGCTGGTCGGGGATGCTTTCTAGGCCGCCCGCTTCCTGGTCGCGCGCCGCCTCGTTTGCCTTTTTTCTTGGGGAGTTCGGCACGTTTGGGCTCCGCCGCGAATGGCTGCGAACTAGAAACGGCTCGCGTTCTCTTGCGCAGGCGCGATATCGAGTCGGGGCTCTGATCCTCCAACCCGACCACTGCGCCCGCCGCCTTGGGCGTCTCCGCTGCAACGGGCGGGTGATACTCTGCTTCTCCAGGGTCGTCTTGGGAGCGTCTCTTTCGCTTGCGAGATTTGGCCGGCTCGTTCGGTGGCTCGACAATCTGCAAGTCGTCATCCGTGCCAATATCCCTCTTGGCTTTCGGTCTTCCGGGGCCTCGTTTTTGCTCAGACTTGGGCGCCTTCCTCGCCACTTGGTCCCCGACTTCGGCTCGTCGCGGACGTCCCCCTTTCGCCTTGGCGGGCTGTTCGCCCGCTTTGTGGTCGAGCAGCTTCTTGGTCAAGTTGGGAAAGTTCTCGCCGTAGTTAAAGAAGAGCTCCTCCCCAGCCTGGATATCTCGCATGGCAGTAAACTTGATTCGATACTCGCCATTTACGTAAAGGATTCGCGGCGTGATGTTGCACCCGCGCTTGTCATTCTCCGAGGCGTGGTTGATGTAGCGGCTGAGGTTGCCATAGATTGCAGCGTCGACCCATATACCCTCATTCTCGAGCAGTGTGAAGACGTAAGATATGTTGGAGTGCTCATCAAAAACGTCGCCGCGTCGCGCCTCTCTGCGCACGCCCTCGTCATGGGTAATCAGCTCCCCAACATACTCCACAATGAAGTCGTCTTGGTCAATGTCTTCGGCCGTGAAGAGCCCGTATCCCACGCCCTCCAGCTGGCTTTGTCCCAGGATGAGAGACTTGCCAACGCCGCGCTGCAAGTCACAATTCTGACAGCCCGTGGTGTGCAGTCGGTCGTCATCCGCGTTAAGGGGATCCGCGCGTTCCAAGGCTCCACACGTTCCGCACAGCTGCGGATCACATTCGCGATTCAGCTGCACGCAAATGCATGGCTTGTCTTTTTGCTTTTGATGACACGTTTTGCCCTGCGAATGGCACGCGCAACCCGTGAATTTGTAAGCGCAGCTTTCGACCGAGCAGCCGCAAAACTTGTCGCACAGCAGACCCGCGTCGACGCACGAGCAGACCCGCGGGACACATCGCCCTTCATGAGAGCAAGGCTCCAGTGTCTCCCGTCGCTGGTGTTCGTGGCTTACCGTGTGGTCCTGCCAGTCTCCCAAGAGGATTTTCCTCCGGCGGTCATACCATGATAGGTTTTTGACTCGGTTCGGCTCCACAATTGGAGGCTGTGGTAGGGAGACACCGAGGGACTGAAACTTTTCGTACGCCTGGCTGCATGTCCGGTCCAAGAAGTTGGCCGCCAGGCATATCGCATCTCCCTTGTACGCGCTGTGCGTAGCTGTCGTGAAGATGGATCGCAGAACAATCTCCTCGTCTTCAGACCAGGGGGGCTGTGGCTCTGGACCAAAGGGCCCGGCGCCACGGCGGTAGCACTGCCGCAGGCAAGGGGGCGAGGATGGCGCGTTGCCGTCGCCTGCACCGACACGGCGCCGCTTCAAGGCATCTGAGAGGTGTGAGCATGAAGAAATGGAAAAGGTTCGTTTCAGGTTCTTGTTGTCATATTCGCCGTGGTCGCAGGAATGGCTGAAGCAGATGAGACATCCCAGGATGCAGTACGTGGCCAGATTGAACTCGGCCAGCTCGTCCTCGTCATCGTTCTGAGCGCCCGCGCCATCCTTTGCCGTGGGCTTGGAGTCCATGATGCTGTCCACCGACTCGTCGAGTAGCAAAACCTTGCGAAGGTCAATCTGCTTCTCGGGTGGCTGGCTATCTTTGAAGACGAGCTGAAAAGCATCGGTAAACATCTGAGCAGCTGCACTGGCTCCCGAGGCAGCGCTGTCCATCTCACGATGCGACCTGAGAATGTCCGTCTTCTGCTGCGGCGTGATGGCATCGTCTGGCTCACGGCTTGCCATGTAGCTAATCAAGGCCGACTTATTGCACCCTGGTATGACGAGATTGTCGAGCCACGTCTCGAGGTAGAGCGAGATGGTGGCGGCGCGCTCCAGTTGAAACGTCATGGCCTGCTTTTCTTCACGATTCATGGGCTTAAATCCAGACTTGAGATCAATGTCCTCCAGCTCCTTAAGCCAGAGATTGTACTTAGTCTCCTCTGAACTCTCCAGGTCTCGCAAATGGGGCACAAAGGTTAGCATAGTGTTTGGGGTCAGAACGTTCTTCTTGATGCCGACGTGATGAAAACGATAACGAGGAACCCGATCCTTGTTGGTCTTTATGCACACGACATTGTGATGCTCCTCCTTATGGTCCCTCTTGGCCTTGAGGTGTTGCTTTGCCAGGCGTGAGCGGTCAGTTTCTTTCAAGAGCGATGGGGAGAATAGACATACTTTTGATTTGATTCTCATCGTGGTTCCCTTCTTCTCGGGCACGGGGGCCACTTTGACAGCGGCGAAGAGATCGGGGCCATGGTGGACTCGGCGCTCAGTTGCCGTGGTGGACTCGATGATGTAGGCCGTCAGCTGGGAATGGCCATCCTTGACATCCTGGCGAAAATGGTTCAGCTGCTCGGCAATCTCGGGGATGGTCCACTCGACGTTGGAGTCTGTCTGCGCCGTTGGCGTGCCGCAGTCGACGGCCTGGGGGGCCCAAAAGTCGGGGAGTGAGAGAGGCGGCGGCGGCGGCGGCGTGCCTGGACACAAGGCGGGCGACTGGCCCTTGTCGCTGAGACTGTCGAGCATGACAGCGGCGGCTGGCGAGGCTCTGCTGGGCAAGAGGGCTGCAGGCTCGCTCCGGCCTGGGATGGCCCCTGACGATCTCCTGAGCGGCGGAGGACTGATGGGCCCCCTGACGCTAGAGGCGACGGAAGGCGCTTTCCTACTGCCACAGGCCTTGAGACGCGAGGCCAGGCTGTCGGATTCGTCTCCGCAGCGCTCGGTCTCGGGGCCATCGACATCGAGACTGAGGCTGGAGCGGCGAGTCGTGCTAGCCGCCATGGCGGCGAAACGAGGGGATTACTAAGACGAGGGCTGGCAGGCGCGCGCGCTCCGGTGTGTGTCTCCCGCACGGCCGCTCGGCCTCCCCAGAGGCAAGGGGCACAAGCACACTTGGGGTAAATGGATGTTTAAGGGGTTCAACGAAGGTGCCTCGGTCGAGAGCAGGCAAGTAATGGAGATGGGATGTCGGGGCGACAGGGGGCGTTGATTCTTGCTCGAGCTTTCCCTCGGCGGCCGGAGCGCAAGAGGTTCCGTCAACCACGCACGCAGCAGATAAACGCGCGAGGGCGCGCAACTGCTGGACCTTGGACGAGAGCACACGGCGTCGTTGGATGACAGGCGCGAGGCCGTCGCCGATGCGCGCTGACGAGACGAGGTCGCTTGGACAATGTGCAGAAGCCTCGAACCAATCGCACGCGTCAGACTCGACTATTTTGTGCCAGCCAGTAAAATGTCACGGACCACGGGGTAGGCGTATCTTACGCCACAGGGGTGTGCCTATCTATAGGTGGGACGGATTGGTACGACAACGGAAGCGGGGATAATACTCTGTATTGATGGCCTGGATGCGAAAGCAGGCATCTGTTCAATGTTGATGATGATGGTCTCACAAGGACCTTTGAAAATCCATTGTATCTACCTGTACCTACCTAGGTAGATGCTGTACCTTCCTAGCTAGGTAGGTAGGTAGTGTATAGAAATATATACCACAATACCAACCGGTCATCTCTAACGGAGGTGCCTCCAATTTTGTTAGAGGATAATATGACTGGTTTAACAGGTAGGTCCCTAGGTAGGTTAAGGTAGGTAGACATTGTACATGCAGTCGGTACGATGTTAATCCGTAACAGCTTCTTTGCAAAGCAAGAAAGAACATGCTGAAAAATGCCCTGTGCCTAACTATAATTACGTCGCATTTCCTATCAGCATACGAATACGTTGCCATTCGACGGCTTTCACCCATGTCCGGACAGCTCACGAGAAACCAAGGTGCGCCCAAGAGCGGTGGTTCTCTTCTACGCCTGTCAAGCTGGTAAAATACCGCTACACCATGCAAAATGAGGGCACCCCCTATTATTATTAGAGAGGTGTTACTAACGCGTATTATAGGCCCTTGTCCTAACAACGCCCCTATCCCTGAGCCGCAACGGCGCAATCTGGCCGCCAATCGCCACACTCCAACCAAACATTTCCTCCACACTGATGCTTCAAAGTCCAAATCTAAATACTGAAAAGATACCCATCAAGTTTAGAGTGCGAAACCGGCAGATCGCCTCAAGCTTCAAGGGTCCCAATTAGGGGGGTTTATAGGTATGTGCACCTAGGGGACCTGTGGGCCAGAAACCTCGTTGGAGCCTAAAGACTCTCAAAGGGAGAGGTGGAATCTAACTAAGCTTGCTAGGCTGGTTAGGTTCTCTCCTGCCACTAAACACAATAATTCTCTTCGTAAATTCCATCTTATATGTTAAAGAATTCTCGTGTCTTGCTATAGAACCGTCGTATCGCCACGGCTTTATTAAGTATAAATGTCGCCGAGACCTCCTTCTAATTCTGCTAAGCAGTCTCCTCTCAGCAAGGAACTCTTCAATTGATTTCAGACTGACTCTCATTCTTACTTGTTCCAATGAAGACCGCGACTTTAGCATTAGGCGCCGCTGCCAAGACCGCCGAGGTCGCTAACGACTTCGTCCCACAGATTGGCGACTAGAAGTTCAAGGCCTGCTTTACCGACAGTTCAACGCGGACCTTCGCCTTCATGTACAGCGGATTTCAGCCCAAGGAAATAATCCCGCAGAAATACATCGATGTGTGCCATGACCGTGCCTACACCGCTGCCGGCTTAGAAAATGGCAGCGAGTGTTGGTGCGGCCACCCGGAGGATATCATCACCGTCGGGGCGAAGATTGTCCCCCTTTTTCAGTGCAATATGGGCTGTGACGGTGATGGATCGGATAACCGCGGCGGCCCCTGGCGCCTTGCGGTATACTTCTTAAAGCGTAACAAAAAGCCCCAAGAATGCCCGCCTCCCCCGCCCTGCAAGTGCAAGAAACCCAAGCACTGCGGCAAGAAGGATCATACCAAGCACCACCACCACGGCGACGATGACGACCACCACCACCACGGCCACGGCGGCCACGGCGGCGACCATAACTCCAACCCCCCGCCTTCGGGACCGCCAGCCAGTGGGGGCTATTAACGTGACGTCTTCCGTTACAGAAAGCATTAAATTCTAATGCGGGGATGTTAGAGACAGGGGGGAGGATCAGTTGGGAATCTAGGGCTTAACAGGGTTAAATTGGAAAATTACTACTCTATTATTTCCTAGCATCGTGGGAACAAACGGTAGACTCCGTGGATGGTTCCCTTAAACGCCGTGACCACTATTAAAGACGAGGGGTGGATTCAACGGAGAGTTAGAGTCGCGGCGGAATGTACCCGGATGCCGGGCTCAGGGCCGAAAATGCACGAGGATGGCGCGCCTGTCCGGACGGTTGAAATAGTACATAAGCGGTTCAACGAGCAACCTTGGAACCTCCGACCCCGTGTATACAGCTTTGTCTCATCTCCCATAGCTCGTTTCTTCCCTCCTTCGCGCAATAGCTTCTTTTCTCCTAGGCCCCCTACGTTGGCTTCGTGATACTATATATCGAACATGCTCTTTCCTTGTAGCTTTCAGGAAGCTGTCGTTTGGTTAAGGTGGCGTAATAGATATAGTACATCAATTAGCTATGAAACCTTACAGCGTTATTAACTGGAGAGGGGCGTCGTTATCCCTGCCTCATAGTTCGCCGAACATACGGCGTATAGGAAACATAGGCGCATAACCCTTCCGTGGGCATGTGTTATAGAGGCTCTAGCCTTTAACGATTGAAAGGTGCCCCAAGGAATAAGTCCACAGCTAGGTAAACCGCGAGACAATAAAATAGCTAATATCGGCCTGGAGTTGTGTTACACAAGTGACACATACAGAATGGATGACTGATAACGATCGGGAAGGAGATCTCTGGTGAATCAGGCAGTCAGCGCCCCTTATTTTCTATCTAAAGAAACGGAGTCGAGCTGAATTTAATACATAATGGAAACACTGTATAATGACTGGCGAGGCTGCTAATCTTCTGTATAGGTGAGCAGCTTGAGCTTGACATACCGCCCTAGGTTGAAACTATTTAAACTCTGAGCCCAAGAGAAGACACGGAGCGAGAGAGTATATCTGCGATTATAGTCTCAGTTCAAACTATATCTCAAGGACACTTCTGGACTCAATATGTGCAAGCTGTTCAACGAATCGTTTGACCTTTTGATCTGGCAGGATCTTATAGGACCGTCTGCAGTCATATCAGCCATCGGCGTATAGGGGACCTGAAATTCGTCTTCCTGATATGCCTGTCTTGCCTAGCAGTTATGGGCGTCGACATGCTTGCGTTATATTCTTAGTCGTGGATGATCAGCTGTTACGAACCCGATCGCCTGCTGGCTATCATACTCGATTTGAAGTGGGCGACCTAGTCATAGCCGATCGGTTGAAGTAGACGCTATATGCAATGGGTTCCTTGGCTGTGCTTATGAAGGCCAGGAACTCTGCCTCTGTGGACGAGGGCTGTGATAGTATTTTGCTTGCCTGCTTTCTAAAGGGCCCGCCGAATAGGACGATGATATATCCCTGTGATGACTTTCGAGTCTTAGAATCATCTGCGAAGGCAGCGTCTGACGCGATGCGAAATTCCCGTGGAATGCTGCTGTGGTTGATCTTAACTACTTAGATTGGTGGAGCCTTTGCCGTTGAAGTGGATAGCGAGATGTCGGGTTGGCTCAAGGTATTTCCATCAATCTTTCTACTAGATAGTCACGCCTGTTAGATGGATTAGTAGAGCTCGGCTTGGGAAAATCGGGCCGCGTGATGCCCGCGACGTAATTAGCGGAGCCGACCTTCTGCTAACGGTGGTGGACCTGATTTGACGTTGCCTGGTCCTCCCCAACTTGGAGGTGATTATAGAGAATGTATTTCCTTTACATGATCAACCTTGGCAATGTGGGGCTGGCTAAAGATCTTGTCGATGTAAGAGTTCTGCATAGTCGTAGCCTGTGTGCCATTCGATCTCGGAGGATTGGAATGCCCAGGAACCACTTGAGTTCTCCTAGATCCTTCATCTTGTATTGCGCCTTGGCTTGGCGATGAGTTCGTCAGCGGCTTGTGAAAATGAAAAGCTACTCTTGGCTCTGTCTGCGACCAAGTTTCTCGACGGCGGCGGCGAGGTCTTTCTACCATAGCCATTAAGCTGTCAAGGCAAAGGACTTGACGGCTGAATACCCAGCCCGGAGGGTACATACCATATAAGGAGTTCCCCTAGGAAAGTTTAATAATAGATAACTGTCAGAGCAGAGAAAAGACTTATCATACGCGTTAATAGCACCTCCACAAAGGGTGCCCCTATTTTTAGATGGGCATACTCACTTGGAGTCGATTTTGGCGCCTGTGTGGACAGGCTCTTCACTGCAGTGAGGTTATTCGAACTGGTTCAATTGGTTATATCTTGTGTAACTAGGGAAACGTGTCCCATACAAACTGTGTGCAAAGACCTTCCTCCCTGTGTCTCACCTCTTACTCGCACGTGACTAGCGCGGTCGATTAGTTATACGTGCGCGATCGGTGCCTAGTGCACAGGTGGATCCAACACTGGAACCTCTTTCTAAATCGATGATCGCGCACTAATCAATCCACCAAAAACACACCAAACACAGCGAATTAAGATGAGATAGGAAAACACGAACAAGAACACCAACAAACTCCTACCACGATGCATCACTATGTTGGATAGTGTGCTCTGACTGTAGCTCTCCTCCCCACACTGGGTGTGTTCTGCCACACGCCATCATGGGCCGCATTTCGAGCGCCGGATGCGCTAGCTGATTCCATCGGTCCCACGTTGGAATATGGACACGAGGATCTCCTCGTTAATGTGAATGGAATAAAAGAACGACGGTAAAGCAGAAGAAGGGAACGAAAAACCGATTAAATCTCGTCGAGAATTGTTGTGTTATTGCGATGAACGAATCCTTCCACCTCACGTTTAGCTGATTGTCGCTAATAAACTGCGTGAGGGCGCTGTTTGTGATGCCTTCGTCATAGCATCGGCAGGGTTATCTGCGCCGTTGACCCAACGGATTTCCGCAATATCCCTTGATTCATATGCCTGCCTCAGCGCCATGATATCTATCATGAGTCGCTTCTCTGTTGTGGTGCCAAGTTTGACGAGGCACTCATAGAGGCTATATGAATCTGTGCAAATGACGAGCGGGATTTGCTTCAGATCAAGGCGTTGTGCGATCGTATTGACCGTTTGCTTGATCACAAATGCGAGATCGAAGCCCGATGTCAATCCATAGATCTCTGATGCAAGAACGCTTCGAGTAACGCGCTTGCATTTAGTTGAGCTCCAATGAAGAATGTTTCCGCGGATGGAAAATGAATCGGTTGATTGCGCGGTCTCATTGGCGATGATAATCACAAAGCCGATTTGAGAGCTTAAATCCTTATTGTTGGCGAATGATCCATCGGTGAACACAAAGATCTTCGCGCTCTCGAGATCGATGGGTATGTAACATAGGCCACGGTCGGGATTGTTGATCTGCCATTCAATCCGCTTGTTCAAAGCCTTGAAGTCGGTATTAACGGGCTCTTGGGCTTGTGCCGCAACGGAACAATCGTATGTTGCTTCGGGTTGGCAAATCGAAGCGATATATGCCCCCCGGGCGCGTTGAGCAGCATAATCCTGATGCCTACTTGATGCCTGAAGATTGATCTCCTCGAGGTTTTGGCTTGGCCCTTCTGCCTGACGATGACACAGCCATTTTGTATGGTCAGGCGGCTGCCGTTAAAGTCGCAGATGGAACCTTCTTGGAGAATCTCTTTGGCTTGGCCTTAAAGCAGAGTTCTTTCTCCTCGATCTTGAGAAATGCATCTGTGCCAACAATGAATGTGTCATCCGTTTGCAAGGCCGCGATGCCAAACAGGTCCTTGTCGGCGATGTTGTTTGCCGTGATCAGAAGGCACGGGTCAAACGAAGAGGTTTCCATATTAAGCTTGCGGCAGTGATGGTCGTGATATGTGTTGAACCAGTGGGCTCCTGCCTCTGCGATGCCATATAGCGGCTTCACGATTCGCAGGATTGTTCCCTCTGGATATCTTCTTTTGAGTTCTTGAGGAAGGGCTGCAAGGATGACACGGGCCAGCTTGGTCTGGGATTGTGTGTATGCCATCGTGATGTCTCTGATCATGATGAACATATCCCGTGTGCAGAGAAACGGTGCTAAGGCCAAGGCCACGCGTTGTGCGGGCCGGCTGATGGTAGGGGCTTGTGTGAGGATCCCACGTTTCCCATCATCATTGTATCCTTGCACAACGAGGCGTGATTTCTCGTATGGCGTTGCAGTATTTCTTCCTTAACCTCTCTGACCATTCGTGATTTGAAGACACGATATCCACCATGTTTATTCGCATCGAATTCTTCGGGTACAATGACCCCAGCGGCGAGGAGGTTCGTGAGCTCGAGTGTGTCGGAAGCTTCAAATGGGAAACCGGTGCTTGTGATCTTTCCTTCAGCTCGTAGCCGCTTGGCTAGGCCGAGATGTTCCATTTCTTTTCGAACAAGAAACGCATTAGCTTCATGATGAACGATAAATTGAACGGGTGAGCAAACAATAGTGGATTCTGATGTGCCATTTTGTGCAGCATCCTTCCTAGGTCGGCCACGCCTGCGCGGCCTCTTTGGCTCAGGGTATTCGAAAGGTTTGGGTTGGTCTTCTGTGGTAGGAAGAGGAAGAGGTTGTTGAGTTGTGGGTGGAAGGGGAAGAGGGTTTTGAAGAGGATGTTGTTGATCGGATTGTGTTGAGGGAAGGAGTGATTGTTGTGTTGATGGGTCTGTGCGGCTAGGGCTAGGGTCGGGTTGCAACTGAGGAAGGAGCGATTCCGGGTGACGATAGTACGGTTGGACGCATGTACTGCGAAATTTCGCTGGTCCGTTGTCCAGGTCAACTGCGATTTCCGTATCCGTCACCTCGAGCACTTTATATGGGCCTTGCCATCCGTGCTTCTCGCGAAATACGCGAACTTCGCTTCCTAGCGCCAGGGATAGGGCAGGCGCAACGCTGTATCAGGCCCATTACGCGTATTTAACGCGGTCTGAACCTTCCTCTGGGCGTTGATCTTCCTCAGCTCTGACATCGTTCGCCACACCGCCTTAGCTCTTGCCATTGCGGAAGGTGTAGGCGGCGAATCCATCGTCATTCGAGGCAGAGCACCGAAGACGAGGAGGGTTGGAACGAGGCCATCCGGACCGGCTGTGTCGTTGACAGCCTTGAAAGCCATTTGAAGGACTTGATCAGGGCTCACGGTATCCTTCAGCTCTGCCTTTAATATATCATATGCTCTTCGGACGGGCACATGATACTTCTCAACCTTCCCAACAGCCCAATGTGCTTCCACAGGCACCTGATGACACGTTATTCCCATCAATTTCGCTTCTGCTTGGAACTCGGCAGCAGCGAAATTCGTGCCTGCGTCATGAGTGATCACATCGGGTGGTCCAAGGTATGTATCCATCCAACATTGTTTCAACGCGAGCCACGTTTCCTTGGCCGTCATGTTGGATAGGAATCTCCTGCCTGATAGGCAGTGGCTTGATCAACAACATGGAGGACTGGTCTGCCACCCAATGTCATGACATCAACGATGACTTCGTAATTGAAGTCACAATCATCCTTCAAGCTGAACTTGAACCTTCGTGGCGGGTCGGATTTCATCTGACAGTAGTGGCAGAACTTCTTGATCATTTCCAGAGCTTCGATTTCCACATCATGGCCAGCCGAATTCAGCAGCTTGTGCAGCCGATACACGGATGGATGACCAAAACGCGTGTGGAGGCGCCGCAATTCAGCCTCCGTGAGATATGCCACTGATGCCTCTTGTTTCCGCAAGAAGAACCACGCGTGACCCCATCTTCGAATCACTGGAACGCTCACACCATTGCCAACGAGCTCGTTCGTGACGTTATTTAAATATACGCCGAGCCGATCCATATCAGCTAGGCATAGGAGGAATGGCGTTGGCACGTTGACTATATGAAAATCAACCTCTCCCACTGGTGTGTTCAAGGTGATCACGCCAAGTGGTGTTTCCAATCTTCCTGCACCAAATCTAACTGGTTCGGGCTTGCGATCATCACGGAATTGGACTGGGGGCATCTCTCGTTGGAGAGCACGCAGTTGTTCGATTCCTCCCGTCGATATGCATGCCGCACCTGTGTCCGGCATGATTCCTTGGAACGAGTCTTGAGAGTAACGATCTAGTATGAATTGTGTGGGTTCGTCACTGTTGAATAACTTGATGCCTACTGAGAGATCCGATGATGGAAAGCTTCGTTGGACAGAAAGGTCGCAGCAGCGTAGAACGATTCATAAGGGTCAGAGGAGTCAGAATCATCGGATTCCTCGGTGCTCGAGTCATCCTGATCCTGTGATTCCCTTCATAGTCAGCCAAGAACATAGCATACGAACGAGATTGACCGTGGAAGCCTCTCTCGTAGATACTTCTCTTTGGCTGCTTTTCTCGTTTTCAGGATGTCTCGTTGAGAAACAACCTTCCTTGCCGCAAACGTAGCATTTCTTCTTCCAATTTGGCTGACGCCTTTGTGATTGACCTCTTGTTCCGCCGGAATTTCGCTGAAATTTGCGATCCACGAAGTGCTGATCATGTCCTCTATCCAGGTCTTGGGGATATTGGCCACTGGGTTGTTCAGATCGTTCATCTTGCATGGCAGATAGCGATGATCGAAGCTGTGATGCCAATCCCTCAAATGTAGGTGCGGGAGAGTATATCGCGAGTCGGAATTCAGGCACACCACGGCACGCCCTGAGCGTTGCATCGATCAGGCCACCTTCGCCGCCAGACTTATCCCCGAGTGCTCTCCTACAGAGCCGCAATTTCGTAAGAAGGGCCTGGAGGACCTCGTCAGATGACTTACCGGGCATCTCAGCCCGAAGTCGGCTGAAGGTGAGGGTGCTCCAGTGGGTATGATACATCTTCTGGTTGATTTCGGTGTCAAAGTGCTCTTTCATCTTCTGATACATCTCAGCGAAGGTTAAATCAGTGCTGATTTCGTGTAGAAAGAAGGACTGAGCTTCCTTGGCCAGAATCGAAGGGAAAACACCATGGAATTTAGACGGAGGAATGTTTGCTTGACGGCACACGCTCATGAATTTCCGGATCTTGTCATCGAAGATATCGTATGGTTCGCCGGTATAGGCTAGTTTCTTGTCCCATATCTTAATGAATCTAATCGTGAGATCGGCCTCAACTTCCTCGTTCTCGAATCGAACAGGTGGAATGCTCGTGTATGCATCTCGGAAGTTGGTAGTCCGTACGGGGAGCGTCTGCTGATACCGAGGGGATTCGCGCCATTGATGCTGAGGCTCTTGCTGAGCGGGTTGATGGGTCTCAATGATCTGAGGGGATTCCGGTTCCGCCGGTCGGGTAATAGTTGGCTGCTGGATTACTACCGGTGCCGGTGACGATATAGCCGCTTTAACAGTTCCTTGGAGCAGCTTCTGTTTCACCTTATATGCCACGGTGTTTTCAGCAACCTCTTGACCAAGCAACTCGTTCTCATCCCATTCAGGAAGTTCGTTACTTGTTAGAAGGCCACATAAAGCTCGAGAGATGCTAGAGTTGGCCTTGCCCATATAGATCCCCCTAATTCTGAGAAGCGTCCGGAGTCTTGATCTAAGGCGTGGGTTGATTAGTTCGAAGTCATCATAGCTCCATCCCGTGAAGTCGTTATACAGATCCCCAAGCAGGGCAATTCCGTGGTTACGTTTATCCACCGTGTATGTTGCCACACAGCCTAAGAAGAAGCTGTTGCGGTGGACAAGGAGGAGCTCTGGGTGATAGGTTCGTTGAGGAAATCCGCGTCGAAATGCCTGATCGGGAGTGAAGGGAGCTCCACGATCGTCAGGTTCCGTTCAACGAGTTGCCTGTCTTCGAGAGACACGTTGGCCGGGGTATCCTGGGCTGTTGCCGGGGCTAGTGCGGCAGATGAATTGTCAGACATATTGACAGGCTGTGTGCTGAGAAACAGGGCACAGGGTGTCAATGAGGTTATCAATGTGCGATAGGGCACGCCTAAGGGTCGCTGATGACAGCAAAGCTTAGGCACGGTTGGATAACTAGAGTGGGCTCTGATGCAGAGTCTTCGTAGCAATCCGCGCGTTGTAGCAACTATCCTACCGTCAGGGAGCTCGCTTTGCAGAGCGTGACGATAGGTTAGCTCTCTTCCGTCTTGCTGTTCTGTGTCACCTTTGCCGGGCGACACTGATCAGTGTGGACAGGCTCTTCACTGCAGTGAGGTTATTCGAACTGGTTCAATTGGTTATATCTTGTGTAACTAGGGAAACGTGTCCCATACAAACTGTGTGCAAAGACCTTCCTCCCTGTGTCTCACCTCTTACTCGCACGTGACTAGCGCGGTCGATTAGTTATACGTGCGCGATCGGTGCCTAGTGCACAGGTGGATCCAACAGCCTGGGGTATTACAAGTACAAGTCCGCAAAATGCCTAGCAAACATGGAATGTGCGTGTAGTCTGGGGTATCATTACGGATGCAGAGGACCGGTAATTTAGTCACACTCTGCTCATGAGAGCTGCGCGTGTTCCCTCAGGAATATTAGTTAGTCTCTCGTATTAGTCAGGGGCCAGTGGCTTATCATGTTCCTCAGCCCTTGATCGTGACTGCATTCTACACAAACTCATAACAGTCTACGGTCTATAGAGAGAGCTCTAGATGTGTGGTTCTTGGAGATGTTCGGTGGCGAGTGGCTGGTGAGGCACTCGAAACCGCAAAGGCGCAGCGGCCGATGATTGCGAATTTGCGATAGCCTCTTTCCGAAACGTCCGAGTCCATTTGACGTCAGCTGGCGTTGGGGGTTAGCCGGCCGGAGTCGACATCAGCCATCAATCAGGTCGACGCTTCTCCTTTCGAGGGCGAACAAGCAGAGAGGTGACAAGGTGACAAGGTGACAAGGTGACAAGGTGACAAGGTGACAAGGCAGCAAGCACTGCCATCGAGCTACGGCCGTAACTTGGGGTCCTCGTGCAGGCGGGATCGAAGACAATCGGCGTCGTCTGTCGTCTCCACAGCAACGTCCGGCCGGAGCCAACAGCAGCTGCTCCGTCGTCCAGACTCCAGAGAGGGAGGAGTGAGGAGTGAGGAGCTATTAGCTCGGCGCTAGGAGCCTTGGCCTGGGCCGCCTCCGGATCGGGCCAGCCGCTCCACCTCTGCCAGTGCAGTGTTAATTGCAGTATTAATTGCAGTATTAATCATGGATGAATACTCGAACCCATGGCAAAGAGGCTCGCTCTGGTACTGCATCTTGGGCCGCGTCTAATTAATTACTCCACGTACGTACCAGCGAGCCCGGCCACCCAAGCAAAGGGCCCGAGACATGCCGGCAGAGGTGCACAAATCCCGGAACCCTTGCCGTGGTTGGCGCAAACCCTGCTGGTGCCGCCGAGACGAATCCACATCCACCGATGACGTCGTCGCAGCCTGCCGCCCCTGTCCTCCCCCCCCGCCTCTACTGTAGCCTCTCCGCGAAACCACCAGCGCTGGTGTGTCACATAAAAACCATCCCAGTCTTTCCATCTCTCCCCTCGTCGACCCTCTCTGAGAAAAAGTCCCTTGCCCGCTTTCTCTCTCATTGATAGATACATAATCTCCTCTACACCGCTGATCCCCCGCCCCTACTTCTGCTACTTGCTTGCTTCTCTTCTCCTCGCAAGTCGCCCGCCTGCCCGTCCACTACCTCCATAGCTCCATCGCGCCGCTCGCCGCCATCATGCATCGCACCTACTCCATGCGCGCCTCCCGGGCGCCTACCGCCTCCCAGATACAGGTAAGGGCAACGGCTCCGCGGGATGTCATGAGACGAAATGCTGACATGGGAACTTCGACCAGAGCCCGCCTCCCCCCCCCTCCTCCACCAAGTCTGGCCGCCTCTTCGGAAAGGGGAGCTTTGGTGAGTGCATGCAATGAGGAGGCATAAGGAAGCGAAGCTCATACGATACCTAGGCCACGCTCTGCGCCGTAATGCCGGAGGTGCCTTCGGGCCTGACCTGGCCAAGAAGCTGTCCCAGCTCGTCAAGATGGAGAAGAACGTGATGCGAAGCCTGGAGCAGGTCGCAAAGGAGCGCATGGAAGTTGCCGTACGTCCTTGACTTCCACGCCCCTCAATCACGTCGCACGCTGACCCACCAACACAGCAACAACTCTCCCTCTGGGGTGAGGGCGGCGACGAAGATGTTTCCGACGTCACCGACAAGATTGGCGTCCTTCTCTACGAAATCGGCGAGCTCGAAGACCAGTATGTCGATCGGTACGATCAGTACCGTGTCACCATGAAGAGCATCCGCAACATCGAAGCCTCGGTACAACCCAGCCGCGACCGTAAGAACAACCTTGATCCGGGTCAATGCGCGCGACGTGCTAACCCCAGGCTTCAATAGGCAAGCAGAAGATCACCGACCAGATCGCCCAGCTCAAATACAAGGAGCCCAACTCGCCCAAGATTGTCGTGCTGGAACAGGAACTCGTTCGTGCCGAAGCCGAGTCGCTCGTTGCCGAGGCTCAGCTCTCCAACATCACCCGCGAAAAGGTCAAGGCTGCCTACTCGTACCAATTCGATGCCCTCCGGGAGCACTGCGAAAAGGTGGCCATCATCGCCGGCTACGGCAAGCACCTCCTCGACCTGATCGACGATACCCCGGTCACGCCCGGCGAGACCCGCCAGGCATACGACGGCTACGAAGCCAGCAAAGCCATCATCCAAGACTGCGAGGATGCCCTTACCAATTGGGTCACCTCCAACGCCGCCGTCTCCTCCAAGCTGTCGACCCGCTCGCGCGGTCTCTCCCAGCGACGCCGAAACAACATTCGCGCCAGAAACGAGGGCCATGACCTGTCCACCCAAGATACTCCTCTAAACGACAGCAGCTCTTGGGTCGGCCGTGGCGCCGATGTTGAGAGCGACGAGGAGGACGACGAGGAGGACGACGACAACCGCCACTCGGTCCTCGACAGCGACGGCGGCCTGAATGGCGAGAGCCGTGGACGAACGCAGGAGGTTATCGCCGCATAGAATTGGATTCCTGCTGTTTGAGAAAAAGACGGCGGCAAGAGTAGGAGTCGAGGTGATTATTGGGCATGTCGGTTTATCAGGTTGGCGGCAGCTGTCGCTGGGTGCACATGGAAGCTTCAATGGGCTGGGGAAATCGGTCTGCCGTCTCTTTTCGCGACCTCTCCTTATTAGTAGGGTAGTCTTTTCTTTATGTACACTTATTTGCTAATACCATGTACTGCACGTGCGACATCAGGTCTCGCGCTCTTGATGTCGGTGAATGGTGAGAACCGGCAGCAATGAAGCACGAGTTGCGAGTCGAGTTCAGCACAAACACTTGGCTTGCTCTTCCTAGAAATATGGGCCAAAAATCCTCGACGGATGCGACTTCATTTCTTGATCTGGCTCACAAATTGCTCCAGTTCCATCTTGACAATGTGATGTCCCGGCACCACGACCAGGCCGAGATAGCGCGATGTCATGTCGACCGTGACGGTTCCCTCGGCCGTCTCCTCTAGATGGCGGTGCATGGCATCGGCCGACGGCTGTCGGTACTCGTATGTATGGGATAAGACGACATTTTTGTTCTGCGCCGGTCAGCCAGAAGCGGCATAGAAGTTGAGCATTGGGACGAACCGCGTCGGTGCACTTGAATGATCCCCAGAAGAGGCGCCCATCCGTGGTGGACACGCGCAGGTTCTTGTTCAGAAGGGACTTTAGGTAGCCCTGCGCCTCATCTTTGTCCATCGCGAGGCCGACGCTGGAGGGAGGAAGCCCTGCAGACGTCGATAGGGGAGCGATGCGATGGTGGAGGAAGAGGCTGCACTTTCATCTCTCCCTGCAGAGCCGCCGCAGTGGGCCAGCGGCCGATAGCGGCACGAGGCTCCACACCGCTGCTGAAGTGCACTGTATTGCGTCACGTTACAGTGGGGCAGGGCACCCCCAAGAGTCCATTACCGACAATGCTTAGTTGCTTACAGGCTTGAACTCGCCATTATTCAACCTCAGTCCCGCAACCGCTCGACTTGTCCCTCTCTCCCTTCTTCCGCAGCTCCAGCGCCATGCGATACGGACATGGGTAGTGCTCGCGCAATGCGACTTCGAGTCCGAACTTGGAGAGCGACTGCCCTTACGCCCAAAGACTCGCGCCACCCGTCGACATGGGTGTCAACGGCCTCTGGACCGTGATCCAGCCGTGCGCGCGGCCCACGAACCTCGCCACCCTCAACCGCAAGCGCCTTGCGGTCGATGCTTCCATCTGGATATACCAATTCCTCAAGGCCGTCCGCGACAAAGAGGGCAATGCGCTGCGCAACTCGCACGTTGTCGGCTTCTTCCGCCGCATCTGCAAGCTCCTCTGGTTCGGCATCCTGCCCGTCTTTGTCTTCGACGGCGGCGCCCCGGCCCTGAAGCGCGCCACCTTGCAGAAACGACAGCGCCGTCGAGAGGGCCGGCGCGAAGATGCCGTTAGGACCGCGGGGAAGCTGTTGGCCGTGCAGATGCAGCGCTTCGCCGTCGAGGAGGAAGACAGGAGGAAGAGGGAGCAAAACGGCGACATCGCCGCGCGGGAGGCCCGGCTGCAGGAGGAGGATGCTCTCAATACCAACGACGTCGTTTACCTAGACGAAATTGGCATGTCGCAAAAGGAAAAGGCGCAGTCGAGGAGATTCCACAAGCAAGATGCATATCACCTACCGGAACTCGACGGCGGCATTGCGTCCATGGGCAGGCCCGACGATCCGCGAATCATGAGTGTTGATGAGCTGGAGGAGTATGCGCGACAGTTCAACAACGGGGAAGACGTCAATCTTTACGACTTTAGCAAGATTGACTTTGACGGCGAATTCTTCAAGAGTCTCCCGCCCCCAGACAGATACAATATCCTCAATGCCGCCAGGTTGAGGAGTCGCCTGCGAATGGGTCTAAGCAAGGACCAGCTGGACGACATGTTCCCGGACCGCATGGCCTTTTCGAGGTTCCAGATCGAGAGGGTCAAAGAACGAAACCACCTCACCCAACGGCTCATGTTCGAGGTGGGCATGCAGGGCACGGATCTGACACTGGGCGTCAACGCGCGCGTCGCGGGGGAAAAGGACCGCGAGTATATTCTCGTCAAAAATGAGGGCGCCGAGGGAGGTTGGGCCCTGGGGGTGGTGAGCAAAGAAAAGGACATCGGGGAGGCGCACAAGCCCATCGACGTAGACGCCATCGAAATCCAGTATCAGACCAAGGATGACGAAGATGATGAGGAAGACAACGACTTTGAGGACGTGCCAATCGAGGGCCTCAACCGCCTCCCGAAGCCAAAACCCACGGCGTCAGGCAGCGCGAGCTTCCAGGACGCACGCGACATCTGTGAGGGGAAGCAGCAGTTCTACGATGGTCAACAAAACGTGCTCGCCAACGATGAGGGCGACGGCGAAGAATCTCTCTTTGTAGGTGGCAACACGGGTGAAGCGAATGCCCTGCTTCGGAGCAGGCCGGAAGACCAAATGCATCCCGAGGAAGAGGATGATATCAGCCGGGCAATCGCCCTCTCGTTAAAGAACCAGCACGATCTTGACCAAGAACCTGCCGAGGAGGAGCTTGATGGGGAATCCGCCGAGGAGCCGGAGTGGACGCAAAAGGCCGTGGAAGCCTCGAGACCGATCAAGGGTAATGGCGGTTCCATGATTGCTCACGTTGTAAACAACCGAGCCAACGCCGCGGTGCCAAAGCGCAAAGAGGAGCTTGCCGACAGTGACAGAGATGACGATTTGCAGGCCATCTTGGCGAGATCCAGGAAGGGAAAGGTCGCCCAGCCAAGGCCGGTTTTTGAAAACAAGAAGAATCCTTTCGATGGACCGCTTCCATTTCCCAAGCTCGACTGGAAGTCGTCTGTCTTTGTGAAGAAGGCGGCTCAGAAAGAAGACGGGGCCGCCAAGCAGGACAGTGGTGCTCAAGAGGACACTGGGCCAGAAGAAGACATGGGCGGCGGATTTGAAGTTGAGTCCCGGGGTCAAGATGGCCCCAAGCCTCTCCCTCCTTGGCTGGCGGACGACACGGATATCCGGGAGTCTCTGAAAAAGCAACACGATGTGGAGAGGGAGATTAATGCCGAAGACCGGCAGGAGGCCGAAGAAGAGCAACGACTCAGACGTCGAAACATGGAGAGCCGGCTGATTGAAATTGACTCGTCATCTGATGGCGGCAGCGATATTGAAATCGTTGAGGAGCCCCCTTCTCCCAGGCGACCGGGAGGTGCCGAATCCGCAAGCCTCGGCACCGCCCCCGACGAGAAGCAATCATCGGAAGTTGCGGGCGTGGAGAGTTTAGTTCCGGAAGCAATTGCAGGTGTCAAAACCCCTCGCGGTGTCGATGTGCAGGAGATGCCTCTGGCAGAATCCAAAGAGCCTTCGCCATCTCCCGAGCCGGAATTCGAGGACGTGCTCGCAGCGGTACCACCGTCAGCTACGCAAGCTACTCGACGGAGCGAGTCGCCCCTATTTGGGGATGTTGCGGCTGCCGAAACCCAGGCGTCTCTAGATGCTCTAAATCAGGCAAACTATGACGATGCATTCGCCGAAGCGGATGATGACGAGTACAGCGACCCTGAAGACGAGGAGCTATTGAGGCAAATGGCCGAGGAGGCCGAAGAGCACGCCCGCTTCGCCAGTGAGTTGAACCAAAAGCCTGCGGCACAGAACAGGGAAGACTACGAAAAGGAGTTGAGGGCATTGCGAAGTCAGCAGAAGAAGGACCGCCGTGACGCAGATGAGGTCACGCAGGTGATGGTGACTGAATGCCAGTCACTGCTCCGCCTATTTGGCATTCCCTACATCACGGCGCCGATGGAGGCAGAGGCGCAGTGCGCGGAGCTGGTCAATCTCGGCATCGTCGACGGCATCGTGACCGATGACTCGGATACGTTTCTGTTCGGCGGGACGCGTGTCTACAAGAACATGTTCAACAGCAACAAGTTTGTCGAGTGCTACCTCGGTGCTGATCTTGAGAAGGAGCTGTCGCTGTCGAGGGAGCAACTGATCTCTCTCGCCCAGCTGCTCGGATCTGACTACACAGAGGGCTTGTCCGGGGTTGGACCGGTCACGGCCGTCGAGATTCTGTCCGAATTCCCCGGCAAAACGGGGCTCGAGGAGTTTCGGGACTGGTGGACGGCCGTCCAAAGCCAGGCCGGCCCCAAAGAGGCCGACGCCTCGTCACAGTTCCGCAGGAAGTTTCGCAAGTCACAAGCCACGAAGCTATTTCTGCCCGTCGGGTTTCCCAACCCAGCCGTATTCGACGCGTACCTCCACCCGGAAGTGGACGACAGCGCCGAGGTGTTCCAGTGGGGCGTGCCAGACGTGGAGGGCCTGCGGCGATTCCTCATGTCGACGATTGGGTGGAGCAAGGAGCGGACTGATGAGGTACTGGTGCCGGTGATTCGCGACATGAACAAGCGGGACGTCGAGGGCACGCAGAGCAACATTACTCGATACTTTGGCGGCAGCGTCGGGGTCGGTGCCAAGGAGGCGTTTGCGCCAAGGCAAAAGGCCCAGGGAAGCAAACGGATGGCGGCGGCAGTGGACAGGCTCAGGTCCAACGTGACGGGGGACGACGCAAGGGACAGTGAGGGAGGGCCGAGTAAGAGGAGGAGAGGGGCGAGGAGAGAGGCGGCGGAGGATTTGGAGGGTGACGAATAAAGGCAATGATTCTCTGTCAGTGGCTTAGATGGGGGTCACACACGCCGCTTGCCGGTTGGCAGGTGTTCGCGAGTATATCAGAGCCGGAACTGGAAGCGCGAGCTCGACCAATGTCCTGTTGGAACGGTTGTTTGATTCACGGATCTGTGCAGAAGATATGGTAACCAGAAAGGGGGACCTTGACCACCGTCACTATTTTTCAAGAAGACTTGATATAGCGACTTTAAATCCTTGAATAGCCCACAGTTAAAATTATCTACATTGTCTCGAGTCCACGTACGTACGCTATTGGTATGGCAAAGTGAATAATCTGAAGCTCGCGAGAGTCCGGTCCGGGCGATTTCGCAGTACAGGGTAGGCAGATTGCAGACGACGGAGCATTCGCTACATGAGCCATTAAAGCAACGCCGGGGTGAACCGGGTAAAGCGCGGCTATCGTCTCCACCATCAACAGCTTTCCCCCTCAGTCTGCGCAAGCAAACCCAACCAACGTTTTTGCCGCCAACCGACGACTCGGCTTGCCTAGCCCATTGCGACCATCGGCGCGCGCGCTCTCTACCACGCACACGAGGACAAAGGACATCGGCATCGCGTCTGGGGCATCGTCGTCGTCATGGACCAACGCGAGCTCGAGTCGCGCGTCAAGGCGCTGACCAAGTCGGTCGCTGCCAACGAGCCGCCGGAGAACGCCATCAAGCTGCTGGACATGCTCAAGAAGGATGCCGCCCCGACCGAGGAGATGCTGCGGGTCAGTGCCGATGCGCCTCATCTTCTTACCCCCTCACTTCCTTGTGTTTTCCTTGACAAAGACTGCGTCGAGGGCTCAGCTGCTCTGTCGCAAACGCTTGACGGGCGGCAGAGAGAGAGGGACTTGCGCCCCAGCTGGCTGGCTCTTCCAGTCTCGCCTTCTCCACGCCCCCTATCTCATTATCTATAGCTTGCCACCCGCCCCACCTAGTGACCTTGTGCTCACCATCATCTCTCGCAGGCCACCCGCGCCGGCGTCTTTGTCGGAAAACTACGCTCGAACCCCAACAAGGAAATCGCCAGAGCCGCGGCGGAGCTCGTCATCAAGTGGAAGAAGCTCGTGGAGCAAGAGAAGAACTCGAAGCTCCACAAGGCCAAGATCGGCTCCCCAGCTGCCGTCCCCGTCTCGCTGCCCTCGGGCCCCGCCCCCGGTTCCAAAAAGGCCTTTATCGGCGACCCTGAGAAGCGGAAGTTTGACACTGATGGAGTAGATATAAAGCGCACCGACTCCAACGTCCGCAACCAGTGCATCGGCCTCGTCTACAACGGCCTTGCCTTCCGCTCCACCGATCCCCCGTCGGATGTTATGGCCAAGGCGGTGGCGGTGGAGCAGGCTGTCATGGACGCCTTCAAGGGCGAAAATGCCGAGTACAAGAAGAAGATTCGATCGCTCTTCTCCAACCTCAAGACCAAGACCAACAAGGAGCTTGGACGACGGGTCCTGACGGGCGACATCTCACCCGAGCGGTTCGCCACCATGACCGACGACGACCTCAAGAGCGATGACCAGCGCAGAAAGGACAAGGAGCTCGAAAAGGAAAACATGAAGAAGGCGCAGGTTCCCATGGCCGAAAAGAGCATCAGCGAAAGTCTCGAGTGCGGCCGTTGCAAGAAGAAGAAAGTCAGTTACACGCAGGCACAAACCAGGGCTGCTGATGAACCGATGACGACCTTTTGCGAATGCATGAACTGTGGCAACCGCTGGAAGGTATGTTTTCGCGCGCGCCCCCCGCCGCCCATTGGAACCGACGACGCTAAATTTGCATAGTTCTCCTGAGGCTCGAGCGCCGAGCAACGCGAAGAAGGGCATTTCATTTTACTGCAGATCACAAAGAGGCGCCGTCGCATTGGCGTGCTGCGTTCACGGTTTCAGGGGACGGATTCGGTCGGGAGTTTGGGAAGGGATCTCTATTTGGCAATGTGTACCACGACGAAGGCCTATGGCACGGTTTTCCTTATACCTTTTTGTGCTGACTCCGTTGGAGGGAGCTCCGAAGGCGTCGGCTGTTCCCCGGCTCTTGGCGCAACATATGTGTTCTTTGCTAATTGCTTTCAGACGAAATCTGAGTTCGAGCTTTGGCGCTCAATAAAGCAAGAGTAATTCTATGCGCGCACTTGACCGCGGCGGAGAGGCCGTCTATTTACGTGATTCATCTCCCGCCTTGGGTATCCCTAGCTCTAGAAAGAGGTCCGTGGTCTCGTCGTCTTCCAGCCCCAGCTCCTTGATGCGCTTCCAGAACTTGCTGAGGTGGCGCGTGCCCGAGTCGCACAGGACGGTGACGACACGGCTCCCTGCGGGCAGAGACATGGCGGTGACGACGGCGGCGACGCAGTTGACGGAGCTGCTGCTGCCCACAAAAATGCCGTCCCTCTCGACGAGCCAGCGGGCCATGCGGCAGGCTTGGTCGTCGGAGACCTTGACGGCGTCGTCGATGAGATCACGACCGGCCTCGAAGTTGTTGGTGACGCGGTTGATGCCGACGCCCTCCACGATGGAGTCGACCTGCTGGCGGCGGCGGGTACCTTCGCGCTCCGTCGACGAGTACATGACGCCGTGCTTGACCTTGTTATAGAGGCCGCTGCCTTGTGGGTCGGCGAGGACGACGCGGATGCGGGCTAGCTTTGCCTCGAGCTTGAGGTAGCGGGCGAGGCCCGAGATGGTGCCGCCGGTGCCGGCGCCGGCGACAAAGGCGTCGAGGGCGCCGTCTGTCTGGGACAGGATCTCGGGCCCCGTGGTGTGCAGGTGGGCGCGCCAGTTGGCGGGCGACTCGAACTGGTTGGCGAAGAAGCCCCTGCTGCCGTCGGCGGCCGACTGGGCGTGCTGGGCTGCGCGGCGGCGAGCGAGGTTGACGAAGTGGTCGGGGCTAGTGATGGGGGCGACAGGGACGCGCTCGACGGCGGCGCCGAGGTGCAGCAGCAGGTCCGACTTTTCGAGGCTCTGGTCGTCGGGCATGCAGATGTGGGCGCGGTAGCCGCGGGCGCGGGCGAGGGTGGCGAGGGAGATGCCGGTGCTGCCGACGGTGCCCTCATAGATGGTGTCGCCGCGGTGGGGGGTCAGCAGGCCGTCCGCTTCGGCCTGGCGGATGATGCCGAGGGCGACGCGGTCCTTGGGGCTGTTGCCGGCGCCGTTGAGGAACTCGGCCTTGGCAAGGATGGTGCGGCCCGTGACCTCGGACAGGGAGCGGATCTCGACGAGGGGCGTGTTGCCGATGCAGGCCTCGATGCCGTCGGCGACTGGCGGTGCTGCGGCGGCGACTGTCAACGGCTCGCCGTCGTCGGATTCATGGTCTTCGAGCGTGAGGGGCGAGCCCCAGAAGAAGCTGCTCTGGCGGCGGACGGACCGCCCGCCGGCGCTGGTCTTGCGCTGGTAGCGGCGCTCGAGGTCCGGATAGAGGTCTTTGAAGCCGAGGGTGGCGAGGACACCGGCGGCAAAGGCGGCGGCGACGAGGGCGGCCGAGGCGTAGGCCTTGGGGTGCTGGGTCAGGGACATTGCTGCTGCGGAGGCGGAGTCGGCGGTGGCGCAAGGCTCATGGTCCCTTTGTTCATGTCGTGGGCTCTGGAGCGAGCTTTAGGAAACGGCGGGAGGGGAGCAGCAGGCGCAGCAGGCGAAGAGGCTTGGATTGCTGTTGTCTGCGTGCATTGACTTGCGCGCCGGCGACAATCTCTGGTGAAGTCATGGCTCATGCTCTCTCCGAGGATTAGCCATGCCGAAGCAGGGGTCCACACGTCGTCGGCGGATTAATCCCCACTCCGACCACTGGCCCGATATGGAAAGCTCGACATGATAATTACAGCTTTTGCTATCGAGAAGCTGCCTCTTGTCTACGCATACGCGAGAAGCTGCCTTTGAAAGACTTCTGCCAACACCCCCTCCCCCCAATGGACTCGCCCGTTGTGGCCCAGCTGTTCCGCCAGCTGTTCCGCCACCGGCCGCGCGGATGCCAGGGCCATCGAGTGCTGCGCAACGGGCTCGGCGTCCACCATCATGACCAGCAGCAGCAGCAGCAGCAGCACGGCCTCGTCCACCGCGCGCCGCGACACCACCGGCCCTACGCGACCCGAGCCTCGCGAGACCGCGGCATGCAGACAAACGAGAGCCGCTGGCAGCAGCGCACGCACATCCTGCCCGAGGACCGGCGCGACGAGTTTGCGCAGTACCCCTACGTGTCGGCGCAGGACCTCAAGAAGCGCACGGAGCGGCCGCGCAGGGTCAAGATGCTGCTGCGGGACTTTATCGACGGTCGGTCTCCTTTGCAGAAGCCATCGTGGGGGGAAAGGACCAAGTGGGCGTTGGGATTGACTGACGGCAAGAATTCCAGACAGCCTCTACAACCCGGCGTACGGCTACTTCTCCAGGCAGGCCGTCATCTTCAGCCCCGGCGAGCCGTTTGCCTTCCACGCGCTGCGCGACGAGCTCGAGTTCCAGGCGGAGCTGGGCCGGCGCTACACCGAGTTCGAGGACGCGCTCGACGACGCAGAGGGCGACAACCCGACGCGGCAGCTTTGGCACACGCCCACGGAGCTCTTCCGCCCCTTTTACGGCGAGGCCGTGGCGCGCTACCTCGTGGCCAACTACCGCCTCACCACGTACCCCTACGACGACCTGCTCATCTTTGAAATGGGCGCCGGCCGCGGCACCCTCATGCTCAACGTCCTCGACTACATCCGCCACGTCGACCCGCAGGTGTACGCGCGCACGCGCTACAACGTCATCGAGATCTCGCCCTCGCTCGCCGACATGCAGGCCCGCCACCTGCGCGCCTCGGCCGAGGCGCGCGGCCACGCCGCCCGCGTCGACATTGTCAACCGCTCCATCTTCGACTGGGACCGCCGCGTGCCCTCGCCCTGCTTCTTCCTCGCCATGGAGGTCTTTGACAACTTTGCCCACGACGGCATCCGCTACGACGTCGCCTCGGGCGAGCCCCTGCAGGGCCACGTCCTCGTCGACGGCGACGGCGACTTTTACGAGTTTTACGCCCACGACCTCGACCCCGTCGCCGCCCGCTTCTTCCGCGTCCGCCACGCCGCCACCGCCGGCGACTACCCCACGCCCTACCCGGACAACCCCGTCCTGCGCTACCTCTCCGCCCGCCTGCCCTTTGCCGCCAACCTGTCGGCCCCTGAGTTCATCCCCACCCGCCTCATGCAGTTCTTCGACGTCCTCGAGCGCTACTTTCCCGCCCACCGCCTCCTGACCTCCGACTTTCACGCCCTGCCCCAGGCCGTCAAGGGCCTCAACGCCCCCGTCGTCCAGACCCGCTACCAGCGCACCACGGTGCCCGTCACGACTCCATTGGTGCGTAACCACCCCCTTTTCTTTGTTCTCATCCCCCCCTCCCCCCCGCTTTCCTCTGCATGGAAACTCAGCGCCCGGCTAACCCGCCCGCCCGCTCCTGCGCTGCGCCTCGCAACACTCCAGGTCCACCAGGGCTACTTCGACATCCTCTTCCCCACCGATTTCCGCATCACCGAGGCCATCTACCGCGCCGTCACGGGAAAGCTCACGCGCGTCATGTCCCACGGCGACTTTATGCGCCGCTGGGCCTACGTCGAGGACACGGAGACGCGCAGCGGCGAGAACCCCCTGCTCACCCACTACAAGAACGCCAGCGTCATGGTCACCGTCTAGGGCGCGTGTCTGTCTGCGTGGATGGCGGCGGCGACGACGGCGGGCGCGGATGAGACTCGGAAGAGCAGCCCCTTCCTTGTAAACTAAGGAGAGCCATGGGCAAGGGAGGACGAAAAGAAGAAGAGATAAAGAGAAGGACGGCAGTAACTATGCACAGAAACATCAGGCGGAGCTGTACCACACGGTCCATGAACCCCTCGTGTCCTCTCGGCGACGCCATCACAAGAACCATCGCTGCGGTGACGCCCAGCATTAGAAAACAGAGCACGTCTCAGCTGTTGCCCCTCTATCGTCTCTGTAGTGTTCCACGCCATGGAAACTATCATGTGAAAACGCTCTTGTTCCAAAGCCCACAGCCCCTAATTCCCATGCCCAGGCCCTTTAGCTCCCGCCCACATGTTTGTTTAGTCCCCAATAAACTGGCCTCGACATGTAGCAAATCCAGTCCCAGCAGCCTCCTTCTCCTTTCACCACACCCTCTCCGGGGCACGATATCTACGTGACAAACAGAGACAAAAGACACAAAATCAACGCGTCTCACAGCTTCAGCTTCTCCTGGAGCCACTTGGTCGCCGTCTCGACGCCCTCGTCAATCTTCTCGGGCTGGGTCCCCTGGCCCTGCCGCGAGGGCTCCTTGCCGCCCGAGCGACCGCCGACCACCTCCGACACCGACGCCGCCCATTGCTCGGCGGTGACGCCCTTGGAGGAGAGGTGCTTTACAGCAACGCTCGTTAGTTTCTCGAGATAATCACCACGGTCCGAAGAGCATCACTTGCGCCCTGAGCAGGGACAAAAGGGGGCGGGGCAGCTTACCGTTCCGACATAGACGCCGTGCACGAGCGCGCCCTCGTCTTTGCTTCCGCCAAACATGTACAGCGTCTTCTCCTTGTCCTTGCTTTGGAAGTGCTTAATCACCTCGGTGAGGGCCTTGGCGTTGCCGCCAATGGGGAGCCGGCCCACGAACCACTTGGAGTCCTTGTTCTGCTCAAAGTGCTTGAGCACGGTGTCGAGCGCGGCCTTGGCCTCGGCCTTTTGGCGCTTCTTCTGCTCGGCCACGACTCCCGTCGCAATCCTCTGGAACCGCTGGTTGAACTCGTCCTTGGTGAGCGTCGAGATGACCAGCTGGCTGATTTCCTGCGACAGCGCCTTGACCTGCGCCTCCTTTTCGGCGCCAAAGGGCAGCGCGTCGAGCGCGTCGAGCTTCTTAAAGAACTCAACCGCCTCGCGCTGGACCTGGTGCGCCGCGGCGCCTGTATACGCGATGATGCGGCGGATACCTTTGGCGATGCCGCTCTCCTCGACAATGATGAGATCCTTGATCAGGCACGTGTTGTCGACGTGCGTGCCACCGCAAAACTCGACACTGTACTGGCGCCACTCCTGCTTCTTGGGGTCCTTGAGCATGGTATCAATGTCCATGCCGACAGACACGACTCGCACGGGGTTGGGATACGTCTCTCCAAAAACGGCGCGCACGCCCTCAATCTCGCGCGCGAGATCCAGATCGACGTCCTTGGAGTAGATCTTGGCTTCCCGGCGGATGTAGGCATTGGACATGTCCTCGATCTTGCGAAGCTCGTCAATCTTGACCTGCGACTTGTGTGAAAAGTCAAAGCGCAGCTTCTCGTTGTCCACCAGAGAGCCCTTTTGGTTGACGTCGTCTCCCAGCACTTCCCTCAGGGCGTGGTTCAGGACGTGGGTGCCACTGTGGTTGTTGCGGATAGGCGACCGTCGGAGCTCGTCATACTCGCAGATGACCTCGTCGCCGGACGACAGGGCACCGTACTCGATGTAGCCGCTGTGCAGAATGTAGCCGCCGTAGTTCTGGACGTCCATGACCTTGAACTCGGCCACGTCGTCGATGACTATGCGGCCCGTGTCGGCAACCTGACCACCAGACTCTGCGTAAAAGTTTGTCCTGTCCACCAAGATGCCGATGGCAGTGTTGGGCGGGAGGTCCTTTGTCGAGCTGTGAAACGTCTTGCCATCGAAAACAAGCTGCACCTTGCCCTTGCTGTCTCCCTTGACAAACTTGTCGTCGTCTTGGGTCCGGGGGATGCTTCGTTTCTGTTCCAGCTCGGAAATCTGATGCACGTCGAGCTTGGCAAACGTGTCGACCGAGTCCTTGACCGCCTTGCTCGCCTCTCGCGCCTTCTCCTTGGCGGCGTTGACCTCGTCCTCGTCGATGTCGAGAGCGCGCTCTTCCGCCATTAGCCTGGTCAGATCGACGGGAAATCCAAAGGTGTCGTAGAGCCGCCACACAATGTCCCCGTCCAGTTTCTTGGCGTTGTCTTTGACCGCCTTGGCCGCGTACCGCTCAAACTGCGCCTCGCCGCGGTCCAGGGTTCGCGCAAACGCCTCCTCTTCCTCATCCAGGATTTCCTTGATGTCTTGCTGCTTCTTGGCCAGTTCGGGGAACTGCTCGCCCATGTGCTCGACCAACGCCGGCAGGATCTTGGAGAAGAAGGACCCGATTTCGGCGCCGAGGTACTTGCGGGCGTAGCGGACTCCTCGTCGCAGGATTCGTCGGATGACGTAGCCGCGGCCGTCGTTGTTGGGCACCGCACCGTCCGAGATGGCAAAGGAAAGGGTGCGGATGTGGTCGGCGATGACGCGGTAGGCCGTGTCGATGCCGTCGGCGTCATCCTTGCCGTACTTGTCGGTATAGGGCCTGACGCCGGTGACGTCCTGGATCTTCTGGAACAGGGGCGTGAAGCAGTCGGTGGCGTAATTGGAGTCTGTATTTTGCAGCGCAGAGACCAGCCGCTCGTAGCCCATGCCCGTGTCGATGTGCTTTGCGGGAAGGGACTTGAGGCTCTTGTCCTTTTGGCGGTCGTACTGGATGAAGACGATGTTCCAGATCTCGACCACCATGGGGTCGTCCTCGTTGACAATGTGCGCAGCGTTGCGGCCGCCGATCTTGTCGTAATGCACCTCGCTGCAGGGGCCGCAGGGGCCTTGGTCGCCCATTTCCCAGAAGTTGTCCTTCATGTTTCCCGGGATGATCTGCTCCTCCGGAACGCCGATAGCCTTCCACAGCTCCTTGGCCTCGAGATCAGGGTCCAGGCCCAGGGCCGGGTTGCCCTCAAAGTATGTGACGTAGAGGCGGGCCGGGTCGAGGCCGTAGACTTTTGTGAGGAGCTCCCAGGCCATGGCGATGGCCTCCTTTTTGAAGTAGTCGCCAAAGGACCAGTTGCCCAACATCTCGAAAAAGGTGTGGTGGTAGCTGTCCTTGCCGACGTCGTCGAGGTCGTTGTGCTTGCCGCCGGCGCGGATGACCTTTTGGGAGTCGGCGGCACGCTTCAGGCCGGCCATGGGGTCCGTCTTGCCAATGGTTCCGAGGAAGATGGGCTTGAACTGGTTCATGCCGGCATTGGTGAAGAGCAGGGAGGGGTCATTGTGAGGGACGACGGAGCCCGAGGGGACTGGATGATTGTCAACATCTTGTCGAACCGCATCCGAAAGACGAAGCAGCATAGTTGATGCGCTGAATAGCCGGGAGCGAGGGTTGGATACCTATCGTGTGACCCCGCTGCTCAAAGAAGTCGAAAAAGGTCTTGCGCACGAGGGCGGCGGGCCACTGGGGGTCGGCCATGGTCGCAATTGAGAAGAGCCGGCGCTGAACTCGAGGCTCGACCGAAAGAAGGCCGGGTCTTGTCGTCGGCGGCAGGAAATTGGCTGCGTGGACGCAACGGCGAGGTTCGAGCGGGTTCTTGACGAGGAGGAGGGGGAGGGGGAGGGGGATGGGGTGGAAACTTCTACAAGCCTGAGTCACAGATACAAGAGGGCGACGAGCTTGCGCCGCGGCCCGCATCTGACCGTCCTCTCTTTCTCTCTCCAATCCACGCCCGCCTGTTCGCTGCACGTGCCGACAAGCCTCGTCCCCCTTTGTTTCGCTTTCTCTCTCAATTTGCCCTCTTCTTAATCATCGTCGTCGTTGTTCGGGGCCGAGGTGAATGACCAGGAGGAGGTGGACGCTGCAACGGACTCGCCGGGGCTGTCAAGGGAAAGAAGAAAAAGATGATGGTTCATCAGGGAGCTGCAGCGGGCCAGTCCCCCACTACAACCGGCGCCTGGTCCCCTGCAACCTGGTCGCCACTACAGGCTGCGACGCCGCCGCGCAAGAGAAAGGCAGAGACGCAGGACAACGAGCGGCTGTCGAAGCGGCTCAGCCTGCTCAATCTTGGTACAATCATGCTCCCTTTCTTCCTCCGCCACGGCTCTCTTCTGCTTCTGATACTAACCCCCGCGCAGAGCAGAATGGCTCCAAGCTCTACGTCCCCGTCGAGTCGCCGACCCTCGCCCTCGGCGACTCCAGCACAGCGACCCGACAGCAGCCGCCGCCGCCGCCGCCGCCGCCCTACTGCAGCGACGACCTCGACGACACGATGCAGCTCGACGACTCCAAGCACAAGGTCTACATCTACAACATTGACGACGAGCTCGCTTCCTCATCCTCTTCCGACGGCGATGCCGACGATGGCAGGCTCGTCTTCCTCCCCGACATCGAGCAGCATCTCCGGGAGAACCGCATCCCCCCACATGTGCTCGCCAACTCCGACGGCGAGTTGGCCGGCATGCAGATGGTCCTGTATAGCGACCCGCGCTCGCTGACGGTGCCCGAGGAGCGCGACGGTGTACACAGGGCCATTCTCGATGCCCGTCGCCGCGTCAGGGAGAAGCAGAGGCAGGAGCGCGAAGGCATCGCGTTTCCGGAGACGCGCCTGGTGAATCAAACCCCGGCGACGCAGGCCGTGGACGCGCACGGCGCTGCGCTCGACGACGACGGTGATGCCATGGACGTGGACTAACAATGCGCGCGCCATGTGACTTATACCCCGACATGCCTGGCGTTGTGGATGGTGATGATAGCGTTTCGTAATAAATGCTTGCTTCATATTTAATATCTGGGTTTGTTCATGTCGCCCGACTTCGCGAGCCATCTCTTCCGCAAAATATGGACCAAATCACAATCCATCCTTGCTCGTTGAAAGAAGACACGCTCTCCACTCTCCACCCTCGGCATCCTAGACCCCCTGTCGACAGTATTATGGCACCACCTGCGATGCGCAGAGCCCAGTTATCACCCCATTTGCTTTGCACAGAAAAGTGACCATAGTAGTCCCCTCCCCTGCCTAGTCCCTCACTCTTGAATCATGCATCTCGAAGCGCTTTACCTATGGTAGTCGGGAGCCGGGTTGGCCTCGGGGGCGCGCGCCGTCGGCTCGTTCCTCCACTGTGAAGGGTCGACCTTTGAACCCCCGTCGGGCGGCGGGGCCATGTAGACGGGAGGACGGTTGGGGTCGTAGACGGGAGGCGCGTTCATGTCGTTCATTGGGTAGGCGTTTGGCTGGTAGTAGCCGTAGTTGGCCTGAGGCCATCCGTTTTGATACTGGGCCGGTTGTCTTGCTCGTCGACCGACCAAGCACTGTGCAGGGGAGCAAACCGATGGTCAGCAGAAGCGCTTCTCTTGCCGTCCTCGCGGATTGAGCGAAGACGGGCGAGGAGTTGGCATGCTTACCCTGTGGTACGCCAACGGAGGCAGTCCCTTTCTGAGTCTGGCCCTGGCGTGCAGGTATCCTCCGACGATGTATCCCATGATGAGGGCAAAGAGGACGAGGAAGATGACCCATTTAACAATGATGCCCGTCTACGGCAAAGTCAGCATCGGCCGTGGACGTGCCTAAACAGGCATCGACAGATGACGCACCCTGCTATGCCACCAGGGAACAATGAAGTTGCCTTCCCTCACCCAGCCAAAGGGCACGTCATCGTCGGCTCTCGCAGCGAGCCCCATTTCGACAAGGCCGTCGTCGTCCGTCTATAGCGCAAAGAGCTCGACTCGTCGGGGCAAGGTCGGATGCGACGCGCAGTATGCGAGGAGGAGAACGACGTAAGGCGAGAGGAGGAGGAAGAGCAAAAATTCCCGCGCTTTCGACACCAGGTCGGATAAATGGCCAAGACTCGAGTGAGCGGGGTCGAGGGTAATCGTTCAGGCCTGATGGATATCTCTTTTGACTGCTCCGGGAAGAGAAGAGGAGGCGGGAGAAGGAAGACAAAGGAAGAGTGGCAAGATGCGCAGCCAGGGAGGCTGAGTTGGCGGGGCAGCCCCCCCTTGGGGCAGCACCCCCCTCCCCCCTGCTGCGCGGCAGCCTGCGTCGCAGAGAACCGCTGCCCGTGTTTCGGCGTCACTGTCAGCCGAGAAGCCGGCACTGTACAGCACCTCCTAATATACGCGTCAGATGCCGACCAACGACGGTCCATTCAAAGGGCCAAAACTGCACCTGCAAAGCCCCTGCAGCGTCCAGGCCTGCCAGGGAATGCGGTTTGGGGTTTGATGGCTCGGCGCGCTTTGCCAGGCCGCTCACCCACTTATACCGTGCATTGAATCCCGCGGATACGCAAACCGGGCGCATCAATGAACTGGGCGGGCCATTTCTGATCCCCCACCGGTGTATGTGGTTGACGATCTGTTTCGAGTTCTCGGGCACGGATGCCATCTTGTTCGAGGATCGTATTCGTCAACCTCGTTGCTCAGAGAAGCGACAAAGGTCGACGGGCGCAAGACACGCACGCAGAGGGCCATGCACGGTCCCTCGCAACTTATGTGCGGCACGAGTGTCTAAGGTCGACGACCAGACGTCCATGCGTACGGAGGTCCAACATCAGCCGGCGTCACTGACAGTACATGACGTGGCGGAAGGCATCCAAAGATGTTTCACTCCAACGCACTTCACAGCAGAGAGGCATTGCAAGTAGACGGCAAAAAGTCGCTTTCCTGCCAAGCATGTAGGTAGCCGCTCAACGCCTGCCCATGTTTACCAATACTCCAGCTTACCCTTTTCTCTACCCTCTCCCATCACAGCCCTATGCCGCCGGCTGCCCACTCCCGGAAGACGCCGTTGCCCTCTCCATGGTCGCCCTGCGCCTGGTGCGCCGGCTGCCCCCGGTTCCGTCTCCTCTCTTCGTCCGCCTGCGCGTTGGCCTGCTGCACCCTCTGTCGCCACCAAAGGAGGAGCACGAGCCCCGAGGTGACGCCAATAATCACCACACTCTCCAGCAGTCCGCCGTCCTCGAGGCCTTCCTCCCCGGCGCCAATCGTCCCATCCAGCCCCTCGTCCCCGTACAGCTCGTCGTCGTAGAGCTTGTCGTCCTGCAAGAAGTTGGCAATCCACTCGGAAAGAGACCAATCCTTGCCCTTTTCTGTTTACAACACAGTGGTCAGCACAGTCGCCGACTCCGGGGCACATCAAAACTTACTGGGCTCGTCCTGGATCGAGTGGATGGGGCCATGCGTGAGCGTATTCCACGCGCTACGGATGCGCAGCTTCAGCAGCCCCAACGTCACGGGGAGATATGCCTCCTCGTTCACCTCGAGCGCGTGGTCGTAGTATCGTTTGGCGAGATGGAAGTCCTGCGTCAGCCCGACTCCGTTCTCGTGCATCCATCCCAGGTTGAAGAGGGCCTGCGCGCTCTGCGAGTAGTCCGATGCTCCCGTGTAGCAGAGCACAGCCTTGCCCACGTCCTGCTCGGTCCCGATGCCGTAAAAGTAATAGTCTCCCATCTTCACCAGGGAGTCAATGTTGGCTTGTCTCGAGGACCGGGTCCAGTAGATGAGCGCCAGACCCGGGTTGTCCAGCAGGCCGCCCTCCTCCTTGGGCTTGCGGAGCCACTCCGAAATGGGCAGCCGGGACCGGAACTTGTCGACCATGTACGCCATGTTGGTCTGCGCCTTTTCGTATCCCTGCTCGGCAGCCATGAGGTATTGGAGCAGAGCGAGCTCGTAGTCTCCGGTCTCGTATGCGTCGTTGGCGTCGGCCCATGAAGACACCAGCGGTTCTGCCTTCTCGGCCACGTTTTTGTAGTAGTTAAGGGCCATCCCACAGAGTTTTTCCCTACCAACTCCGTGGTAGACCATCTCGGCCAGGTAGTAGTGCGCCTCGATGTTCCCATGCCTGGCCGCGAGCTCAAAGTGGTTGTTGGCGATTCTCAGGTCGTCGGGCTCGCCTTGGTCGAGGTAGAGCCGGCCCATCTGGACCTGTGCCGGAGCATAGTCTTGGTTCGCCGATGCCGCAAACAGCTCCATGGCCAGCTTGACATTTTCCTTGCCGCCATGTCCGTTCAACAGCATCAGGCCTTTGCCGTATTGCGACTGCGCGTCGCCGAGCGAGACGCCGCGGTCGAACCAGACCTTGGCTCGTTCAAAGTTCTGGACCACGCCGTCGCCCCGGAGATACATCCGCCCGATGAAACCGGCGGCCTTACCAGCCATCTTCTCAATCTCCTTGGTGTAGCCCTCGACCACGCGGTTGTCCCTTTTCCAGTACCTCGACGCGACGAGAAAAAAGTACTTGCGGGCCAGATCGAAGTCTTTGTCGAGGCCGCGCTGTCCTTCGTAGTATATTCTTCCGAGGTTGTACGAAGCCTTGGAGTCGCCTTTCTGCGACACGAGATCCAGGTATTCGATGACGTCGCCGATGGCGGCATGCGCATCCGAATGCGGGCTCGACTTTCGAGAGTTGATGCCAGAGCTGGACACACTGGCGCCTTCTCCATAGACGCCGCCCTCGTCGTCGGCGATGCGCCACGCTTGGTACACCCACGACATTCCACCTGGGGGTCCAGAGCGATGCCAGTTGATGGCCTTGTCGGCGACTCGCTTGTAGTATTTGACGGCCGTCTCGCAGTCTTTACTGGCGCCGATGCCCCCGTGGTGTCGAAACGCTGTCGCCATCTCGGCTCGGGTATCGCCCCTGATGGCCGCAAACGAGTAATAAAGTAGGGCCCTTGCCTGGTCCCGGGCGACGACACCGCCTACCCCGGTCGAGTAGTAGAGACCCAGCATATACTGCGCCGTGGTGTTTCCGTGCCTCGACGCAAGTTGGCGGTAGTGGTCAAAAGCCACGTGGAGGTTTCGAGGGTGGCTGTAGTTGCCGAAGAAGTTGAGCTCGGCGAGGATGTAGTGGGCGTCCGAGTTGTTTTGATGGGCGGCTTGCCGGAGTAGCTCAACGGCGCTCGAGACGGGCCCGCCGGTAGCCGTTGGCGGCTTTTCCTGGGATGGCGCAGTGGCGGGACCGGTTGGGATCGTCTTGAGGACATATCGGAAAGCAGAGACGACGATGCTGGAAGTTTGTCGCCGTCGGCCGTGTGATGATCGCGGAACCTTTTGGAGCTCGGCGAGAGCGGCGTCTACAAGATGGGCTCCTGAACCCGTCAGTTTCGAGGTGTCGATGCGCTTCATGGGGCTGAAGAGGCAAACCTGGTTGCCGGACCGCGGGCTGGCTCTGGTCCTCGACCAGGTCCGGTTTCGGGCCAAGGCCATGGTTCTTGGGCGGACGCCGTGCAGCCTTTTCTCTCTGAGTGTCGTGATAGTACTGCGCGTTCGTACACAATACGGCAGCGGCCTGCCAGAGCACTGTTCAGGGAACGGGTCAGCTGGCTTTGGGTCATGGCGAGGTGGTACGGGGCCACGTACAGAGCAGGCAGACGGTCGCGCTCTTCATTTTGGGCAACAATGGATGTGCCTGTATGTTGTGAAGCGGTGCTAGAGCATGGCTGGGCCCTCGGCCGGCGCGTGCAGCGAGGGTTGGACAGCGCGGAGAGAATCTGAAGCTGTCGAGAGCGGCCGGGCTTGGTAGATAAAGTTACAACTTGTCCACTTTGTTTCCAGTTACGTAGCGTCAGAGCCGACGTGGGGCAGATGATTCGCCCCGAGGGACGATGGGGCGATGACTAATCACGGGTCGAGCTTGCCAGGTGGACAGGCTGGTTCTGGGCAACTTGGAGCATTCTTCACCCGTTCTCGTAGTCACTTCGGTGAAGACTCATTCATGCTGCTCCCAAGGCATGCAAACACCTTGCTGCAGACACGTCGATACTTTGGCTGGACATTAGATGGAGTCGGTCACCCGAGCGCTGGCATAAACGTTGGCTGGACGGAGGGTTGACGAGACCTGTGAAGCCGTACTGCCAAGGGAGTGACTGAATAGTTATCTGGACGCTGAACCGGCTCGGCCCCACCAACAAAGTCCAGTCCGGCGTGGGTACGCGGAATCTTGGCCGATGGTCGGGAGAGGGTACCGACTATCCAAAAGGGACCCTTGGAGGGTATCGTTGCTCGTCCCGATGACGCTCCAGCAACAAAGCCCAGCTATCCGAGGAGGTCAAATGGCCATGGGCAAGGCAAGGAGCTTAACAGGGCATCGTCGTCCTCTCGGCTTCTGCCGGAGCTGAGACATACTTCCGGTTATATGCCTCGCAAATTTCCTCTGCATAGTCAGGAACATTCCTCTTGTTCGTCCGGAAAGAGTATCGTTGTTGATGCCTAGCAAATCTTATCGCTTTGGGTGCGGTAAGGGAGCTCAGCGGTCGCGGACAGGGATGTAAACCAGTAAAAGCGCCTCGCGGTTGCAGGTACTTGTATCTGCTACGACAGCTCACTACAATATAAGTCCCGTCAGCTTGCTAGTGTACATGAGGCCTAGCGGTGCATTGCGTATATCTCTGCCCCATTACCAACTTTGATCCGCTCAGCGATGCGTACCTAGATACTGCAGAACTGTGCCCTCTTAAGCTCCCTTACCGCAGCCAAAGGGACCGGGTGATGCTTTCGCGTCCCATCGTCAACCGGAAAGACCGCCCGTTGGAAGCTGGCCGTGAATTTCGGAGTTGGTACTCCGTATTAGCGCCCGACCCCTGGGCGCAAGCGGGCGGTTGACAAAGCTGCGGCCCACTGTGGCTGAAGAGGTCCAGATCCCGTCCCTGGGAACTGACAGGGACACGCGACGAATCGAACGGCCGGCAATTAATATTAGCGCGTTAAATTACCGGGGGCTTGCACCGCGTCTCTTCAGCGCGTTTTGTCACGTCGTCATCCGGTGTCTTCTACTAGCTGACTTTTCCCACTGTTTCCGAGTCATCAAAAAGATTTGGCCGTCGATTCGCTTGGTCACCACTCACGGTCTGTCCTTGTTGGCAGAGTCATAATCGCTCCCACGCCCTTCAGGATTCCGTCCCGCCTTCGTCCCAGAGCTGCGCTCGTTGGCCGAGAGCTCCGTCTCCTTCACCCGAGCTGTCGACGTCCTCGCATCATGGCGACACTCAAGCGCAAGAGCGGCTCCCTGGCCAATGAGGGGGAGTCCAAGAAGCCCAAGGCAAATGGCAACATTGCCGCCTTCTTCAGTACGCCGAAGCCAAAGACGGCCCTGCAGTCCCCCACGCCAGCCGTCAAGTTCGACAAGCAGGCGTGGATGGCTGGCCTGACGCCGGAGCAAAAGGAGCTCCTCCAGCTCGAGATTGAGACGCTTGATGAAAGCTGGCTGGCGCACCTCAAGGATGAAGTCACTTCGAGAGAGTTTCTAGAGCTCAAGAGGTTCCTCGACAAGGAGACGGCGGCGGGCAAGAAGTGGTTCCCTCCAAAGGGGGATGTGTACTCGTGGTGCGTCGTGTCTGATCTTGAGCCCTCTAGCCTCGATAGAAAGGGTCTTCCTAACATGCCTCAGGTCTCGCCACACTCCATTCCAGAACGTCAAGGTTGTCATCGTCGGCCAGGACCCCTACCACAACGTCAACCAGGCCCACGGCATGGCCTTTTCCGTCCGGCCGCCCACTCCCGCACCGCCTTCTCTCAAAAACATGTACATTGCGCTGAAGAAAGACTACCCGAGCTTTACGTCCCCGCCCAAGAACGGCGGTCTCCTGATACCCTGGGCCGACCGCGGCGTCCTCATGCTGAACACGTGCCTCACAGTCCGGGCTCACGAGGCCAACTCGCACGCCAGCCGGGGCTGGGAGCGCTTCACGCAAAAGGTCATTGACCTCGTCGCTCAGAAGCGCACGCGCGGCGTCGTCTTCATGGCATGGGGGACGCCGGCCGGGAAGCGAGTGCAAAAAGTGGACAGGCAGCGGCACCTCGTCTTGCAGAGCGTGCATCCCAGTCCCCTCAGCGCGTCGAGGGGTTTTTATGACTGCGGGCATTTCAAAAAGGCCAACGAGTGGCTGGTTACGAGGTACGGCGATGAAGGCGAGATCGACTGGGCTCTGACACCGGGCACGTCGACCAAGAAGCCGGTCGTGCCGGCAGCAGTTGTCACGGGAGTCAAGGTAGAGAAGAAGACGGTGGACATGTCCAGTTCGCCGGCGGGTAAAGCGGGCAAGACAGAAGACGATATTGACTCGGGTGATGAGGAGGCTCTTGAAGAGGCCCTCAAGCTAGCAGAGGAGGAGGAGGCAAAGAAGTAAAGGCGGCCTCGTTCCCTTGAACCGAGCAAAGGGATGAAGTAGAGGCAGAAGAAGAGACGAAAAGGACAGACGATCAAATTCAACAGGCCGAGAGCCGGTTTCACATTGCGCGAATGATCCTGGTGGGACAGCAAGCACTTTGGCATGACGCTGCCCAGGGATGGACGGACGCCCGGGCCCACAAAGCCGACGTGAAGAGAGTCGGGCATCTACAAGGAAGAATGGCAATGGGGCCCTTCGGGAAGCTAGGTGCCGTAGTTTCGGAAGAGTCGAGTGGGTGGTGGAAGGGTAGGCAGAGGGTAAAGCTCGGCGGTCGTGGGCATGATGTGCAGGAGGAAATGCTCTCTCGTGTGCTCAATGCATGACGGAAGACAGGGCCAATGATGGATGATGGCCGCCTTATTTTTCAATATTTAAGGCACTTGCCCTTTTTTTCGCTCCTCCTTTTTGTTTGGCGGCCATGGATGCATTGAGCCCCCCCTCTTCCCGGGGCGCGCATGATGCAACGATTCATGCTCGCTCGCTGCAGACTTGTTTCGTGTTGCCAGCGCATACATGCCTTGTGGCAATGCGTCGTCAGCCAATGGATCTGTAGACTCCGACCAAAAACGAGCCTGTCGATTTGGCGGGCCGGCCTGGCGATCGACGCCCGCTCACCGGCAGGCCAAATCGTGAGCTGTCTACCGCTGACCTGTCCCTTGCCCCGTTCTTTCCCGTGTTCTCTCTATCTCTCTCTCTCGCGCGGAGGGACGAGGGCTCTCGGATAGCTCATCGATTTGACGACGGGTTTCCCACCGACTCTCGAGGGCGAACCTTGGTTGGCCAACTCACACGGCACGGCCGTCAGCCCAGCGAGGACGTGGAGCGTGGAGCGTGGCTTCTGTGCAGCCAACGAGGTCGCGACACTGTGTTTTGACCGTCAGAGCTGGGGGCTGAGCTGCACGATACAGAGGGTAAGGGTGGGAACGCGACAGGCGCCCAATTGAGTCATACATAATTACATGTTTGCCCTCTCGTGTCGTTGCCAGTCGGCGGCATCTGCACTGCACTCACTGCACGACACGGAATGCCGACGTCTGCCAAGGGGGAACCCCGCGATGGAGCCTTTGGACGGGGCATCAAGGGCCATCCATGTCGCCCATGTCTACTACGGGCTTTATTTCATCATGTACTGTATAAAAAGGTCGCTGTCATGTCGGACCCGTTATTAGTGCGAGCGCTTCTCGGGGCAAGACGCCAATCAGTCCACTGTCCGACGCGCCAGCAGAAGCAAAGGTTGGCAGCGGCAGCTGCAGCAGCTGCGCCAAAAAAAAAAAAAAAACCTCCCCAATAAAAAGAAAAGGGGTGTTGAGGAGGCGGCGTCCAAGAGAGAGGGCTGAAAGTCCGGGTGATGGGGACAAACGGCTGCATTTCTCGTCTTGACCAATGCTGCCACAGTAAAGGGGAGGGCGGCTCGCCACAAAGTACTGTCTGTGCTGCTGTCGGTACCTACAGTACCTACCTACCTACCTATTGGATTGACTGCCAATACGGGGAGCAGCAGACGCGAGAGAATGCAAGCTCGGAGGTGCCGCGTGCGATGGATGCGAGAATTGCCATCGACTTGGCATATGTATGCATGCAAGCAAGCACTTGCAGCCTGCCGAACCGCACTTCTTTTTCGACGTTTATTTTCTGTGAGCCGTGCGTGGGTGCACAGCAGCCAAGTCAAGCATGGTGGCAGCGAGCGCACGGGTGAGACAGCCCGTGTTGATCCGAGTTATCGTTACAGAGTACTACTCGTGGAGAAATCCTCTCTCCGAATGGGACGGCAGGGCCGCAGACGGGAAAACCTTGCTCATCACGGTGTGGCACAAGAGAGCTGCTGCCTGCGCCTTTGCTGCCGTCGTCGTCGGGTGCTGTACGGAGTATGTACGGAGTACGGTGTACGGATAGCAGGCAGGCTTGGCCTTGACATGGGTGACATGGATGACATGGCTCATTGGTGGCCCGCCGCGGCAAAAGGGCCAATTTCATCGCCGTCTGTGCCTGGCAATTTGACAGAGGCACGGCAGTCAGCAGCAGCTATCTCCTCCCCTGGCCAGTCTGGCCCTCTCACCGGGCGCATGCAGGTACAGTGTACATGCACCGTGCCTCGCCGTGCCTCGCCGTGCCTCGCCGTGCCTCTAAAAAACTCGCGGTACGAGAGTTGACAAGCAACTCTGTCTGGCTGCAGAGACATGCTTCTGGCTCGAGAGGAAAAGTAACCTTCTCGCGTTGCTGACCTTGTGCTTTTCGAGTTTGCACCTACATCGTTAGCCGCTGGCCAAGCTCTGCGTTCTCTCTTCTCCTCTGCACGTACAGTATGTACAGAGTACTAGGTACCGAGTACAGTGCACTCGCCCGAAGTACAGTACCCCAAGCGAAGCGCTAGATACTTTATTAGTAGATACCTAGGTACTGTACCTCGAGGACCCGCAGCCCGCCCAGAATGGACCCTCCCAAATTAGGTGCCCGTCATCCCAAGCGGGACCTGAGGCCCAATCTTATTAGTGCGCGCCGTGGAGGGGAGAGACGCCCCTTGTCGCGCATCACGTCCGCCCCTGAAAGAAGAATCTCTCTCTCTCTCCCGCAAGCTCTCTCTTTCGCATCATCACCATCATCGTCGCCCCTTCTTCCCCTTTTCACCCTTTTTTTTTCTTCCTCCTCCTCCTCCGCCGCCGCCGCCGCCTCCTCTTCTCCCCGTGGGCTGGTTCGTCTTTCCCGCACCCGTTCGCTTCGCGTTCGTCCGTGCCTGCCTGATCCTTGTTCCGCTTCTGCTTCCCTCTTCATCCTTCTCCTCTTCTAGTCTTCATCTTGATTCGATCCCCGCTCGGCATCTCTTGGCCGCTGTCTCCCGTCCCTTGCCCTGCTGCAAGCCATCAGACTTGCCTCGATGTAGGATCAACTCTGATCCCGCCGGGCCCCTCCACCGCTGACTTACACGGCAGTCAGAATCACCAGCTGCAGCTCTCTTGCCGTGTTCGCCTACTCATTTCTCTGGCCTTTTTTTTCACACCACCAATAGCTGCCGCTTTTTCTCTTGTCACTTCTCCTTCCCTTCCCTTTCCTTCTTATTCACCACTCTTCCACCCTTCTTTCCCCACCACTCTCTGCGCCGTTCGAGCGATAACAGGCTGTCCAACGGCCAGCCCCTTGTGTCGACTCGACGGCTTCGGGCTGCCTCGCCTGTCCTCTGGATGAATTGCAGCCTCGCCACTTGACCGATAACTCGCCTTCTCTGCCCGCCGCAGCTGCAAGACCTCGCCGCCATGCCCGGCTTCTTCTCCCGGCTCAAGGGCCGAGATGGCGCCAAGTCAAAAAAGAGAAATGCGCTCGACGCCCCCGGCGGCTTGCAGCTCCAGAAGCCTAAGTGGGAAGATGCCTACATGCGCAAGACAGTCGAGCCCGAGGAGATTCACGAGCTGCTGCACTACTGCACCGCAGAGCTCAAAGCGAGAGGTATGAATCTGCGATACATGTGCTGTCTCTGCCTGCCTCAACTGACTTGTGTCTCGTACCTCAGGCCTCGATATTCCCTTCCTTCTCCTGCCCTTTCGACCGACCTCGAATCCCAGTGCCGTCCGCACTTTCATTCGCCATTTTTTCGACCAGTCCTTTCCTCTCAAGGGAGAAATGCTGCTTCAAGAGCTGCGCATGACCGAACCCATGGTAAGAGGCTTTCCAGCCTCGGACTCATCCCGAGCTGACATGCTACGATTTAGGTCATATCCGGCGTCGCAAAATGGTGCTGGAGCCGTCTCCAGGGGGGTGTCGTTGGATGGGACGCTTACGAGCTGTTCAAAGTTGGCGAATATGGTATGAAGTGCGCTTTTCCCTCGCCGTGCGTCGCACTGACTCTTGGCCCAGACTCGAACAAGGCTCGCGACTCTTTCAAGACCTTTATCCCAATAAGCGTCGAAAACGGCGCCAAGCAGCGCATCATCTTCGACTTCTTCGACCTCATCGCCGCAATCGCAGCCCACGGCAAGTCAAACGGCTTTGGGGGCCGAAAGCTCTCCCGCATGGCTGCCTGGTGGGCGTTTGAGCAAAGGGAAACGGGCAGCGGCTTCGACGGCGGTTACAAGGCTTGGCTAAGGTCAGGCTCGGCCTCTAGAACCTGCCGCGCAGTGAGCCGAATGCTGACTTAGGTTGCAGTGCTGCCGATGCCACGAGCCACCTGTTTTTCGCCTATCTGAGGTCCCTCTCTCCTGAGCAGAACCTCACGGGAATCTCCATGCTCCCCAGGTCGCTCGAGAAACTGCTCAAGGAGACCGATTATCCCCCGCCGACGTCCAAGCAGATGATGTGTAGCACCAACAAACTTGCCATGGTGGTTGATGCCGTGTCGCCCACGCCATTTGCCCTCCTGCGTCGCGCGGGCCATTTCCAGTATCGCGACTCGGACGTCGGCCTCCAGGAATTCGCCAGCTACGATGACCCGGTGAAGGCCCTGACGGAGGAGTGTCTTCGGGTGCTCAAGGCCATATCGGCAGCGAACCAGTCGCAAGTCTCGAGTGTCAAGCACTCGACGAGTCTGCGTGATGCATCTTGGTCGCGCTTCGAGGACATCGGCTTCGCCAGTCCCCTGGAGGAAGATGATACCGAGGAAGACGGCACGGCGTCGCCCAGGCCCCTCCAAGGTCTTAGGAGCATCCCTGTATCTGGCAACGACATGGGTCGCCCCACAACCCCGTCCTGGGCCGACTTCCTGTCTTCCGGCTTCCACGACGACAACCCGCATCGACCCAACATGCTCTTGCCCCCTGACAAGGCAATCCCACCCCTCGAAAGCCAGTTCAGGCAACACCAGAGCTCCCAGTCTCATCGCCCACGACTAGAACACGAGAACGATCTCGAGCCGGGCGAACTTGCGAGCATCACTATCTTTGAGTTGGACGACGCGTTTTGGTGGGTGTGGATGATCAGTCTTGCCCCGGAGGAGACTGCGGACAGGAAATCGGCCTTTGGTAGGTGTGCCGTCATCGAGACGAAGATTGGCAGCGCCCGATGGATTGTGGTAGAGGAAATGATTGTCGGCGCCGCGCCGGAGCCCGAACAAGGCGCCTACATTGCGGAAAAGAAGCGCTTCTTTAGCTGGACGAAACGGGGCAAAACCCTGGGGCGATCAAAGTCAATGGCCCGCAAAGGCCAAGACCGAGGCGACGCCAACGCGGCCGCCAAAGGAGGATCCGCCAACGTGATTCCCGGAGCCGAGACTCACGCCAGGATCCAGGCCAAGGCTGCGCAACTGCGTGCCATGAAGGATCACGAACAACAGGCGGCGTCTGCAGCGAACTCGCAGCGTCGCGGCCGCACAGATGCGGAGCTGCTGGCGGAGAAGACTAACAGCATCTTCACCCTGCAGCCAAACATTGCCGGCGAAGCCTCGTCTGCCATGAAATGGGTCAAGAAATACGACAAGGGCACCATTAAGGATGCGTACTTGGCCAACAACAATGCTGGTCGCGGTCTCGCCGTGTCTCCGGTACCATCTGACGGCGGCCCTGTTGCCGGGACGGATGACCGGGAGGCCGGTCCCCGGGTGCCTGCTAAGGATCTGTCGCCAGCCCCGAGCGCACCACCAGGCTCACCGCTCCGTTCTCCGCTGTCTCCAGCGCCGGAGCCGGAGAATGAAGAGCGGCGAATGTCTTCGTGGGAGATCGTCGTTGACGCGGGCGTCGGTTCGTCGGAGCAGTGCCCCAGCCCCATCCCCCTACCGAAGGACTCGGATTATGAGCCGTCCGAGCCGAAGACCTCAACAACCTCCGAGAGGGCGAAGCTGCACAAAAACAAGGGAAAGTCTGGCGGCTTCCGCAAGTTATTTGGCCGAAAGAATCGTTCACACAAACTTCCGGAAAGTTCTTCCGCTCCCCTGAATGGCGTGCTGGGACAAGGGCAGCCTGCCGCGGCGCCTGTCGTGCAGCAGACTCTGACCCCGGCGGCCACTCCCCCCCCTGCTGAGGAGGGCGTGGCTCCCGCACCACCTAACGAAGACGAGCTCCCAATCGAAGCTCCGTTTCCAACCAATCCGGAACCGGACACCCCCAGGTCCATGGAGCCTCCAGAGCAAGATCAGGAGCCTGTGGATGAGCCCGCGGAGGATCGCAAACATGAGGCCCTTGCCGGAGATGACATCTCCCAGATCGACGCCCAAGACGCCGCCGAGGCTGACCAGGCATTCTCGCGCTTCGACCAAGGGCCGTTGACGGATCAGCCTGCGTTTGTTCCCGATGACGAGGAAGACGCGGTTCCGCCGCCCATTGCCCGCCACCCCCCTACCCAGGATGGCTCAAAGGCAGTGCCAAAGAAGGCCCTGGAAGAGCTAAGCCATAGTGCTAGCCCTGGAGTGCAGGATCGTTGGGCCCAGATCCGCAAGAATGCCGCCCAGAGGGCAGCCACACGTCCTAAGGAAGACAATCCCCCAGTCGCTTCCGGCAAGGCAGCCGAGGGCGAGGAAGACGTCAGCGGAGAAGAGAGTATGTGATGACCTGAAGAGAGGGCCCCTAATATGCGCAACCACTAACCACCTGCCTAGCAATCGAGTCCCGCGTCGCCCGCATCAAGGCCCGCGTGGCTGAGCTCACTGGCGGCGCCGGGGACAGCAATGGAGCCCAAGCAGTCTCAAAAGCGCGCTAGGACCGAATGACTTTCAGGAGACCCTTTGAGGACTCTGCGGCTCATTGCGGGGCGGGAAGGACGACTGACTATTTAACCCTGGTTTCCTACCAACAACCACGGCACCTCGCATTGACCTAGATAAGGCTGTTTCGGTTCTGCTCGTGCGGCAACATTTCCTACTTGAGCCCATCTACTCATAATGCGAGCCTTCGCCTTTTCATCTGTTTGGGCTATTTCTTTTCTTTCTTCCCCCTTTCTTCTTGATTTCGATTATTTGACCCCCACATGATACCACGGGACGACGGATATGGTCATGGGAGCAAGAGGCGGAAAGCAATGCCTGCCTCGGCTACACCAAATCAGTAATTTGTCTTTGCGCCCCTTCTTTGATTCTATTTGGACAGAGCTTGAGCGAGCGAGTTCAAGACTGAAGAGTTGATACCATCGATTCGCGAGCCTTTTGTGTTGTTTCTTATTCTCATCCGGGCCATTGTCCTTGGGATTTCTAGCCGTTGCGCGTCTCTTTTGTCGTTGATATTCACTCGAGCAACTTGAAGCTGGTCAGCGCACGGCGGCCAAATCCAGATGCAATTACAAGTTGATATGGAGCGGGCAAAAAAAATCAGACGACTCATGTAGGCTCGTGCTGGTGATGTCTGGCGTGTGCCTCGTAGAATTCTATCTAGCAAGCTCAGGTATGCCTGCGACGAGAAGTGCTGGACGGCATGGCCATCCACTACTGCCTGCCGTGCGCAGTTGCCTCCCTCCCAAAGAGCATACAGATACATGGCCACGGCCGGTGTCTAGGATACGCCAGGCCCGCCATCTCCCAAGCATGTGACTGGGGTGAGTGAATACCTAAGCATGGCCAACGCTGTCTGCCAGGGCACCGGCCGTCATCCGAGTCGTCGGGTTCGGGCGTCATCTGTCGGGTGACGGCTTGGATTCATTGCCGGCCTACGATTTCTGTCGGAACGGTTCTTCAGCGGCGGCGCCAGGTGCCGGTGGATGCCCCGGCGGCAGAGCAGGAGGTTGCGGCTCGGTAGTGCCCTCGGGCTGTGTGTGTTCCGGGGGGGATATTATGGTCAGGCCGCGGAGCTCCTTGGCCGCCTCGCTGTCGCCCATGTCCCTTTCTTGTCCGGACGCAGAAGGGGCGTGCGGCCTATCGAGGTCGACGGGCTTGCCGTCGGCGTGGTCCTCCTTCATGCGGATGACGTCGTCCTTTTCAATGTCGGCGGCGGCCCTGACGCCGACGAAGCCGCAGCGCTGGAGGATCTCGCCAATGAGCTCCGGGTAGCGCAGGTGGCCGCTGACGCGATCGCTCAAGTCGACGTTTTCGACGCCGTCGACGCCGAGGATGGGCTGCAAGCCGGCGACGCCGAGCTTGAGGCTGTGCATGCGGTAGACGAAGCCGAGAACCATGTCGTTTTCCGAGTAGACGTTGAAGACCTTTCCCGAGACGATGGCGCGCAGGGTGCGCCAGTGGGCCGGGTCCGAAGGAGCGGGGGCACCGATGACGACGGCGGCGGCGACGAGGCCAAAGGCGCGGCGCTCGGCGAGTGACTCTAGGCAGGCGTGGACGGCGGCGGCGCCGAGCGAGTAGCCGACGAGGACGACAGGGCGCTCGCCCTGGACGCGGTTGATGAGGGCGTCGGCGAGCAGGCGGCCGGCCTTGCGGGAGCGGTTGCTGGCGCGGCTAAAGGGGTTGTCGATGTTGGAGGCGGCGGCGAGGAGCTGGATGGGCCACAGGGCGGCGAAGAGGGTGGCGAGGACGGTGCGCTTGATGACTTGCACCTTGAGCGTCTTCCACGCAAACGAGTGCACCAGGTCGCGCAGCGCCGTGCCGAGGGCGAGCAGCGTCTTCATCTCGTAGCGCAGCGCAAAGACCTCGGTATCCGGGCTGAGGACCCGCCAGGGGGCTGTCACGTCGTCCTCGGCGTTGAGCCAGCCGTTGATGCCAATGGTGACACGCAAGCGCCGCTGGTCTTTTTCCTGGTCCTTTTTGCGATGCTTTCCGGCCTCCTCGGTGTCCCCCTCTTGGTCCTGGAGCGGGATGAAGCGGAAGTCTTCCACCTCGCGGGCGTAGCTGTCCATCATCTCACCCTGGACGCCCCTCTCGTCAGCCGCGCCGCAACGACAAGCTCCAGAGACCGACTCACCGTCATCTTGGCGCCGTACGCACCAAAGAGCGCGCCGACCAGGGCGCCGTTCATCCAGAAGATGCCGAGGAAGCTGGCCACGCCGCCGAGGCCGACGCCGCCCAGGATGCCGCCGAGAGCCCCCGCGACCAGCGGCGCAGCAAGGCCGCCCGTGACGCCGATGATGGTGGCGCCCGCGACCGAGGCCAGCCCGACCTTCCAGAGGCGGCTAATCTTATTCTGCTGCCGCCGCTTGGCGGCCTCGGCCTCGGCCGACATGGTCTCCTTCTGGCCCTGGTCGGCGGTGGAGGACTCCATGAGCGACCGGGCGATCTCCATCTCCTCCCTGTTGACAAAGACTTGCGGCAGCTCCAGGGCCGAAGCCAGGTAGAGGATCAGAGCGCGGGAGTGCGCCGAGTACTTGCCCGTGGCGAGGAGGAGCAAGAGGATGCAGCTGAGGGACTCCCTCCTGTCTTCGGCGGGGATGGAAGCCAGCTCGGTGGGGATGGGGTGATACAGAGCCCGGAGCGAGGCCACGTCCTCGGACTCGTCCGGCTGAACATGCCCAAAGCTCGTGGTGTACTCGCCCTCCTCGGGGATGTCGAATTGCTGCTGGTCATACTTGGCGCGCCTGGCCTTGCGCTCAGCCTGAATCTTGGCACTGTCCTGCACATCGACAACCTCCTGCAGCCTCGGCAGAAACTCGTCTCTCCACTCCTGCACGTGCTGGACAGCCGCCCTCTGGATGCTCTGGGCCTCCCGGGCAGCCTTGCCGGCGGGCTCCTTATCGTCGGCGGCATGTTGCCTCTGGTCCTGCGTCTCTTGACGGGGAGGCAAGGACGGGGCTTGTGCGCCGGCATTGTCTCCCTCATCGGCGTCAGCTTCTGGGGAGACGGAACCAAGCTCATCGGCGGATGTCTCAAGTTGGGAGATCATGTGCGAGGTGATGTCCCGGACGAGCTGGAGGAGGGCCTGGCGCTGGGGAGGTTCCAGGGCGATGACGACTTGGCGGGGGTCGGCGCAGAGGGGCGCCATGATGACGGGGCCGCAACAGATGGACGCGGAGGAGGGTATGAATGCGGTGGCAGGAGGTGAAGAGAAGAAGAACGGACGAAGTGCTATTGAAACTTTGAAGGATCTCCCGGGACGAGACGGAGCTATCGATGCTGCATGGCGATGGTTCTTGATCAGGCACAGGTGCGGGTACTGGGGTACATCAGCATACCCTCAAGCCCGGCCTTGGATGTGTTCAGGATTCAGCGGGCACGAGGTTGCATTTTGTACTCGTCGAGACTCGGTTCGAGTGACGTCGATGGAGGCGGATGCTGACGAGTGGCGGGAGACGGTTGGCGGAGAGGCGGGAGGACCCTTGGCCTCGAAACTCTTTGTTTAGCGCGGCCCGTCGGCATGCAATTTCATCATCGTGTTGCTTGATGCCTCGACTGTTACAAAAAGAGACGCTCCAAGGCCCTGCCATGCAGGTATAGGGTAGCTTGCTCGCTCTGCAGTGGGTGGGTTGGTGATAAGGGAAACTGCAACCACATGAAAGCATCTTGAATCATCATCAATAATCCGCTCAATGAATGTCCGTCCAACTTGAAAGACGGCCGGCCATTGGCCAACGGACAGGCCAAGCCCAGCGGGAGCCTAAAATGAAGCCCGAGGACGAAACGCCTGCCCTGAACCCACCAACTAATAAGTTAATATACACTACCCAAAATAGGTAGACGCAGGACTCTGATTCCCATCTCGCAAAGTACGTACTTTGCAGCATGTGCCCCACCAAAAAATTCCATCCTCGACAGCCTCGATCGACCACCGGCCCGCGTCCTCCAGTCTCGGCAAGCCAAACACCATGCCCTCGCCATCCTGACCCAACCTGAACGGCGTCGGATAAAGGAGGCGAAGCCGGCAAACGCGCCCCATGAACGCCCACGCCCTCCTCACCTCGCAGGGATGGCGAGGAAAAGGCCACTCCCTGCACAAGACAAACGACGCCATCGGCCTGTCGAAGCCCCTGCTGCTGTCGCGGAAAGACGACACAAAGGGCCTCGGCACCAAGCAGCACTTCACCAGCGACCAGTGGTGGATGAACGCCTTTGACGAACAGCTCAAGGGCCTCGACACGTCGCACGACGGCAAGGTCTTGCAGACGGTCGTCACCGGCAAGCTCAACTCCATCGAGAAGGGGTCTCTTGGGAAATACTACCTGTACACATCCTTCGTCCGCGGGGGCTTCCTGCAAGGAACAATCGCCGAGCAACAAGCTGATACATCATCGTCTACCGGTCCCGACGAAGAGCTGACAGCCGACACGGAACAGGCCCCACCGTCAAAGGAAACCAAGGACGAGAGGAGGGCGAGAAGAGCAGACAAGAAAAGGCGCAAGGAGGAGCGCGCCAAGCGCAAAGTTTTGCGACGCGAGCACAGATCCAAAGCCACAAAGTCAGACTCGAGCAACGAGGAGGCCGACGAGGAGAAGCGCCACCGACGCGCCAAAAAGGAAGAAAAGCGGCGCAAGAGGCAAGACAAGGAGGCTAAAAGGTCCAAGAAGCGGGACAAGGAGCAACGATGAAGCAGCGCATCCACCAGCACGGAGTTTGGATTCATTAGGCGGCGTTCGATACCCCAATCAGTGGCATGGTTTCACGTTTCCTTGGGCACCTTGCCCGGCTTATTTGACAGTATCCATGGCCGTCTGTTCCAAAAGTCGTCCTTGATTATGTCCAGGTGCTCCACCACCACTCTGGCCTTTGACCGCCGCTTCCTGTCCTTGTCCGACTGGCTTTTCGACGGTCGCGCCGGCTCTGCGATGTCATCCATCTCGTCCGCCACTCGATGGCTCTCCGGGTCGACAAGCTCATACTGTCCCTGTCAGAGTAAGCCATTCCATGGTCACAGTCTGGATGAAACCCACATCTCGAAAGACAACGCTGCCCTTTTTGAACATCTCTGGCTCGTTGTTGTAGTTGATGTGAAAGCGCGAGAACAAAATCTCGTTCTTGTCCGAGGCGAGCGTGCCCTGCATAGTTCCTTCAGCTCAGAGCGGCTCGTCTGCGGGGGCAGGTTTTATACGGCAAGTGTCTTTTCAGCATCCTTGTTGCCGAGATCACCGAGCTGTATCAGCGCCCAAAAGGTCGTGTTGTAGAGGTTATTGATGTGGCCTTGGCCTTGTGTTAGCCGTGAAAGTGAAAGGACTGGTGGCCAGAGTCGGCTCACAGTCCACCTGCCGCCAGCTCAAGTAGTCTCGGAGGTTTTGAATGCCGGGATAGCACACCGCGCGGCCGTCAAAGGTAGGCAACGGAAAGGAGAGGGGGGTATCGGGAAAGAAGGTCGACCAAGAGAAGACGTAGTTGGCCGTGAAAGTAGAGACGACGGTGCTGACGAGCTTGCTGAGGGAGCGGTGAGCAAGTCGGAACGGGAGAGCATGCCGGGCAACTCTAACCTTGCTCTCCGCTCAAAGAGGCTACAGGACTTGTGGAAGACGAAACTAAGTCTGCTTAGTCTCACGCGCTGCGAGTCGTCAAAGGCCAAGCCGTTACCTGTACTCGTCGCTGACGCCGTACGCGATGGTAACCTCGGGCAGGTCAGAGACAACGGCCTTGGCGGCGGCGTTCATGAGGTCTAGGGCTCTCCGGTCGTTGGGCTTCTCGAACTCGTACTTGGCACACATCCTAGCACGGCTCAAGTCAGACGGGAGCGTGGCGAGGGCGAAAGACGAGTGCGCCAGTACTTTGTGAATGCCCTGCCATCGACACGGACGACGATCCATGTGTTTGGCAGCAGAGAGTCTGCCTGCTCAAAGTTGCGGACATATTCGAACCTGGCAAGGCGTAAGACTTGGGAATGGAATCGAGCCGAGCTGGGGCGGATTACTTTGAGTTTGCCATTTTGTTGCGCACCTGGTTGAAGACTCATGAGGACATCCAGAACTCGGCCAAGGACGGTGTTTGCTCCCGGTACAAACGTGGGGCGATACTTGGAGACTTGGTACCTGCCAATTGCCAAGAGCCGGCCGGGCTCCCTGCCTCGTTAGGCTCACCCCGGGGCCTGTCTGTGCCCCATCCAAAGCTGCTTCCAAGTTCTCAGCCTTGCGAACCAACACGGCTCATTGCGCATGACAGTCTTTCAGCCTCTTCCTCACGGGCTTTGATGCCGCCGTTCGTCTTGGACGAGCGCGCCAGATAGCCAGCCAATCATGAACCTCCTGCTCTCAGACGACTATCTGCTTCAGGATTACCCGGAAAGCATCACAAATACGATCCGATCCGGCCATGCGACCATGCTGCGCTTCAACCGCAAGGGCGACTATCTGGCCTCGGGCCGCGTCGACGGCACCGTCGTCGTCTGGGACCTCGAGACAATGGGCGTCGCCATGAAGCTGAGAGGCCACAACAAGAGCGTGACGTTTCTCAGCTGGTCCAGGTGCGGCCGGTACCTGCTGTCGACATGCCAGGGGTGGAAGGCCATTCTCTGGGACCTCCAGGACGGGAAGCGCTTGCGCGAGGTGCGCTTCCGTGCGCCCGCGTACATGGCGGAGCTTCATCCCTGGAATCAGTAGGGAACCGCGGCCTGCAGATGGACTCGAGTCACCGGCTAACCCTCGCAGCTTCCAGTTCGTCGCCTCTCTCTTCGAAGAGCAGCCCGTCCTGGTGGACATGACCGAACCCGTCGACGTAAAGCACGTCTTGCCCTCGGCGCCGAAGCGAGAGAATACCGAAGCCGATGCGGCCTTGAAGGAGAAACAGGCAAAGGAGGACGCCAAGCAAATGACGACTTCGGCAATCTGGACGGCAGCCGGCGATCATGTCATCGCGGGCACGAGCAAAGGCAGGCTCAACATCATCGACGCCAGGACGCTCCAAGTCGTTTACTCGGGAAAGATTTGCGGAGGAGTCATCACTACAATGCGCATAACAAGCTCAGGCAGGGAGCTGCTGGTCAATTCGCAAGACCGCATTATCCGCACCTTTAGAATACCCAACCTGTCAGTAGACGACCTGGACCCCGATACGCTGCAGGTGCCCCTGGAGCACAAGTTCCAGGACGTCGTCAATAAGCTGTCATGGAACCATGTCACCTTCAGCGCCACCGGCGAATACGTGGCTGCCTCGACGTATAACAATCATGAGCTCTACGTATGGGAACGGAACCACGGCAGCTTGGTGTGCATGCTCAAAGACCCCAAGGAGGAGCAGGGAGTCATAGAATGGCACCCGACCCGCGCGCTTCTGGCAGCATGCGGCCTGGAAACGGGGCGAATATACATATGGTCAGTCGTCAGCCCTCAGAAGTGGTCAGCGCTGGCGCCCGACTTTGCAGAGGTCGAAGAGAATGTCGAGTATATGGAGCGGGAGGACGAGTTCGACATATACGCGCAAGAGGAGATTCAACGGCGGCGGCTCGACGCGGAAGACGAGGACGTCGACGTCCTGACGCTGGATCCGTCCAAGTTTGACGACGACGTTGACGAGTTTTGCATGCCGATTCTGTTCAATCTGGGCGAGAGCGATAGCGAGGATGAGTTTGTCGCCGTGTCCACGGGAACCATGCGGCGCAGGAGTCCCGGCGAGGGCCAGAGCGACGTCGACGGAGGCGCCGACGCGGTGCCCGCTAATAAAAAGGGCGGCGGCGGCTCAGGCAAGGGAGGGAGGAGTAGGAAAAAATGACACGTTGGCGACAAGAGAGCCTTTGTTCTGGCGCGACAAAAAGAAAGCACAAAGCGGCGGCCACGCCGTGGACGTGGACAAGACGCATTGCATCACCCTTTGGCCGCCAAGACATGGACTCGCATCGCCGCGAAGCCCATCTGTATGAATACCCAAGGTAGATCGAGCTGCTGTGCATGGCGTAGAAGAAATTGACTCATCGCCGGCCATGGTCTGAGGTTGCTCTGCGGCTGAGCGGCGATGGATGATGAGCCATGTACATGCTACTTGGAAGCGAGCCTCGGACTGAAGGCTGACAAAGCCATAAGTCAAGGCTGCACCAGATTTACAGTGAAAAGTGCCGTCTCAGTACTTACGTCACCCAGCTGCTCGGCCCTCGCCGAGGTTTCCAGTACCTGCGCCACTGGAGGGAGGCCTGAGGCATTCACTGCTCGCCGCAGGGGGCGTCGCCACGTCCCAAGGAGGCTTAGTGCGGTTTGGAACACGCCCTGCCGCCTCAACTCCAGATTCTTCCAGGCTGCCCTCCCAAGGCCTCGCCTCAACCACGACAAAACTCTGCCTCACGGCCCAGATCATCACCACGCGCGTCGGGAATCGTGCGCAGCGTTTCAAAGCCCATCCGAAGGGGCTCCGACAATCGAACCTGCGCTCTCCGACGACCTCGACGACTTCGGAGACGGCTGCGACGGGGGAGAACAGCCTTGAGGTCTCCTGGGCCGTTGGCCAGGAAGGGCGCTTCCCTTTGAGCGCCATCCGCCATCCGCATTCGACGGCCATACCATCGATCAAGCAGTCTCCCGAGACTCTCAGTCTCCGACACTCTCTCCCTTTGGCCTTTGCGACTGCTGTCGCATCGCGGCCACCGCGCATCGCGTTTCTGATTCTCGGCTTCGCCGCCCGTTGACGCCGCAGCCATTTCGGAGATTGACAACACAGGCAAGATGACGAACCTTTACTTCACCCATTCGAGCGCGCCGCTCAAGACGGTCGAGGAGATCCAGTTCGGCCTCATGTCTCCTGAGGAGATCAAGAACATGAGTGTCGCCCACATCCTCTATCCCGAGACGATGGAGGAGAACGGGACAAAGCCGCGCGACGGAGGCCTCAACGACCCGCTCCTCGGCTCGATCGATAGGCAGTTCAAGTGCAAGACGTGCACGCAGGCCATGGGCGAATGCCCCGGCCACTTCGGTCACATAGAGTTGGCCAAGCCAGTGTACCATCCAGGTTTCATCAAGAAGGTCAAAAAGATCTTGGAGATTGTCTGCCATAACTGCAGCAAGGTGTTGGCCGATACTGTTCGTCTATGCTACACTCTTCAAGGTTCTTTTGTGGCTTGCTGGATACTGACTTGCATTGCTTTTCTAGAGCGACCCCGAGTTCGTCTCTGCCATCAATACCAGAGACCCCAAGGTTCGCTTCCAACGCGTCTGGACAGTGTGCAAGAAGAAGAGGAGATGTGAAAACGAGGATCGCCAGAACAAGGACAAGGATGAAGAGTTTGCACCCGGATTGAAGGCCGCCCAGGGGGTCGACAACCACGGCGGGTGTGGCAATGTCCAACCCGCCGTGCGTCACGCTGCGTTGCAGCTCAAGGCTGTCTACGAGGTTGTCCAGGAAGATGGCCCCAAGCGGAAGGAGAGCAATCCCGTCACGCCCGAGACGGCGTACAACATCCTGCGGCGCATCTCCGAGGAAGACCTGCGCAACATGGGGCTCAACTCGGACTATGCTCGCCCCGAGTGGATGATCCTCACCGTCCTGCCGGTGCCTCCCCCGCCGGTTCGCCCCAGCATTTCCATGGACGGCACTGGAACCGGCATGCGAAACGAGGACGACTTGACGTACAAGCTCGGGGACATCATCCGCGCCAACGGCAACGTGAAGCAGGCCATCCGCGAGGGCTCCCCCCAACACATTGCGAGGGACTTTGAGGAGCTGCTGCAGTACCACGTCGCCACGTTCATGGACAACGACATTGCCGGCCAGCCTCGGGCCCTCCAAAAGAGCGGCCGTCCCGTCAAGGCCATCCGGGCTCGCTTAAAAGGCAAGGAGGGTCGCCTGCGAGGCAACTTGATGGGCAAGCGTGTCGACTTTTCGGCCCGAACCGTCATCACGGGCGACGCCAATCTTTCGCTACACGAAGTCGGCGTTCCACGCAGCATCGCCAGGACCCTGACCTATCCCGAGACTGTCACGCCCTACAACATCGGCAAGCTGCACCAGTTGGTCGAGAACGGGCCGAACGAGCATCCGGGTGCCAAGTATGTTATCAGATCTGACGGCACGCGCATTGATCTTCGTCACCACCGACGCGCAGCTCAAATCTCGCTCGAGTATGGGTGGAAGGTCGAACGTCACCTGATGGATGGAGACTACATCATCTTCAACCGTCAACCGTCGCTGCACAAGGAGTCGATGATGGGCCATCGCGTCCGCGTCATGCCCTACTCGACGTTCCGTCTCAACCTGTCCGTCACCTCGCCGTACAACGCCGATTTCGATGGTGACGAAATGAACCTGCACGTCCCTCAGAGCGAGGAGACACGTGCTGAGATCAAGGAGCTGTGCCTCGTTCCGAACAATATTGTCTCTCCGCAGAAGAATGGACCCTTGATGGGCATTGTGCAGGATTCCCTGGCTGGAGCCTACAAGCTCTGCCGGCGAGACACCTTTATCGACAAGGAGATGGTCCAGAACCTGATGCTCTGGGTCCCCAACTGGGATGGCGTGATCCCCCCGCCGGCCATCTTGAAGCCTCGGCCGCGGTGGACTGGCAAGCAAATCATCAGCATGGTCATTCCTCAAGAAATCAGTCTGCACACCCCCGAGGACGATTCTGAGATTCCACTCAAGGACACCGGCCTCCTCATCCAGAGTGGCGAGCTCATGTACGGTCTCCTGAAGAAGAAGAGCATCGGCTCGGCCGCCGGTGGTATCGTGCACCTCTGTTACAATGAGCTTGGCCCCAGTGGAGCCATGGCCTTTCTCAACGGTGTGCAGCAAGTCGTCACGTATTGGCTCCTCCACAATGGTCACAGCATCGGTATCGGTGATACTGTCCCCGACAAGCAGACCATCGAAAAGGTTCAGGTCCACATCGACACGCAAAAGGCCGAGGTCGCCAGGTTGACGGCCCAGGCCACCGCCAACGAGCTGGAAGCACTTCCTGGCATGAACGTCCGAGCCACGTTCGAGAACAAGGTCTCGATGGCTCTCAACCAGGCCCGCGACCAGGCCGGTACCACGACCCAGAAGAGCTTGAAGGACTCGAACAATGCAGTCACAATGGCCGAGTCCGGCTCCAAGGGTTCCTCCATCAACATTTCCCAGATGACGGCACTTGTCGGGCAACAAATCGTCGAGGGGAAGCGCATTCCGTTTGGCTTCAAGTACAGGACGCTTCCGCATTTCACAAAGGACGATTACTCCCCCGAGGCTCGTGGATTTGTTGAAAACTCGTATCTCCGCGGTCTCACGCCCTCCGAGTTTTTCTTCCACGCCATGGCTGGTAGAGAGGGTCTCATCGACACTGCTGTGAAGACGGCTGAAACGGGATACATCCAACGACGACTCGTCAAGGCTCTCGAGGACCTCAGCGCACGGTATGATGGAACTGTGCGAAACTCACTTGGCGACATCATCCAGTTCCTCTACGGTGAGGATGGTCTCGACGCCATGTGCATTGAAAAGCAGAAGCTCGGAATCCTTAAAATGTCCGATCCTGCTTTTGAGAAGAAGTACCGACTGGATCTGGCCAATCCGCCTGAGTGGTTCAAGACGGACTACGAATACGGCAACGAGCTGACTGGAGACAAAGCTTCCATGGCGCTCCTTGACGAGGAGTGGGATGCTCTGTTGTCCGATCGTCGCGAGGTGCGCTCCATCAACTACACGAAGATGGGAGAAGAAATGATGCAGCTCCCGCTCAACATTGGCCGCATGATCGAGACGGCGAAGCGAGTCTTTAACGTCAAAGCCACCGATCGCAGCAATCTTCGCCCGTCAGACGTTATTCTAGGTGTGCAGAACGTCCTCAACAAGATGAAGATTGTCCGCGGCTCGGATGGCATTTCCCAGGAGGCGGACGCGAACGCGACTATCTTGATAAAGGCCCTGATGCGGTCTCGACTGGCATTCAAGGAAATTGTCAAGGAGCATCGTCTCAACAAGCTCGCGTTTGATCACGTCCTCGGAGAGCTGCAGAATCGCTGGGACCGCGCCTTTGTCAGCCCAGGCGAGATGGTTGGCGTTCTCGCGGCCCAGTCCATTGGCGAGCCAGCGACTCAGATGACTCTCAACACGTTCCACTTTGCTGGTGTTTCGTCCAAGAACGTTACCCTCGGCGTGCCCCGACTCAAGGAAATTCTCAACTTGGCGAAGGATATCAAGACGCCTAGCATGGCTGTCTATTTGAACACGCGGCTGGGCAAGCAGGAGGAGGCCAAGAAGCTGCGAAGCTTGGTCGAGTACACCAATCTGCGGTCTATCACGTCTGTGACGGAGATTTACTACGATCCAGATATCCAAGGCACGAGCATCGCCGAGGATGTGGACATGGTCGAGTCCTACTTTTTGATCCCCGATGACACCCAAGACACCCTCGATCAACAGTCGAGGTGGCTGCTGCGCATCACGCTGGATCGACAGAAACTGCTGGACAAGGAAATCAAGATTGACGATGTCGCCCAGCGCATCAAGGAGGAGTATCCTACCGACCTGGGCATCATCTTCAGCGACAACAATGCCGACGAGCAGGTGATTCGTATTCGAACCATCAGGCAGAACGATGAAAAGGATGAGAACGGAGAGAAGCGCATCGAGGACGACGTCATGCTCAAGCGCCTCGAGTCTCATCTCCTCGACACGCTGACTCTCCGCGGTGTTCCTGGCATTGAACGGGCTTTCCTGACCAAGGGCACTCGCCTCGTCGAAGGCGCAGACGGAGCGGAGATCGCCATCAAGAATGACACACGATGCACCCAGTGGTACTTGGATACCAGTGGTTCTGCTCTTCGTGAAGTGCTCGCGGTCGACGGTGTTGATGCGTCGCGAACGTACACCAACGATCTGTGGCAAATTGTCGAGGTCTTTGGCATTGAGGCGGCGCGGTCGGCGTTGGTCAAGGAGTTGACGAACGTGCTGGCGTTTGACGGCTCGTACGTCAACCATCGTCACATTGCCCTGCTTGTCGACATCATGACGTACCGCGGAACCATCTCGGCCGTCACTCGACACGGCATCAACAGAGCGGATACGGGCGCGCTGATGCGCTGCTCCTTTGAGGAGACGGTCGAGATTCTGCTCGAGGCCGCAGCCACGGGCGAGCTCGACGACTGCCGCGGCATTTCTGAAAACGTCATGCTCGGGCAGATGGCACCCATGGGCACAGGCAACTTTGACGTCCTGCTCGACCCCAAGATGCTGGAGACGGTCATCTCGGACAACTCGCGCATGGGTCTGATGCCGGGCATGCCGACCAAGGATGGCGAAGCCGAGGGCGCTGCGACGCCGTACGACACGGGCTCTCCCATGGCAGACTCGGGCTACATGAGCCTCAGCTCTCCCGCGGCTGGAAACTTCTCGCCCATCCAGGGCGCAGGCTCGGAGACGCCGACAGGATTCGGCACCGAGTATGGCCCCGGTGGCTTTGGCGGCATGGGATCGATGAGCCCCTACGCGATGCGCGGAGCGACCAGCCCGTTCAGCACGTCGCCGACATCGCCGTTCAGTGCAGGCATGGGCGGGTACTCGCCCTCGTCGCCCAACGCAGGGTACTCGCCGACTTCGCCTCTCATCGATGGCGGCGCCGGACGTTATGCCACATCGCCGTCGTTTAGCCCTTCGTCACCGTCGTTTTCGCCAACGTCGCCCATGCTGCGACCGACGAGCCCGGCCAGCCCCAACTACAGTCCGACGTCGCCCAGCTACTCGCCAGCGTCGCCGTCATCGCCCCGGCACTACTCGCCGACATCGCCGGCGCAGTTCAACTCTCCCACCTCGCCAAGCTACTCGCCGGCCAGTCCCAACTACAGCCCTGCCTCGCCCAATCTGCACGGGGCAGGGGCCACGTCCCCGTCCTACTCTCCGGCGTCTCCCTCGTGGTCCCCGACGTCTCCGGAAGCCTACTCGCCGACGAGCCCAGGCTTCTCAAGGAGCCCGGGCAATCAGCAGTCGCCGACCAGTCCAAGCTACTCGCCGACGTCTCCATCCTTTTCTCCCCGGACCCCTGGCCCGGGCGCTTCGGGGAACCAATAGTGAGTGCGGTCTCGTCGGCCACGAAGAAAGCAATCACTAACAGGCGGCAAAGCTCTCCTAATTCGCCGGCTAACGATTGATTTCTCCTTGTCGAACTGAGCAACGCATACGAGACACAGGCTGTCGTCAGATTCTCACTCTGTGTTTTTGCTCTTCATTTTTTGCCTTCCCTCGATGACGGGAAGGGTGAAGAGGGACCGTTGAGCCGCATGATAGAGGCCAAAATCCGGTGTCAGGTAAAGGGCGGCATTTGAGCATTATGATGATTAATCTAGGAGAAGAAGAAAAGCCCATTCTAAAAAAAAGAGCGGGGAGGGAGATGCACTGGAGTGGCGGAGGGGGCGAGAAGCGAACGAGGCAAAACCGGGGGGGGGGAGCAGAGCAGGTTGCCGTGTACAGTAGAGAGGGGCCTGCAGGAGAAGAAAAGAAGAAAGGCCGGGAGGTGTCGGAGAATGACGAAGCAGATTGGAACTAGCAGATGGATTTGGGCAGAGTAGCCTGCAATCGGATTGAGCCTGTTGCACGAAGCGGCGATGGTGATGAGTGAAACCAGAGCCTCGGAGACGCTGGTGGCTGACTGTTGGTGGCGGACGCGGAGTCGCCGACGGGCAAGGAGGCGCTGGAGCGTGCGCAAGGCTGGAGGGATGGCAGCGGTGCTTTTTCGTGTGGACAGGGCAGATTCTTTGTTGTCGCGACACGTAGGTAGGTCTTTACAGCCGGCTCTGCGGAATGACATGCCTATCTAGGGGATATAAGTGCGTGTGTATGTGTATGTGCGTGTCTTTGATTTGATATCCGGCTGGTGAATAGAGACGGCAAGGGGGGTTGTTGGCGATGGTGGCGGTGAGGGGCTGTTTGCCCGGCTGGGATGAGCAAGCAGGGACTTGTGAAGGAGAGAGACGGCGAAGGGTTGCCTGGCAGCCTGCCATGGACGGAGGAGGACTTGTGTGCACAGACGGCTTGATGGGAGCACGGCACCCATGCACGTACGTACGTGCCTGATTTTACAGAGGAGATTGTGAATTTGTCTCTTCATTTACCAGTAGGTAAGTTAGATGTTTGTGTGTTTGTGTCGAAATGAGACTTCAGGCCCCATGCCTGGAGTATCACGTGATGAGATTGAGATGCGGGAGGGGCATGCATCGCGCTTAAACGAGGCTTTTCTCCGCGCAGGGAGGCGCGAGAAGTACCTTGTACCCTGAGCTTCCATCCGTCTTCCCATTTGTCTCACGACGTCTGCGTGGCATCTGGCTTCTTGCGCTTCATGACAGACCTGAGATGGACAAAAAGCTCGAGAATAGAGAGCCAGAAAAAAAAGGAAAGCCCACTCTCGCACATGTTATAGGAATAGCCCAATGCGGGGGTCGAACCCGCAACCTTGAGATTTCGACACTGCGCCTGCCGTAAGAGTCTCACGCTCTATCCAATTGAGCTAACCGGGCCTGCCTGATCGGGGCGATCAGATGCAGGGAAGCTAGCCGTTCTCGGCTGATTGATGTCGACGGGTGGCGCTAATTCGGACTATGAGGGAGTGTGCATTTGAGCCTGGGATTACGGTGCGCTTTGGTGGAGGAGGCACCGTAGTTGTTACTTCGTCCATGCAACGATGGAAAACGCCCGGAGGACTGCGCGAGTGTCATCGGGCAGGCATCTTTTCTGTGCGTGCTTGTTTGTTTCTTGTAGGCTTCCCCTCCCGGACACGCCTTTTGCTTTCCCTGGCCACTCTCTGTCCTTCTTTCCGCAGCCTCCTTCCTGGCTCGTCTCGACACTCGCAGACCTCCTTCCCAAAGAATACGCAGGTGCATTCCTTCCGCCCACCTAAACCTACCTACCTAGGTATCTACCTACCTACCTAGGTGCCTACCTTACCTAGGTAGGTACCTTGGGATGCGCATAAGCAGTTGATTGCCGCGTCTCTCCCCAGCCCGCCGTCACGGGCCGCTGCCGGCGCTGTGCAACCCACCCGAACCCGTCGGCCCCACTGCCCAGCCCGGCGTGCCCGGCGGCGTCCCTCTGCGAGCCGCTGCGGCCACTCCGCGCATCCTGTCCCCTGCCTCGCTTGTCCTCGGCCCCCACTGCAGTTACCGTGGGTGTGCACACCGCTTCCGCCCTCTTGGTCCCTGGGTCCGTCCTTTCCCAGTGGCGTCGTCGTCGTCGTCGCTCTTGTGCGACTCGGCATTCCCCCCCTCCCCCAACCCCCACGTCTTCTCTCAGCCTGTCTTCTAGAACCCTGGTAACGTGCAAAGGAAGGGCTTCCATTCTGCTTCGGCAAATGGCGCCAACGCTCCACAACCTACCCGCACGGAGCCGCGCAGCAGCCTAGCCAGCGAGACTGGCCCTCCCTTGGGCCGCGACGGCGGCAAAGGCCCTGGTCAGTGCATGCGCGATGCTGCATGTATGTGCTCGGTTTGTGATTGGGAGTGTGCACCCCGCGCCTGTGACGCTTCGCCGCCATCATGGGATAAGCGCGGGCCTGCATACAGCTTGTCCTCGGCCTTGTCCGCAGTCTCGACAAACTGCCATTTCCCTTTGTCGCAATTCTTTTGAAACTCTCAGAAGCCTTGTACGTCTTCATCTTCTTCCTCTTCTCCCCAAGGCAGACCGGTTTATCAGGCCCGGTCTGCCTTGGGCTATGGCGGCGGCCGCTTCGTGGGGCCCGGAGGAGGCGGCCGCAGAAACGGCCGCCGTCGTGACCACATGTTATAACGTGTAGGCAGGCGTCTCCACAACTACAACAACTTCATCCTGCTCACGGCCCCATCGAGCCATCAATATGGAGACGAGACTCGAGGCTCTGCGCTGGATACAGAGGGGCACAGCCCCTGATTTCCGTGCTTGGAGCTAACTAACTACCTACACTAATATGTGCCCCAACCACGCCATCGTCCCACCCGCCATGGCAATTTCGCGCCCGTCCTTTTCCGCCTCTGCCAAGCATGCTCCAGGCAACCGGCCAACACGCTGCTACCTTCCAGCCGTCTTTCCGGTCCTCAGCCTGTAGCGAGGCGAGGGAACGGGATGGTAGGAAGGCGTGCGCCGGCAGTGCCAAGAAGAGGTGAAAGGGGGCAATGAGAGGGGGGAGGATGAGTTGAAGGGGGGTTTTCGAGCGATCAAACAGAAGCAACGAAAAAAAAACATGAAAAGAGGGGAGAAGAGAAGCGAAAACGTCATGAACAAAGGAGAAACAGACCCGGGATTCCTTCAAGCGGCCGCGCAACAGGGAGACGGTCCGGACGCAGGAGCCTACCCTGTAGGGAAAAGGGGGGCTCCCCACGCTGGAAATCTGCCCTGCCGACAGCCATTTGCCGTGTGGCCTCCTCTTTTAAACATGCTCCCGTTGGAGCTTCCTTCCTTGCCCATTGGCGGACCCGAGCCCGCCCAGGCATCCATGTGTCAGAGAGAAGAAGGCCTCGCCCCGTTTACTTCTTAGGGTTGGGGCACTGGGCGCGCTTGCAGGGACCGTCCCACGTCTGGACGCCCTGCTCGATGACCACGCTGCATTTGCATGTCGGCTTGGTGCTGGTGTGTTCAACGGTGCAGCCGCACGCGGTGAAGGTCTCCTTGGTCAGCCAGACGCACATGTTGCCGGTGGTGGTTTGACGTTGACGAAGAAGCTGGGTATGCAGGTCAGGGTGCGGCGGGTGCGGCGGCGGCGAGAAGCAAGACTCGTGCGGTGTTGCCGAGGTGAAAGTCTCTTGTCAAGAGGAAGACGGGCTTGGGAGGGGGGGCTAAGGAGAAAGCACGCGGTCCGGTGCAAAAAGCTACAGCTGTGTGTGGTCAGCCGGATGCTCGACTTGTCCCGTCACTGTTGTTGTAGAAAGCACTCACCACTTGATGTCTGTCGGAACAGGATCCAAGCGTTGGTGTTGATGGCAAGAGTATGTTTTGGGTGCTCGAGTGGTGATGCGCAAGTCTCAGGATTTGAAGATTTGAACAGAGGAGAACTGGAGAAGCGACGAGTTTTCTCTCAGGGTTGCTTGGCGAGTCTTGTCGTTGTTGCTGCTGGAGCCGTTGCTGTGGATGTCTGGAGAATGAAGAAAAGAGTCGACGAGGAAGAGAGATATATATACATGCGAGCGTCGAGAAAGCGCACGTATGTGAGTTTGAAGGCTCCCGGGCTTGAGGCCGGCAAGCTAGGCTGAGCTACGGTATGCTGGCAGTCAGCGCGTGTTGGCTGCCGTTTGCTTGCCTCACTGTCGCTGCCCCCTTCAACGAGCGACCAACTGAGCTGCCTTGAGAGGCCTCTGAGAAAGGAAAAAAATTTGAAGAGAAGCAAAAATAGAGCAAAATTCCCATGTCTCTCTCACTGGTCTACATGACGAGTCTGTTAGACGGTTTGTGCGTCTGTCGTTGCCTGTTTGTTCCCGGCCTCGGCGGATCCGACGAGATGGGAGGGCCGGAGTGTAAGTGGAAAGGCAGGCTGTCAGAGTGTCATTGGCTCCCCCGAGCGGCATAGCCCTATCTCCCCGTCCCGGTTCCTATTCTTGGGAGAGGGACGCAGGGGCGTCTAGATGAGGCTCATGTGGGAAAGGCTCCCTCCCTTTGGGAGACGGGCTGGCAGGCTTCGGCGAACGGAGGCAGCAGTGAAACGAGGACGACAAGGACACACAAGGCTGGTGAGAGGTTCATGTCAGAGGACAGGCAGGCAGGGAAGACGCAGCGGAGGCGGCCCAAAAAGCAGCCCTAAGGGGGACGGAAGACACGAGACCAACAGACGATGCAGAGGTTGGCCTGCGAGTCTAAGCCATGGACCATGCTTGCACACATAGGGCAACGAGCCGCAGAGCCGCAGGGGGGACCACTCTGCAGACATGGGGGCTTGTGCAAGCAGCGGAGATCAGGCACGGGATTGGTAAAGGGCAGGGATTGCCCGGCCCAGCCGTGGCCTCTTCTGTTACCGACGGGGAGGAAGAGGCGCCGGCTGAAAGGGCATGGACCGGCCAAGGATAGCAGCCGGGTCCAGGGGTCGCAGATGCCGGACAAGGCTATGGAAGCAAACATGCCATAGCAAGGGGCGAAGAAGAGCAAAAAGAAGACAGTGAAGGTGGTTGAACACGGGGAGAACGAGGCTCGAGTGGGCGAGGGAGGCAGACCGGGGTTAGGAGGTGTGGATGTGACGTAGATGTGCGGCAAGGCGTAGGCTTAACGGCACGAAGAGCCAACTGTTTGGCGAATAGTGCATGGTAAAAGCAGGCCGAGCTCGGACTGAAGCCAGCAGGCGGATGGTATGAGAGAGGGAGAGTTTGTGTGTGTGTATGCAAGATGCAAGTCTGTATGTAAGTGTGGTGTGTTGTTTGCCAGGGTCAGGGGACCCCAATGTGGAAATGTACCAGTTGGAGACGGATTGACCAGTCACGGAGCTGAAGCCGAGAGAAAGAAGAAGAAGATGATGGTGCATCCAGGCAGGCAGCAGAGGTGAGTCAAGCGACGATGCTGCAGTGTGTATTCCATAAGGATGAAGCAGAAGATGAGGTGGATAAAAAAGGAGGAATAATCGAATAAAGTGGGCGAGAAGCTAGGGTACCTACGGTAAATGTACAGTGCGCGCGCACACATGGTACGAGTACAGGCATCGTCAGAGGTCGCCATGTGCTGCCTGCCGGCGGCCCTTTGCCCTTGTCTCATTACCTCATTCCTGCAGGTACCGGGCTGCGGTGTGTCCTTGTTCGTTACGCACTGTACATACTCACTGTACGGAATCCAGGCAATACAGCAGGTACATACCTTGGTGGGTACAGTACCAGGGGTACATCCAGTCGCTCACTTCCCAAAGGAGAAACAAACGGCCCACCTCCGAGGCCATCCATCCATCACCTCCATCGCGAGACGAGACGTTTCTTGAAAATCTTCCACGCCAAACTTGAACCAACCCACGTCGACATGGACCGACAAACATGCTCCCTCCACCCCCCCCTGCCCTACCTGGCTGCCGCATCGACCTCTCTGTCGGGAACACAGATTCTCACCGACGGCCACGGCGACCACACACACACACCGCCTGTCTCGCCTCGACAGGAAATGGGCCCGAGCATCGTGCTCAACCCTGTCCGTCGTCGCTTGCTTGTGCCACCCGGACGAGTCCACCACCCCTGGCCAAGGAGCCCCCACTCTGACAAGCGCGTGCCGCGTGCCCTACAGCCTCGTGCCGACGAGCGGGACCACGGGACGACGACGACGAGAATCAGCGGAGCACGACTCATCCGGTCTGACTCTGGCTGCTTCGAGCCTTGCTCTCGGCCAACCCCATCGCAACAACTTGACAAACTCGCGTCATGCCGGCTTGCCCGATCATCTTGCCTGCCCTGTCTCCCTCCCCCTCGTCAGGCCTTCTCCAGCCTCCCCCTGCCTGCTTCGTCTCAAGGCACCGATGCAATCGCAAGGCTCACTTGCGGCTCTGCATGATGCCTCTGTCTACCCACGAGGCCCTGCGTACGCTCTTGACTCTACCGCGACCCGCACTTGACGATATGTGCTGCCGGTGCCTGGGCGTCTCGGCCGCTGCCGCGGCGACCATCCATCCCTCTGCCATGGTCTGGGCTTGGGCACACATGCGCATCAGGCACGCATCCGTTGACTTGTCGTGCACATATACACATGTACGGACCCGAGTCCTATTTGGGCAGCCGACTGTTGGCGGCAGTGCCGCGCACAAACTAGCCAATGGGTCGCCATAGACGCCGGCTGGCTGTGCCGCGTACAACCATACATCCGTTCCAGAGCAGAGACACGGTGCGGCGGCTCTTGCAAATGACCGCCCGTTGGTCGCCGCCCAGCAGCAAGCCGAGTTCGTCTCCCCAGCGGGACTGCAGTTCGAAAACGCCTGCCACCCGGAGCGAATGGACTCTCGACTACCTGTCGACGCTGCTAGCTGTTCCTGAGCCAGGTAGTTGGCAGAAGAAAGCTATCTAGCCCTGTGACAGACCTCTTGCCTCCAAGCCTCCCTGATGCCGGCAACCTCGGAATGTCGTCACCGCCAATCGTGCAAACCTCCCGGCTCAACCTCCCGCTCTAACTCCGAGTTTTCAGGCCATTCACACTGGGAAGACCTATCCGGAGGTCAGCGCGCTGGTCTGGCCAGGCCCAAACTCCGTCAGCGTCCCTCGGATGTACCCTGGCAGTGCGGAGGCTGCTGTCAGGGAGCCCCAGCTGGCGTGTTCCGTCATGTTTTCCGAAGCTTCCTCCATTGATTTATAATGTTCTCATCGTATCGCTCGTCTCTCCTTCACCGACTCGACGCAAGCCAATATTGATTGGACCGTCGCACGCTTAGACGACGCTTGCCCGCTCTTCCGCCTCCCCGTTCCAGATCTCCCACTCAGTCTTCACTCCCCGCGCTCCGCGTGGATGGGGTATCAGCATCGCATCTGACTCCCAGGACCTCATGTTGTCGTCGTTCTTCTGGTTTCTGTTTTCCCCGTCGTGTTGGTGCCGGCGCCATGTCAGTCACCCTGCCGGGAGCTGCACTTTCTTTTCGTCTCCCGGACGGTTGGAGGTCGGATTACTGCTGACCTTTGCACCCAAGAGCAGACAGCCACAGTATTGTGCTTGGTGTCGTCATCTCAGGCTCGTGCTGGAAAATCGCGAGCTACTGCTAGGCGGTCGTACAGCGACCCAGCAACACGAGGCGAACCTTGCTCAAGCTGCCGGCTTTGGGAGCTTTGGTGTGCGTGACAATCCCATCATTCCATGCATGAGTGGCCTTAGGGTCTTCATAGCAGTGCTCTAGTCTTGGCGCTCCCGCCATGGTTGACAAAGAGTCCAGCACCGCGGCATCCGTTGCAGCAGGCTGGCTGGCAGCCTCCTGCTCGCCCCCAAAGCCAATGACCAAGAGGCCTGGATTCTCTCAAGGCATGGCGGCTGCCAAGGATATGCTTTCCATTCTGCCAGACCGCAGTGGCCAGGAGCTATGCCCCCGTCTGGTCAGCGACTGCGGCTGTACCTGGCGAGAGCCTTGGACCCTACCCGCACGCCAGTCGTCTCGTGTCTGTCCCGAGACTTGTACGTATGTTGCCACGGGCCAAGGCCGTAAATGCCCCGGTGGCGGAACGGGCACGTCGTCAGCAGCTAATGCTGTGGATCGGTCGACCTCGCTAGTGCGAGACTTTGCCGGCCATCCAACGGTCAGGCATCCGGCAGTGGAGTGGGGTTTCCGGCCCGTGTGGGGGCGTTGAATGACGGATCTGACGCTCCCCTACTCCGTACTTGGCGAGACTGCCTGCCCTTTGCTCGACGCCATCTGGCCTACACAAAGGAGAAGGATTCTCGAATATGGCTGCTTTGTTTCTCAAGGTTTCATCAGTGAGATGCCAGATCTACGCCGATGAAAGTCTCCATTTCCAAGACTGATGCCACGCCAAGTGGCAAAGGCTTGATGCTGGGAGAGGGCCAATCAAGGTTGTTGGCTACTACCGCACCACGACCGGACCAGCCCGCCGGCCTTGTAGGGCTTAGGCTGATATGGAGTGCCGATGGCGTATGTCGCCAGAGTGTTGGATTCTGCAAGAAAACAGCGTGGAAGGCCCGGAATCTGCATTCCAACCGCGTCACTCAGTCATTAGCAATGCCTAGTGTCGAGCTATCAAGGGTCCATGGCACTGATGTCAAGTCCAGCTCGGTGATTACTCACATGCCCCGACCTTGCTTCCATCAAGCCTTTGCTTTGCCCGCGTTCCATCTTGAGCCATTGCCGGGAGAGGTGAACGTGGCTCTGTATACGGACGGCCCCTACTGGATGCAGCCATCAAGACCGACGTTGCCGCGGAAGGATTCATGAGCAGCCAATTGGCGACTTGTATCTCAGCTCCGGATGCGAGCATGGGAAGTTACGCCTTCAGATAAGCAGCATGATTCTGGGCCAAGGCCGGTTGGCGGCACTCGCCATGGTTTCTTTCGAGTTGCTCTTGCAGCCAAAGCATGCGTTCAAGGGAACTCGCGCCTCTGCAGTTTTGCTGCGAGATGGCCCTTGCGACGCGACTTTGTTGCAACGAGCGCCTGACGACCTTATCTGGACCTACGCCTGGACCGCCAGCTCCGAATCGTTCATGTGACATCTGTCAGGCCCTGGAATGGACAAACTGCGGGCACCAATCACGGCTTGGGTGATTACGGTGACGGTTCGATGTGTTCTGTAGCAGTCGACGGCTCTCTCTGAAGGTCATGTTGCAGCGGCGCAATCTGATTACGTCCGTTGAGTTGCAAGGCCAGAGTTGGAGATGATGTCATCGCTGGTAACTTTTGAGGACAACCCACCCCTGTTCCTGGGCGAAGAAGACTTGGTCAATGTTTAGGGCCAAGTGGAACAGACACATGCTTTGTTTGCGATCGACGTGCAAAACCAGCTCAAGACGACGTTGGACGGAGGGATCGACAATCGCCGGCGTTGTGCTTGGCCCCGGGCGACGGCATTGACTCGTGATTACTGTTTGGTGTATCTCGATATGCAGGCAGGGACTGGTCGGCCCCGGGGGACACAGTGGCGAGTGCCAGAGGCGGGAGAGCAGAGGCGTAGCCAACATTGATATGGCCGGCTACCCTCGGGGCTCCACGTGAATGGCATCCAGAGCGAGCGAGAGGTGATGTTGATGATATTGATGGAGGCTGGAAGAAGCGACCTTCCCCGCACTCGGCTCCGGCATGCCGTGCCATGCATGCAATGCAAAGCCGCTCCCAACGAGGATGGGCCACTGGACAGCGGCACGGTGCTGGCTCGGCTCCGGGAACTCCCTCTGCTCGGTCACCGAGACGCCAATGGGCTTGGGCAGGACACAGTCGGACGGCGGGTTATTTTCTCCCACGGCAAGCTGGTCAGGTGCGCATGCCAATCCATCCAAGTTGGCCATGCACGCGCCATGCATGCGAGATGTGGCTCGTGCCGGGTCGCAGACGGACGCACGCACGCTTATTGTCGTTACGCGTCCCCCTCACAGACGGCAAGTCGCGGCCGCAAGTGCTTATCGCTTGGGTCTCGCCCGGGGATGCTCGGACGTGGGCGCTAGGCTGATAGGCATCTTGCACATGTCGCCATCCGCGATGCCTACTGGGCACGCCGGCGATTCAATCATGAAGCGCGGATTGCGACGGAATACTGTGCGTGGTAACACGAGGCCGCAGTTGTGTGGGTTCTGGAATGGTACAGTCGAGACATGTCTTCTATCCAGGGGCCATGACATGGGGATGAAACTCTAGGGGCCGGCCCAGGGTCGCGGCGGCCCGCTCCAAAGAGCTGGCCGGAGCTTGGCGGGTTCGAGGCCTGGGCCAACAGAATGGACAGGCACGCATAAAAGGAGCACGTTTCCTCTCCTTCTTGGCGGTCAAAAGACTCCTTTATACCATTCTCACTACGCTTCTTTCTCTCTACAGCCAACTATTGCCTCTGCCAGTTTGTCCATCTGCAACAACATCCAGCATCCTCCTCCACACAAAACTCAACAATCATCATGTCTTCCTCCGTGGGCGAGAGCAGTCTCCGTGCCAAGGCCTTTGCCCGCCGCCCTTCTGGCTTCCTCTGCCTGGCCCCGGCCACTTCCTCCTCGTACCCGCAGATGCCGGCCAGCCGTCCTGCCCCGGCCAACGGAGCAGAGCCGTCGTCCAGACGATCGTCGAGCGCCAGCAGCACCGGCCCGCGAGTGCTCAAGCTGGGGCCCGTCCACTGGGGCGAGCACCTCGACGACCACAAGGAGGACTTTTACTCCGAGAAGTCCTAGGCCAGCAGCTCTCGTTCTCGGCCATTTCCTACCACAATACATACACACTTCTCATGGCACACACTGCCACACTACAGGGCCGCCGCGAAACGTCAGTACAGGGTACTTGACGCACGGAAACCGCGATATAGACGGGGTCAAGGGTGAAGGGATAGGCACTGGGCATTTTCATTTGGTGCTTGGCTTTGCTGCTGGACGGCGAAACCGGGCGAGGCATTTCTTGCGTCACATTCATTGGGAGGCGATTTCAGCGTGGCGGAAAACAAGAGCGCATCATGCGAAGGCGACGAGCATATGGGCTTTCGGAGAGGCATAGCGTGTGATACAGAAAAGCATGTTTCGGCCAAGGGAGCCGGGGAGGTTCGCCGGACGGTCCGTGTACTAGCTTGCGAGATTGAATACAAGGCTGTACGCACATCAGATTGGCCGGGGGCTACGGAGTATAGATGCAAGGTGATGTGCGGGAGGCGGAGGCGATCTGCCGCCAAGTCAAACGGGCCCACCTCCCGGAGTGTGGAGGTGTGTGTGGTGACTATTTTCGGACGTGACATGTAGTGATACACATTCGTCCTCTCCCTCTCTCTACCGACTCGGTCCCGACTCGGTAGTGGCCGGCGAGGCGTACCAGAGACGAGATGAAGTGTGACGCGAATGCCGGGCCCCCCTTTGTTGTGCTCGGTATCCATTGTACTTGGAGACGCGTCTTTGAAGAAGCACGAAGGAGACATGGTCTTCTGTGGTTGTCGCCACGCCGTGCAACGAGGGTTGAAACGAGACGCCGAGGGGAGGGTTTATGCCTCGTCGCACAAGCACGCTGCGTGGCTTGGCCACTCACTTTGCGGGCTGGTATTCTGCAACGGGGGGGCTGTGAAGATGCTTATTCGGCTTAAGCTTGTCTTGTCTTGTCTTGCTTGTGTCTCTGTCTGTCGTTGTCCCTTCCCCTCCGCCCCTGAGCCAGTTTCGAGGCGTGGGATGGTTGAGGGGAGGGGAGGAGGGCTCGATGCTTCGACTCAGCGTGGTTTAGGAACCGTCTCCGTGGGTCCTTGATATAGAGAGGTGGTGTATCGTCGAGGGGTAGGTAGTTGAGGACCGCGGCGTCTGGCCCGGAGGGGAGCTGGCACCGTAGATCAGGCCAAGCCCACGACGGCCTGCTCCCCCCCCCCCCAAGACGGACAGCAACCCACCTCGCCCTCCATCCAGAAACACACCGGAGAGGCAGCCAGGAGAGACCCAGTCTTCGCCGCCAAGAGGCTGCTCGTCCGACACACCCACAAGCCCGCAAACCCCAAACAAACCTCCGACGCGACGCGCAGCCAGCCCGTTCCGTCTCAACCTTGCGGCGCACCTCCTCGCGAGTAAAACAGCGGGAGGAAGAGGACGGGACAGAAATAGAAAATAGAAATGGAAATGGAAGGAGAAAAAAAAAGGGGGGATTTCCGAACTGACTCGGGGCAAGTCGCTTAGCCCCCGCCCCGGGCCGCGCGCACGTCCCGCCCGAACCCACGACGAGATGCCGTCCGTCGGGATCGGCCTCGCGGAGCATCTCCCGCCAGTCCACCTCGGCCGCCGCCTCAGCCTCTTTATCTACCAAAGACTGTGCGAAATGAACATGTGCATCGGATGCCATGGGAAATCCCACCAGGGCATGCGGCCGGTCCGCCACATGAAATATATCATCGTCATCCGTGAGCTCGGAGGGTTTCGGCTGCGTCGTTGCTGGTGCAGAAGCTCCGGCGGCGCTACGCCGTAGCGCAGGGTCTACATACCAGAAGCCCGAGAACTCTTCTGGAGAAGGGTAATACTCGGCGCTTGTATTGATCGCGCCAGAAGGGGCGCAGACCCATTCGCTGGGAGAGGCTCTTGTTCCGTTTGACAGGGAGAAAGGCTGAAGCGCACAACGGCGGACATTCACTAGGGTGATCATTGCTGGAGCGAACGCAGTACAGGAGGGAGGGCTAGAGACGGAATCAAGAATTAGGAGGCAGGGGGATTCGTTTACTTGAATCTACAGAGGTCAGTCGCGAGAACTCTTGTATGAAAGTGTCCAGAAGCGGTAGACCGTGTGCTGTACGTTCGAATCCCGGATACGACGCCTCGAGCTCCTGTCGGAGCAGCTCAATGTATTCAGTGTGAAGACACATGTCTTGAATCACGTAAACAATGGTCTGATGCGGGCTTGTGTCAGCTACTAAATTACAACATCGCAGTATCGGTGGAGGATGTAATGGGCTTGCCATCGAGAGATTATAACTGGAAAGGGGATATTGTCAAGCTGGTAAAATGCCGCTACATCAGGTAAAATAGGGGCACTCCATTTGGAGGTGTTATTAACGCGTATTATAAGTCTTTTCTCTGCTCTTGACAGATATAAATAGGGGGCCTAGAAGAGGGATTGCAAGAGGGACGAGGGACAGACAATAACAGCAAAACAACAACCACAACAACCACAACAAGACAACACATTACACCCATCTTGACACAAGGAACATCGATCATTGCATTCCTGTAACATATTCCTGGAATCTGGCCCAGGTGCGCGGCTGGAAAGTCCCAGTAAGCCAATAGTTCCCCGCATGGTCCTTGCCGAGAACGCGGAGATGACTACTGAAATCCACGTACGAGTTAAGAACCAGGGGGTGGTAATACACTATAGTTCCAAGAGGGTTTCTCCTCGACCGACCATTGTCGCCCTGGCCCAACACAGCAGCGGAGAAGTCAATAGCGTGGAAAAGGTCAACCTTTGTCAAATTATTGACAGTTAATATGGTAGCGTTTCCCTGACCGATAATGAGGCGTAAATTCTTATGGGCCTTGACGTGTTCGCGCTGCATCCGGGAATAGCTAAGAATTTGCTGCTCCGTAGACTGCTCGGTAACTTGCCGTCGATGCGCAAGAGCAATCAGTCCCAAGGGACCGGTGGAACTTCGGGGTGATAAAGAGACATATACGAACTGTAATAAGTTCTGGATATATTCTCCTCTCGATTCTTCTTTCAAAACTGGAAGACAGAAACGGAGGTTGGAATAGCTTATACCATGCCCCACCCCCCTTTCGGTAACACCCACCTTTCGGTAGCGCAATTGAAAAATTCTCCACCAAAAGTCTACCATTTGAACTACATGAAATATGATCAGAACTTAACATTATAAACACAAAAATTATATCATTCCGTAGAGAAATGGACGCTCTTATATGTACCGGCGCTTTTTTACCATTCGCCCGGATCTGGTGGTGACTGGAAGGGCTTCGGGTGCCACCTTGACTTCGATCACTGAAGCTGTCTCCACCTCTGAGACCGCCTCCTCCTCTGTGTCAGAATTCAGCACAACGGCTATCTCTTGGCTTTTAATTTGGGAATGGCTTCCTCAGCCACCAAAGCTTCACTGAGAGTCATGAACCGTCTGTTCGGGTTCGAATTGCTCTCCTCTTCTTGCCTCTCTGCAGCCGGGCCACTTCTTCCTCTAGCTTCGCGATTCTGTTGCTGTGCTCGGCAAGCGTCTGTTCTTGGGCTTCAAAGCCTCTAGCTATCACGGCGTATCGTCTCCGGGTGCCAGGAGTCTTGTTCTTTCCGAAATCGCGAATCTGGCGGCTGTTTCTTGGCGTATCATCAGAACCCAAAATGGCGCGGACTTTGGAGACGTCTCTACAATGTCCGCGTGAATTTCTGGATGCCGCAATGCCTTGGATCGTGAGATCGGCCAATTCCCAGTGACCCTCCAGCCGGACAATATATTCTTTGCCGTCATTCCAACCTCGCGCGCTTTAGCATATGCCCGTATAAAATTGACCTTATGAACAGGCGCAGAATCGGTCAAACAGGTCAATTTCTGAAGTTCTTTCCGGTAAGCTGCCTTGGGCATTGAATACACCGTTATCTAACGGCTGGAGGCCATGAGAGCAGTGGGCAGGAAGGTAACAGCAATAAACGTTGTTCAAAAGCATGTGGCCATCCATGCATCCTGGTCCCGGTTAACGGTAATTCCTACAGAGGTGGATAAAGAAACGCACCGTTGCATGACTTCCATGTCCATCTAATATGATCAGTCTAGCATCTGAGGCATCGGCTGGTCGCGTCTGGGGCAAATAGACCCTCTCAAGCCACTCAATAGCGATATGGTTGTCCGTCCATCCGTTGGGCGACGTTATGTAATGCCAGTCGGCTATTTTGCCGAATTCCGTCAAGAACCACTGTTTCTGAAGTTCTTTGCCCTTAAAGATAATGCCAGGGTAAGGACACGGCCGTCCGCGGTGATAGCTTCAATAAATGAGGTCCAGTTGCGGGACTGTGGCCCTTTCAGAAGGGCCTTCCGTTTTGGGTCTGCACTCCCAACCACAAGACTATCCAAACCTGGCAAAAGAGTCTGGTTAGTAAAAGTAATGAAAGACAAGCCAAATACTCACCAAAGCCAGACATAATACCGCCTTCGTCAACATTCACGGTATTTTCTGGTTTAATCCATCCATACTCCTTTTCCCTGATATCGAAGAACCAGTGAACCGCACGAGGCGTAAAAGCATTAAATCGGTTAGCTTCCTGACGTCTCCCACGCTTGTTCTTGATGTCCGGATGGCGATTGATGAATTTAGAGACCCAGTTGCGCCCCACTGTCCGCTCGTTGTTCAGTTGCTTCATAAGAGCCTCCACACATGCGCGGATCTGACTGTGGGAGGGAGCATAGCCGAGAGACTCTTGGCGGAGGATCCAAGAAACCAAGCGAGCTTCCTGAGACTTACTCAAGAGTTGACGAGGCTGGATCTGATCAGCCAGGGCTACCTGGCCTTTGAGTCTGTCGGAAATAGACTGCTGAGGTATGTCATACTTTTGGGCGGCGCGGTACTGCGACAAGCCGTTTTTGTGACATCAATTATCGCATTAGCTATAATATCCTCCGTATAAATACCCGAGGCCGCTTTAAGGTTATTTTGGTCATGTGGTGGAGGAATAACGAGAAGAATCATCGTCAGGAGGCGGAAGGAGATTAGGGGTTGGATGGTAATTTCGCGTGCAAGGTACGCACAGGCCACAGACCCTGTACAAACATTCAACCATCGAAAAGTAGAATTCAATCAATCCTCTATCTACTCCAAGTGACGGCTTGTGAATATCTTCAAAGCTGGCTGGAATCGGTGTAAGTGAAATTGATGGGTTTTGGTGGGGATATTTCCTAATGCGCTACCGAAAGGTGGGTGTTACCGAAAGGGGGGTGGGGCATGGTAATAGTCATCGGTTGAGGCCGCGGTTGAGCTGACGCCACCATCTGTGCTCCCCAGGCCGCAAATATATCGGCTTCGCTGGTAAAGAGGCTTTGTTTATGGCAGCCGTCCGTTATTCTCTCGGAAATATCGTTTTGGGCCTGACTTTGCAGTTGAGCAACATGCTTCTGAGGCAGAAGGATTGTCCGGTTCTCCAAACGAAGGTTCCACAGTTTATACCAAAGAAGTCGAATCATTAGAAAGGCCAGCCCGATCGGCCCAGGGCGCATCTTCTCGAGTGCCAAATCTTCCCGTGTTTCGTAATTTGCGCTTTCTGCTTCTTCTAACACATCGTCTCGCGTGCCGATGATTGACGAGATACCATCCTCGTTACCGTTTAAGATCAGCGACCAGTTACGCAGTAAAGCCCGCAGGCCCATAACGTCCATGAGAACATGTGGCCAGCAGAGCGCAACGACTGTCGCGTCGTTGAATGAGGTGATATGAAGTGAAATTTGTGGTGCGTCTCGTTCAATAACTTCCTCGATTGTAATGGGCAGATTCTGGGAGCCGGCTAACGGTCGTAGATCCGAGCCAATCTTCTGTACGGATAGCGAGCCGCCGTCGGACAACTTGGGGAGCCGGGCTCCTAACGGATGCGTCTCGATGTTATCGTCAATCACGTCACGAGTGAAGGCGATGGCAGGCCGCTCGGATGAAAAGGATCTCGGGACGTGGATCTCGAGGTTTCCGTCGTCCTGACTAAAAATTAGTCTTGCTACACTGCAAGTACGTTTCGAAGGGCTGTCCATCACCTTGAGCCTGAGTCGGCCACCTAGCTTTCTCCAGTCCCCCTTGTTCAGTAACCTCGACAAAGAGTCTGCGAGTCTTTGAGCGTCGAGGATATCATTGAAACGAAATAGGTACGACATGTGAAGTTTGCGGTAACTGTCGGCGCCGTCTAATAGGTGAATGGGATACACATCGTCCTTGGAGCCACCGGACTGCGATTCGTCCTTGGATACATCGGACAGCGTTGACAATGGGTCCATTTTACCGCGAGCCATCTTGTAATATGAAATGACACTCGTTGTAGCTGTATACAGATTTATTTGGGAGGATCTTGATAGGTGTTACTGTGAAGATGGAAAAATACCGCTCCACCAGGAAATTTAGGGGCGCTACAAACCGTATTATAAGTCCATTCTCTGCTCTGACAAATGCCGCTTCGTTATTCCGTCGAGGAGGTTTCGCCCGGTTATGTAGATCCATATATCGACCATTTATCCTTGACGCCTTACTTGTCACCAATTGCCGACGTTGGCTACCGTCAAACGGCGAGAACCTGCTCGGCCAAGTCCACAGTTGCATCACAAATGCAGATTATAAGAGTCTTCCCTGCCGGCACACCCCCTTGTGTCGATGGACACACGCCTGCCCCTTGGCTCGGCCCAGGCAGCCAGGCTGTGCCTGGGGCTGTGCCTGGATGGGCGACTATCCCTAATTATGGAGACCTTGCATTGAGATAGAGTCTGTTGATTGCGCTGCCCTTCCTGGAAGAAAGGGTCCGCGGGTGTGACCATGTATATACATGATGTGCGGCCGGAAACAGATATCCGGAACCATGTGTGGCATCTGGTATGTCTCACATGGTGACTGCAGTATTCGGTGCCTCCGGAAGCATCCCTAATGCCCTCGTCTGCTTTCGTCACTGAGAGGCGCACCCTACGGCGTTGAGCCCACCGGTAATTCCTGCACATTGATCTTGTTGCGCACGCTGGTCCGTGACAGCAGCTTAGAGTTACACATTCAGTTGGGTGGGACAACCGTAGCGCATACTCCGAAGAACGGGCTTAGAAGCCGCAAACGACGACGGCTGCTGGCGATCCGTCTCACTTCGACTCTCACTCAACACTTTTCCCGAGTATTGAGCGCCCTATTCCCAGCAGTTAAAGTCCCGACTGGGCGTGGGTCTTTAACATATGCGTCAGCGTCTGTCTAAGGGCTTAGGCTGTTAATCATTAGACTCGTTTGTGTAGTGTCACCCTCTCTCCGTGCCTGGGCTGTTATCTCCCATGCATCTACGTCGTACGAACTTTTGTCTGTTTCCGGAAACTCTGCCAACTGCGGAGAATTAGTCCTTCGAAATAGCAGGTTCATTTTCGAATTGCTAAGGCTTCGGGATGATTAGTTAGCGGTAATCTAACCAAATGCGCCGAGTCCGTGGAGCGGACTGCTAGGTATTTTCTACTTTGCTTACAGTAGGATTCTAAAAGCCAATATTGGACTACTTGAATGCATCTAAACGAGGTTTACCGTTATTACTGCTCTATAATAACCAGTAAAACCGGAAGAAAGTATACATAAAGTAAAGTGTGCCAGACAGCGTCTACTAATTCCTTGTATATTTTTGAGTCAATTTGTTTGATCTACCCACTCCGCACCAACGATCAAATTCCAGTCCGAAATTTGTTTTCCTGGCTTGGTCGAGAACGAGAGCCTATATAGCGCCCACACGTCCTCCGAGAGACGCGCGCCAACCGGCAGCCCATCGATAGAAACTAATTATTGACATGGAGTCATGGACACATTACGCCGCCTTATAGGAATGCCGAGGCGATTGCCGCCCCCTGCCTTCCCAGAAGACGATGTTTACCCAGTACATTTGCAGGATGAGAATTTTCGTCACATCGTTATGGTTTCGACAATGCGGTTTAATGACGTCCTTGACCCGGAGAAGCTACATTACGCTCTATCGCAGCTGTTAAACATTGGGGATTGGAGAAAGCTGGGGGGACGTCTGAGACTCAAGGTAAATGGAGGCTGGGGTCTTTTTCGCCTTACGTATACCCGCTTACCCAGGGTGCCCAGGAAGATGGGAAACTAGATATCCACGTCCCGAGACGATTCTCGGAGAAGCGACCTGCCATTACATTTACGCATAACTCTTTAACTAAAATGCTCGTTGAAGAGCATCCCTTAGCGAGCCAACTGCCGATTCCTACAAACGGCCCATCTATACAGCCGAATCCATACAATCTAATAAACTTGGGAGTGCGACCAGATACACCTAAAACAGTCGAGGAAATGGTCAACCGGGATATACCCCAACTTTCGCTACACGTTACTTCATTCCAGGATGCAACGCTTGTCGGAATCTCCTGGCCTCACTCCGTGATGGACAGCTTAGGCTACCAGGCCTTGTTGCGTGCTTGGTCGCTCGTGCTAGCAGGTCGGGAAAGCGAAGTTCCGCCGCTCCTCGGTGCTCGGCAAGATGTACTTCTGGAAGCGGAAAATCGGAAGGGGCCCAGGGAACCCTTACTGCTCGAACAGAAGCGCCTTCGGGGTTTCAGAGCGGCCTTGTTTATTATCCGCTTTCTGTGGAGCATGCTTTGGAACCCTGCGCCAGAGGTTAAGACGCTTTTCCTCCCTAAGGGGGTACTTTCACGGCTATGTAATCGATTGTCAAACGAAACATCAGTAGATACTCGAAAGACGTTGGGGGAACCTTTCGTTAGCGAAGAAATCGCCCTGCTGGCATGGATCACAAGGTTGACTTCATCGTTGAAACCTAACTCCAAACCAGTCACAATTCTGAATTTTTTCAACGCAAGGACCCGACTCTCGCCATTGTTCAATCAAGGGGGCGTATACGTTCAGAACATGGTTTGCCATTCATTCGCGTTCCTTTCCTCTCGTGTCGCAAGAGGCCCTCTGCAACTGTTCGCCCTAGAGCACCAACGCCACGTTCAGGAGCAAACCACAGAACAGCAATGCTTAAGCTTCCTAAGAGCCTATCGTCAAGCCTATCGAAGCGGCGGAACTTTTAAACCTTTGTTTGGAGAGCCAGATGCTCATATACTTGGGTTCAACAGTTTATCGGCGGCCGACCTTGTTCGCACAATCGACTTTAGCGGTGCAGTTACAAAACAAGGCGATATGGCGGAATCGAGAAATCCTTTAGGCACTATGGTATGTTACTACTATCATATCTTTAATAATCGGTTGGGGTGCGGCCCAGAGTGTATATATATACTTGGCCAGGACTATGGGGAAAACCTTTGGATGATTGGAGCTCTACCTGCAAAAGTATGGCGGAAGGTAGAGGAAGACTTGAATCAGATGTAACCCTTTGTTGAATGGTGATGAGGCACTTTCAAGTCTACGACTGTCGACTGTCTTGTTTTCCCCGTGTTGTCAGTTCTTCAACAATTGTCAGTTAAAACTGACAGCAGGGCTCCTAATACATTTCGCGCATCTACCGCAGGTCTGCGGCTTCTGGCATGATAAGTCCTTGTAGCCGGTTTCTCGACAGTTATAGCACTGCATTGGTCCCTTGCGCGGCTCGAAGACATTTGTGTGTACGCCGATTGCCCACCCAAGTCAAAGTACTGGCCATCTAGAGTCTCTTCGCGCCAGTCTCCTTTGTGACGTAGACAACCATGGACCCGTACGCTTTTCCTACATCTCTGTTGCTCAGCCATGATATCTTAGCAATGGTGACGGTGGTATCCATGTCAAGTGCCTCAGGTGCATCCGGCAAGACGTTGCCTTCTCCTCCCAGGACTGCTGTGCGGTTGGGATTGTCGACATTGCCTCGATTCGAGATCTAAAAAAAAGCATTTTTCATAGGCATCCCGAGACCGATGCAATGCGCAAAGGGCACACCACCCACACAAGATCGACAGCCCTGGTTAGGCGAAAGGAAAACGAGGATTTTGACGGGCGAATCGGAAGCGGGGCTTTCGGGGGGTATTGGATGTCGGGCTCTGCCCTATGTCTGTGAAGAAGTATTGAAAGGGGGGGTTGAAGAGCTCACGACCACGGAGAGCCCGCAAAAGCCAACCAGCACGGTCCCAATAATAGGAACTATCCAGTGCACCCTGCACTCGACCGTCCAGACAAAGAGAAACAGGCCGGCGGGTACAAACGGACTGACCCATCTCATAAGCGGCAAACGGTGCTCAGGCAGGGGCTTATCCACGCCATCGTCCTTCATATAGGCTGCCTGGACCCGCGCGTTTAAAGCGCCAAAGAGGAGGACGCCGACGACCAAGGCGGCACCCAAGCCGAGGCAGACAAGCCCAGATGTGTAAGTAGAAAACCCGTACGGGCCCTCCAAGGCCGGGTAAACGAGGTGAATAGGATATACAGGAGCCCGAAGACTGGGGCCTCATAAAGGGAGATGACAAGAAGGACCGGGGACCGGCATAGGAGCATGACGGGCCGGACGAGCGCCTGAATGAGGAGGCGGCGTGCGGGCAAATGTCGTGCTAGTTTTGACACCAGGCGCGGCTTGCCCGTAGAGATACGCAGGCGTGCCGTCTTTCGCTCTGGAAGAATGGCAGGGTGGGTTTCCCGCATGACGACCACGGTGGCGACGGCGGCTGCATCGATGATGATGGCCAGTGCCCAGAAAGTCGGAGTCGCCGGCCGGCAACAGCCCGAGGCCGGCGCTCCTCCGCGGCCCAGAGACAGCTCTGCGCCGAGACAAGCGCCAGCTCTCGTGCAGTCTCTGCCGACGCCGCAAGTGCTCCCACTGTCCCGTCCTTAATGGGAGGCCTGCGCCGCTGCTTCCATGAATCCCAGGCTCCGATGCGACATGCGACCGCCAGCAGCCGTGTTCTGGCTACTTGTCGCGCGGGCTGGCGTGCACCTACCCGGACGGTTATGCCGGCTTGGCAATGCCTCTTCCGAGCGCGGCGACTGCTCCCATGCCCACCATGCACGACCGTCTTGCTCGGCTTGAACATAATATATATACCCTGGCTTGACTGTTCCGCGTTGTGGCCCGAGGCCCTCGTTTTGACAGTGAACCAGTCCCTCCCACCATGACATGGGTATTCGTCCATTCCGTATTCATACTTGGCAGCGCTTCCATCCCTACTACCCAGTTGGCGTAGATGAGCCTATTCACCGGCTGGCAACTCTCTCGTGATCGATCCATGGCCTGGGCAGGGGTCCCTCGCCTTGGTCCGGGGTTTGGAATGGCCATGACCCCGGGTTCTCCCTGGCTCCGACGTCTGGAACCCATGGAACCGATAATACCGAGATGCAGGTCTGAGGAGACTGTGGTGCAGGGTGCAGATGCGCGCGGGTGGAAAAATGATGTTCTTGAACCTGATGGTGTTGGTGGTTTGTTTATGCAGCGGCATAATTAGACGCTGTACATGACTTGGAGTTAAGTGACCCGTTACGTTTCTACCGCATCTACGGATACCTATCCGTACTTCGTACATTGGAACGCTGATGATGTCAGCGTGATTGGCAAGCCATGTGGATTGATAATCGACTGACGGCGCTTCCCCGCCTCGGATGGTCGTCGAGGCCGTGGATACAAAACCGTGCTTCGTTCAACCTTGCCATCTCTGACGAGCAGTTCCGGAGCCTGTTTGAGCGACGGCCAACGCACGGAGACACGAAAAGGACTCGACAGCAGACAGCATGGCCGTCAAAATATTCCTGCAAGTACTCCCGTTGTCTACACTGAGCCGAGCTGATCCTGACGACTTGCCTGACAGGACCGGTGCTACGGGTATGACGTCCCAGTCGAACCGCTAGGCCCAGCTCTCCCTCCCTCGGCTGACGGCGACGTGTTTGTCAAAAGGGTACATTGGAGGGACCGCCCTCGATTGCATCGTCAAGGCACATCCCGAGCACGAGTACACGCTGCTGGTCCGCGACGAGCAGCGCGCAGCGCCTATCAAAGCCAAGTATCCCAACGTCAAGTTTGCCTACGGACGGCTCGAGGATGCGACCGTGCTGGAAAAGGCGGCGGCCGAAGCCGACGTCGTTGTCCGTACGTGCCCCCGAGCTTCGGCAACTAACAAAGTCCCTTGACGCTGACGTCGGCCCAAACCAGACACGGCCGACTCCTCGGACAATCTTGCCGGGGCCGTGGCCATTGCCAAGGGTCTCAAGGACGGCCATAGTGCCGACAGACCTGGCTACTGGATCCATACATCCGGGACGGCGATTCTGACGTGGTACGACACCGAGCAGCAGCGCCAAGGTGATGCCCCGCTGCCGGAGCAAAAGTATCGCGACGTCGACGACATTGATCGCATCGTCGACCTGCCCGACACAGCCCCCCACCGCAATATCGACAAGGTGGTACTGGCCGCCAACTCGGACGCCGTCCGCATCGCCGTCGTCTGCCCTCCCACCATCTACGGACCGGGCACGGGCGCCGTCAACACGCGCAGCATCCAGGTTCCGGACCTGGTCAAGGCCACTCTGAGCAAGGGTTTTGCGCCCATCGTCGGCGAGGGCAAGACGGAGTGGGACCACGTCCATGTGCAGGATCTGGGCGACCTGTTTGTCAAGCTGGTCGAGGCATCGCAAGATGCGTCCCGGCGCGAGAATCCCGATGTCTTCGGCCCGCGCGCCTACTTTTTCGCCGAGAACGGGACGCACTCGTGGGCCGACGTGGCGCACTGGATCGCCGAGGCGGCAAGTCGGCAGGGCTATCTGCCCGAGGGCTTGACCAAATTCGTGTCAGTAAAGGAGATACAGCTGATGCCAGAGGGCAACCCGACGTGGGGATTGAACTCAAAGGGCGTGTCGCAGAGGGCAGCAAAATATCTCGGCTGGCAGCCCAAGGGGGCGCCGCTCAAAGACATGATTAGTGAGCTGGTGGCCCAGGAGGCAAAGGATTCGGGCTTGACGCCGAAGGAGAAGAAGGGCTGAGGCCGAGTGGGTGGCATGACGTTTTCCTGCGAGTGCGCCGTATATCCGCATCTAGCCCATTTTTCAACGAGTCGAAAGAAGCGGTGTGCTGCTGCACAGGCCCATGGAATGTCACGACGGATCGCATGTAATTGAGTTTCGCGCGAGAATGCAAAGAGGGCCATTGCCAGAGGCTCACGTCGCGAATTCTCGAGAGCAGCTCTCCTCTCCTGCTCCGACCTCGTGTCAGGCCGATGCTCGCAGCTTTTCCAAGCATCCCGAGCACTGAAAGAAGGCGCTGAAACACGGCGCTGATAGCGGGCACTGATAGGTTGCCGGGCCGATGCGGGTCCGTGTCCGTGCTTAGGTAACGCCGCCCGGACCTGAAATGTCAGGCCGCACAGGTTGTCCGAAGCCGGCTTAGCGCCATTCAGGGATCTCCCAGCGGTCCCCTCTTCCGCCCCCCTCCACCCCCAGGCTAGCCAAGCGACAGCAAGGTATCCTAAGCACCTTAGTGAGTGAGAGCGGGAAAAAAAAGTTCACAGGCGGCCCCGAAAAAATCACAAAATTTTTGGTCCGGCTGGGAGAATTTCTACACCTCCAACCAAACCCCACGTCCCATTTCCCGCCTTTTCCCTCACATCCTTCCTCCTCTCTCCCCCCCTCTCTCTGCCATCACCCTCGCCCGCCATCGACATCGAATTCCTGCTTTTTTTTTTTTCCTGTTTAGACACTCTTCACAATGGCGGACGAAGTCTACGATGGTGCCATTGGCATCGATCTGGGTACGTTGATCTTGACCGACAGACGGGTGTGGCGGCGAGAAAAAACCATCACCGTCCTCGCACCCGCCTTTACTTGCATCCTCCTTGTTTGGCCCTGGCCCTTGAGGCGGCTGTATCAGGGACTGACCTGATTTTCGCACCTCCAGGCACCACCTACTCGTGCGTTGCCACCTACGAGGGTACCAATGTCGAAATCATTGCCAACGAGCAGGGTTCCTTTACCACCCCTTCTTTCGTCTCCTTTACCGACAAGGAGCGTCTGATCGGTGAGGCGGCCAAGAACAATGCTGCCATGAACCCCCGGAACACCGTCTTCGACGCCAAGTGAGCTGCCCTTCTTCCTGTCTTCTCTGCTCGAGGGCCATCTCAGCTCCGGGCATATGCCTCGCATTTCTATTCGATGCTGACCATCTCGGCTCTCCAGGCGTCTGATCGGCCGTCGCTTCGATGACCCCACCGTCAAGAAGGACATCGAGTCCTGGCCCTTCAAGGTCAATGACGACGGCGGCCAGCCCAGGATTGAGGTCGACTACCTCGGCGAGAAGAAGACTTTCTCCGCCCAGGAAATCTCGTCCATGGTCCTCCTCAAGGTACATCGCATCAATTTGTGCCCACCTCATACCGCTCTACGCTGGGCTCCATCCCCGCCAGCAATGACCTGTCTCTGACTCTGTCTCGCCCACAGATGAAGGAGATTGCCGAGACCAAGCTCGGCAAGAAGGTCGAAAAGGCCGTCATCACCGTCCCCGCCTACTTCAATGACAACCAGCGCCAGGCCACCAAGGATGCCGGTGCCATTGCCGGCCTCAACGTCTTGCGTATCATCAACGAGCCTACCGCCGCTGCCATTGCCTACGGTCTCGGCTCCGGCAAGTCCGAGAAGGAGCGCAACGTGCTCATCTACGATCTTGGTGGCGGCACCTTTGATGTTTCGCTCCTCAACATCCAGGGCGGTGTCTTCACCGTCAAGGCCACCGCCGGTGACACCCACCTGGGTGGTCAGGACTTCGACACGAACCTCCTCGAACACTGCAAGAAGGAGTTTGGCCGCAAGGCCAAGAAGGACCTTAGCGGGGACCCGCGCGCCCTGCGCCGACTCCGGACTGCTTGCGAGCGCGCCAAGCGTACCCTGTCGAGCGGTGCCCAGGCCACCATTGAGATCGACTCGCTCTTCGACGGCGAGGACTTCACCATGACCATCACCCGTGCCCGTTTCGAGGAGCTCAACGCCAAGGCCTTCTCCGGCACCCTCGAGCCCGTTGCCCAGGTGCTCAAGGACTCGGGCATGCAGAAGAAGGCCGTCGACGAGATCGTCCTCGTCGGCGGCTCCACCCGTATCCCCCGCATCCAGAAGCTGCTGTCTGATTTCTTCGACGGCAAGAAGCTCGAGAAGAGCATCAACCCCGACGAGGCCGTCGCCTACGGTGCCGCCGTCCAGGCCGGCATCCTCTCGGGCAAGGCCACCTCGGCCGAGACCTCCGATCTGCTTCTGCTCGACGTTGTTCCTCTCAGCTTGGGCGTCGCAATGGAAGGTAACGTGTTTGCTCCTGTCGTACAGCGTGGCAACTCTGTACCGACTCTGAAGAAAAGGTGAAGCATTTCGTTTTTTTCAGCATATCGTCGGTCATCGCTAGCAGCTGCTGACTAATCCCATATAGGACCTTCACCACGGTTGCCGACAACCAGCAGACTGTGCAGTTCCCTGTCTACCAGGGCGAGCGTGTCAACTGCGAGGACAACACGTCCCTGGGTGAATTCACCCTGGCTCCCATCCCCCCCATGAGGGCCGGCGAGGCCGTCCTCGAGTGTGTCTTCGAGGTCGATGTCAATGGCATCCTCAAGGTGACGGCCACGGAGAAGACGTCTGGCCGCAGTGCCAACATCACCATCTCCAACTCGGTCGGCAAGCTGTCGACGGACGAGATCGAGAAGATGATCAGCGAGGCCGAGAAGTTCAAGTCCAACGACGAGGCCTTTAGCAAGAAGTTTGAGGCTAAGCAGCAGCTCGAGTCTTACATTGGTCGCGTCGAGGAGATTGTCTCGGACCCGACGCTGTCGCTGAAGCTGAAGCGCGGCCAGAAGGAGAAGATTGAGAGCACCATCAGCGACGCCATGGCCGCCCTCGAGCTCAGCGACAGCACCGCCGAGGACCTGAGGAAGCAGGAGCTTGCCCTGAAGCGCCTGGTCACCAAGGCCATGTCTTCCCGATAAACGAATGGCGAAGCTGGTGACCGGGGGGTGTGATGATGTATGAGAGTGCGATGCTCTTGGAGCTCAGAATACCCCACCTCGTGCGCCTCGGGAAAAGGAAACAGGGAAAACAGAGGGAGGGGATCTGGGGAAGACCAGCAGGCCGAGGCGGTTTCCTATTTTTGCAGTGGTGTTAAATTTCTTTTGTTCGGATCTGCAGTCATTTGTGCATCCGAGGTGACGAGAGACATACAAAAAGGTGTACATTTCCCTGCTCTTTCGAGTCTTGACTCTTGGGAGGCTTGATGATGCACGTGGAGGCCGCATTGCGTGGCACGAGGGCCGGAACGTGCGAGGAAGAAAAAGTTTTAAAAGAAGACTGAAGAAGCATAGACTCGATAGAAGGGAAATGACGGCCATGTGGTATCACGATGATGAATGGTTGGTGATGAAGCTTCTGCCGTGGCCTATTCATCCTAGCGCTGTCCTGGTTCACACGTCGGCGTCACCGAGCGGCGGTCACCGAGCGACGGTCACCGAGCGATGGTCACCGAGCAATAGTCACCGGGCGGCGACGTCCAGGCGTCATCGAGCGGCGACGTCCTGGCCCGGCCGCGCGTCCTGGGCGGCCCGTACCTGCGGCGGGCGAGGCTGCTGTGGGTCCCCGGCGGCGGCCGTGGTAGGCGTCCCGGCGGCGACAGGGTGCACCCTATGCTTCCGCTTTTATGAAGGTAGTCGTCACCTGGCTGCCAATCAAGTACAACTTGATGCTTGTCAAGCTTGACGCTCCCCGCTAGATTTCCTGGCTCATAGCCAGGATCCCAAGGCCGTGGAGAAAGGTAGCCTTTACACCGCCGACGTAAGACATAAGGTCGCCCTAACTCGATATCTTGCTATAGAACCAATGATGTAAAGATACCACCTTTATCTTAGGCATCCATAACGCTCGGTTCTAACTTTGTTTTGCTTACCAGATAGAGAGAGAGGAAGTGGAATGGGCAGGCGTACTCACTTGCGCGATAGGCGATGGCGCATCTGGGAGCCGATATATTCATGTCACCTGTCATTTTCGGGAGCTTTACAATCGTCGCCTAATAGCATCAGAGGATGGTGGTGACCGCTTCCGTCACTGGTTGGCGCACTCTACGGTCTCGAGCCTACGAATAATTCCTGCACATTACATATTGGTCGGTGACACACGTTAGTCGGTGACAACAACCCATCTTGCAGCCTCTATAATTTAGAATTTAAGCCTCTCTGTAATGCTGGGTAAAGTCATACTCGATACTGCTTACTTTCTATATGAGTTGTCAGCTGTTGCAACCTGGGGCATCATGAGGGTGACAACAAACCAGCAGGAACGTCTTTGTTTTCTCCCTGTCACCGTCCATCGACTTCAGCAAAGCCAAAAAGGGGTCGAACTCGGGTGTGGACTCGGCGTCCGACTTGCGAATACGATTCATGTTCTTCCTGGATCGCCGGTCGACAAAGTCCAAAAACTTTTGCCGGCGAATGTTGGCATAGGCATCCAGAATGTCCTCGTCGGCCTTGCCCTCGTAGTACCCGATGAGGCAGTCTGCTAATCCGCCCACGTCTAGAACGGCAGCCATGCAACCGTATCCGCCGAACGGGTTACAGACGTGCGCCGCATCGCCGGCTAGGAATATACGGCCGACCCTCATCTTGGTGACGCAGCGGTTGTGGATGCTGAACTGGTCCGTTTGCGTGACCCTGTACTGGCTTGGGTCAGGGTGGCCGGGCAGCATCTTCTTAAAAGCCACTTCGCGCCGGCGGACGTATTCCTCTTTGGAGAGATTTGTTGCTGAGTCGCCGTACGTCACGCGCCAGAGGGGGCCGTCATCGCCCTGGGCTTTACCTCGTTTTGCAACCAGGCCCCAAAACTCGGGATCAATCATATAGTTGCCACCCTCCCAGCCGTGGTCCTCAAAGCCTTTGTAAAATACCTGGATGAAGATCAGTCCACATACACATGCCTTGGTATCCTCCTTGCGGCTCTGGTGTATCCGTTGGAAAGAGACACGCACATTTTGGACCAGGAGATGACTCTCAAAGGTCTCACCTGGCCAGTCTCTTTGAAACAGGCACTGCCGTACGGTGCTCTTGCCTCCATCGCAGCCAACGATGTAATCGGCTTCGAATGTGACCGTCTTTGTCTCTTCTTTCGAACTGACGTCTTCAGTGGTAGCCCAAGCCTTTCCCTGGTCTTGGTGAATGTCAATCACTTTGTGGTTGAACAAGACAGTAATGTAGTTGTGATACTTCTCCTGGCAGTGGCGTAGTAGGATGCCCAGGATTTGGTTCAGTGACAATACCGTCATGCGGTCTGGGTCGTCGGCGACGGCCGATAAATCGATGCCTGCAACTCTGTCGCCCGTACGGACACTCCGCCAACAAATGTACGGAAAGTGTGTGATGCTTGCAGATCGAATGTCGTCCAGGATGCCGGCCCTGCGAAAGATGCGCGTCGCAGGGACGCCGTATTGAGTGGCGCGCAGTCTTTCGTCGACTCGATCCCACGCCTCCAAGACAGTGGACGGGATGCCACGTCGAGCTAGAAGCACAGCAAGCAGCAGTCCGGCGGGACCAGCACCGACGATCAGGACCTAAGACGACGTCGATGTCAGATGGAGACCGATATCTGGCGAACGTCTACATGGGTTGAGAGATAGGCCTGTCAAATACCTTTTCGAACGGCCTGGCACCCTGCCTCTGCTCGGTATGACCTCGATGCAGACCAATGCTAGCATTTACTGTGCCATTGGCAAAAGAGGCATCTGTAGGTTGAGCCATGTCGCTCCTCGTCACGCCTGGCCAACAGGGCAACTCCCTAGGGGAGGCAAAACATGTAAAGCTGGAAACCACACAGGAGCCCATACACGTAGGAGGGTGTAGGATGTCGCTGTTTTATACATCATAATGCGGACCGTATTGGTAATTATACTTGAACTGTTGGCTTCCCCTCTCGTAGCAGCCACTTCGTACTCACCTACGATACATCATCTTTTCCATCACATAACGAATGAGATCCAGGTCACGTCCAGCTGTGACCGTATGACTAGTAGCCAGCTTACCTTCCCTAAATGCTCCAAGATTACTTGCATTAGTCTGGTAACATAGCGTGCCAGAGCTCACCCGTATCACCGTCCAACGTCCAACAAGTCTGTCCCTTACAACCACCAGGATTGCAAAGGTCGTACAGATACAAGCTCCCCCAACGTGATTTTTACTGGCCATATCAGACCCACAGCCATTTTCTAGTAGATTATATGATTAATTACCTATTTCCCGTCGTTGCCCCCTCACTGTCGAGCCCACCAACAGCGGCTGCACGTCGCCCGATTCGGTGGGTTAAACAGCGCTTTTAATCGTTAATCGGCATGTGCGGCTCGTCGCTCGCCGAGCAATACAAGTGCTGGAGAAGCCGTCCTTGGTCAGCACGGCTTTGGGACGCACCGGGAAGAGCGTGGCTATCACGCTTGCCATGGTATCTGGACTTCGCCTGACGCCTTGGACGGTCCTGAAATTGAGAAACTGATACGGCACTCGAGAAGCAGGCGTCTCGGGCATCCAATGAAAATACTTCGCGATTTCACAAGGTAGAGAAACAAGGTCTCAAGTATAACGCACCACAGGGGCAGTCGGGCAGAGCATAACTCGCTCTCATGGGCTCACTGGCTAGCTTAGCTTCTCTATCTAAAAGCAATCACGAGACGCGTAAGGGTCTGCTTCTCTCTTCAGCTCTGGGTTTGAAAGCCCGGAAACGAATTGCTGGATGAAGCTGGTCAAGTGATGCTCCTCTAGTACGTCTCATATTGATACCTCTCTTACCGGGCCGGCCGTGGTTGGTTTTACTGGCTGACGCTTGGTTTCTAAGGCCTTGGTTACGTTCGTCTCATACAAGGCTTCGACTACCTTCTATAAATGCTGGCTCTGCTTAGCCGCTCCAGTGCACCAGAACCTGCCGGTGCTCCCCACGTTGTCTATTCTTCTATCAGGCAGCAAGAGGTTTTCCGACTTGCCAACCATCTATGCTATCTCGTCAAGTATCGGATGCGGTGTTACCTCGTCTACCTAGGCGAGCAGCTTGGCCACGGCTCCGTTTCCTTTTGGGGCTGCCACGTGAAAAAACTTTACCTCGCTTGCGTCCCTCAGGTCCAGGACACTCTGGGCCGCCCAATGCAGCGGCTTTAACCCCTTTGCGTCCTTGGCCTCCTTGTCGGCACCCGCGTCGATGAGTAGCCTCGCTATAGCCTCATGGTCTCGCCTGGAAGCCCAGTGCAGTGGCGTCTGCCCGTCTGCGTCCTTGGCCTCCTTGTCGGCACCCGCGTCGATGAGTAGCTGAACTATAGCCCTATGGCCTTCACGGGCCGCCCATAGCAGCGGCGTCCACCCTTTTACGTCCTTAGCCTCCTTATCGGTGCCCGCTTCGACGAGCAGCTGAGCCGTGGCCCTGTGGCCTTTTCGGGTTGCCACCTGCAGCGGCGTTAACCCGTTTGCGTCCTTGGCCTCCTTGTCGGCGCCCGCGTCGAGGAGCAACCTCGTTATAGCCTCATGGCCTCGCCGGGAAGCCCAGTGTAGTGGCGTCCGCCTAAGATTCTTTATCCAATTGTACCCGCCCTTGGCCTCCCTATTGGCACCCGCGTCGATGAGTAGCCTCACCGCGGCCTCCTGGCCATTCCGGGCCGCCCACTGCAGCGGCGTTAGCCCGATTGTGTCCTTGAGGCCCTTGCGGTCATTCGCGCGGGCGGTTTGCCGAAACATAACCTCATGCCTTCGCTGTAGAATCGTCAATTTTCTTACTTCCTTGGCCTCCTTGTCGGCACCCGCGTCGATGAGCAGCCTCGCTATATCCTCGTGGCCGAACCTCGCTGCAGAACACAGTAGCTCCCCACTGATTGCATCTCTTGAACCAACGTGGCCTCTTTTCCTGAGTAGGAGCTTAGTTATCTCGTGCTGGCCTTTGCAAACGGCATAAGACAGCGGTGTCCCTCCAATTTCATCCTGGTAGCTCACCCGGGCCCCTGCCTTTACCAGCAGCTTAACGACCGCCGTGTTTCCACTCCAAACGGCGTACGATAATGGTGTTCGTTTGTGTATGTCGTTGGAGTCGATTTCGGTTTTTTTCCTGAGCCGTGGCTTGAAGCTCCTCGGGCCAATGTATCGGGGTTCTATCAACAATTTGACAACGTCATCGAAGCCGTTTTCTGCAGCCCAAGATAATGCTGATCGCCGGTGTTCACAATCCTGAGAGTTCACGTCGAACTCTTTCCTCTTAAGCAAAAGTTTCACTATTTCTCTTAGTCCAAAGTAGGATGCAATCATGAGCGTGGTGAATCCCTGGGGAAATTTCGTGTTCGTAATTGTCCAATAGACTCTGAACCAAATCATGCAGCGCTTTGAGCTTGCATTACAGATTCTCAGTATCGATTGTGTCATCGCGTCGTCGTCTCGCATCGATTTCTGCACCTTTCGGAGGTGAGCGGCCCAATGCTTGGCGGAGTAGTCAAGGAAAATATGATCCCTGACATACTGGGCCAGTTTTACGTCCCCAGAAAGAGGATGCATCTTAAATTCTGCGAAGAGGAGATGCCAGATGCAGATGTTGGCAAGGATGCGATGAGATGTCCGCGGCCGAAGTGCGTGTTTCCAATTAAGTCTTGTCTGGATATGAGAATTCATCGTGTCATCCAGAACCAAGAATTCCTTTGCGCTGTGGTGGAGCAAGTAGATCTTTGAGTCCACGATTGTTATAAAGAGCCCGCAGGTGTCTCGTAAGATCTCGCGGAAACGGGCTTCGCTTTTGAGATCAAAGTCGTCATAAGACCGATGATTTTCTTGCAAAGTTATCGCCAGGTTCATCTCAGCCACGGCTAGTGGCCGAGCTGCTGCCACGACTATATGCAGGATTCTCTTTGCTCTTTCGGGGTCGTGACTCTTGGAGAGGATCCTGTCGTATGCCTCGTCCACATTTTGAGGGAGATGAGTAGTGGCATCGATTATTCTATTTTTGTCGATATCGCCGTCCTTCTCGATCAAGTCCAAGATAAGGTATACCCATAGATATGTCCTGTTAGGAACACTTGTGAGCTTTGTCAATAAGAGATGGTTCTCGTCATCTGTCAATTTCAGCGACGCTCCGATATCCTGGACTTTGGATCTGATGAAGATGTCGATCTCTTGGGAAATCTTTGCCGCCTCTTCATCGCTTTCACCGCTTAAATGAATCACCGGCAATCCTTGGATCATCAAGGGTTGAAATCCACGGCGAATCTCACCATAGGGTCGACTTGTAAGGAGTAGCTTCAGATTAAAGGCACTTCCTCTTCTTCCGGGCCCATAGAGAAGTTGCAATGCTCTGTAGAGCTGAGATCTTCCTTTCGCTTCGCACTCATCGATTGCGTCGAACAGACAAACGATTTCGCCAGCGTTCGGATCTTCCGCAGCGTTGAGAAGGGCATCCCAAAGGTCACCAAATGAGCTGGTTAGCCTTTCACCCGCGACTTCGAGCTGTTTCAGGATCGCATCGGATAGCAGCTCGTGTTTCTGGTGGAAAAGTTGGTGCAGTATGCAGCTGAGGGCGCTGACTATACTTCGCTGGTCCTCAAAGTCGTCTTTGAAGAAGAAGTAACACACGGTCCTGGACGTTGTAGGAAGAATATAATCAACCAGGTATTTTGCCAAAACCGACTTCCCGCACCCGGGATCTGCGGAAACCCAAAGCATTCTTGATGACTGGCTCTCTTGCCAATCCAGAAAGAGTTTGTGGAACACGAACCAGTTACATGTCCCTGGGACACGGGCATCGTTCCGGTCTTTTCGCTCTCGAAATGGTGATGTGTGAAGGCGCTTCAGAATCGCTACTTCCTTGTCCCACCGGGCCCAGTCTTTCTGGGTCTTCCCAGTTCTGCGATGGGGGAATGATGAATCTTAGGTCAACATTAGCATGCGCATTAACTCGTTGCATATGGTCAAGGCTCGCTTGTAGACGTGGTAAGGACTCCAAGATCCTATGGGGAACTGCCTTAGCTAACCCTTTGCTCGCAATATCTTCCGTGCATCACTGGCGAACCCCAACAAACGGGTGGACACTCTCTTGAAGGCATCATCCTCCGGTCCCGCGTACTTGCTCAGCATTGCGTGTCTAACGTCCAACCCAATCCGACGTGGGCCTTGAAGGCAAGCCGAGTGCCGCTCGACAAGCTTGCCAAGGTTAGCACTGGAACCTTGGTCCGAAACGCAAGCTTACAATTCCCTTGTTATCACTGCCTAAGCATTTGATGAACTCGGGCGGTAGTTTCCTTATGACTGTGGTAAAGTCTGTCGGCTGGGTTTCGTAAAAACAGACCATGGGAAATTTGAACTCTTTGTCCTCGACCATCTCGCAGAACCGCTGGACAATTTCGTCGAGTTCTCCTCGTCCCCCGGCGTCATTTCCCAGATACTTGACCAACTCGGAGGATGAATCACCGCGCATATGTATCGCAACGACGACCCGTAGCTGGGTGGCAGTAAAAAAGGACTCGTGACTGCCTTGGAAAGGCGTGCCTAGAAACGCGACACCAGCGGTCGATCTGAGGATGCCCTGATACTCACGAACCTCCCGCGCCCGGTGAAGTGCCTTTAAAAATTAGCACTGCGCGATATGGTCCCCGAAAAGATGCAAACCTTGACCAGCAACAGACCACCAAAGCAGGATGCGATGAATATGGCGGGCGATTACCGCTGTCCTATTTCCCACGTTAGGTCATGCCATGCGAGAATCGAGGTGTGTCACCTTGAATCTGCAGATATGCAACCTATCTAGTAGTGCATCGGCATGACCTAATAGAAGGTCGGTCGCGGGGTTATCGTCGAAGTTGGCGTTCCAGTCGTACGTGAAGATGCGAGCATTGGGGATGACAGATGGCAACATGTTCTGGTCTTGCAGCCAGTGGACATGGCCCGAAGTTGGGTCACCGTCGTCCTTCCATGCCACCCAAGTTCCCGGCGATTGAGTGTCCAAGCCGTGAATGGCGATGATGCTGCTCCCAATCAGATGTGTTTGGCAAAACTGGTATGTGGATTAACCGACTCCAAGTCTGTTTTGATCGAGCCATCGCTCTGGTCGGGGTATACTTGGTTCAGACCGAATTTTCGGGGTTCCGTGTTCCGGGGCAATCCGGCCTTGTCTCCGCTGCTTGCCGTCATTTCCGATTACGATGCCCGGAGCAGAGTGTCATATAGTTGACGCGAGGACGGAGAGTGCGGGGGAGGCAATTCATCGGTGGATGAGAAGAATCCGAGGGACAACGCATACTAAGGCACCTAGATATACCCTGTGGCCGGGGTGCCCTCAGGGGCCAACCTACCACACAGCCCAGCCTGTCGCGCTAGGGCGCCCCTTTCGAGCTCGAAGATGCAGAATTTACGCCTAATCTTCCGGCTAAGCCACGAGCCGGGCCGCGAGACTGACTGGGAGGGGCTGACTCCGAGCCCGGGATATTCGGTAAAAGCGTGGCCATTGAGAGTGACGTCCATATATGAGCTGAGCGAAGAATGAAACTCGCTACAATACAGTACATGGAGGGCTGAAACGTGGTCCAATGGGAGCCTGCTCTCGCGCCACGCGCTTGTTCCTCACTCCATACGAAGATTGACACCAAGGGAACTTCAGCACCGAGGGCTAGGCAGGCGCCCTGCCACCGTGTAAGTCAGAGCTTGCATACAGTACGGTCTAATTAGAAAAGGGAAGCTATCTAGTCACCTGAACCTCCCTTATCAAAGCTTTCGTGACGATCTGGAATAAAAAGCAGAGGCTGTGGCAAAAATGACTATATATCCTTGTAAAGAGCCCGTCCCTCTTTTTTTAAGAACTCTAACAGGGCTATTTTTTCTTTATAGTAGTTATTGCCTTGCAGAAACAATCCCGTTTATATATTACTAGGCATTTACTTGATAAGCCTCTATAGCTTCTCCTAAAAGACGGCCTTCTACACTCCACGCTAGAAAGTAACAAGTCGCCGCTGCGAAGTTGCTGCTCTTTCTTTAGTATTTTATTGATTCAATATATGCTATGCTAACTTAATAAAGGGCAGTTATCTTGGGGGCAGTCAGGCTGGTTAGAGCTGCTGCCTTGTTGGCTGTGTTGGTTTTCTTTGCTTTGCTTTGCGTTTGCTGTATCTTTGCTAAGTTCTTTGCTGTTTGAGGAAAGTCACATGTACAGTTTTTCAGCATCAAAGCTTCTCAAGCCGGGAAACGCAGGACAGTAGAAATCTGCGGGTAAGCGTGACTTACACCGTGGCAAGGGTCCCCGCCTAGCCCCCTGTGTTGAAGTTCTTTTGGTATTAACCTCGTACATATACACGGTGTTTAGCTCATTGCAAGGGTATATCAAGACCACCCAGCGATGTGACGGATAAATCGTAGACCTGTCTCGATTTCCCTGGACGGGATCGCCCTCTTCTTCAGAGCAGCCTTTTAGACCATGAGACATGAACAATCTTCGACGGTACGTTTACACTCCATTGGGTACCGGCTGCATTCGACTACTACAAGTGAGCGCCGAGTCAAATACTCTGTCTGGCGCTCTCCGGACGGTCAAAATCGATGATGCGCCGCCATACTTTACTCTCAGCTACTCTTGGGACTCTCAAGCACCTGGCCAGCTAATACGAGTAGACGGTCAGGTGCTGTCCGTGAGTCCCAGCCTGGCAGCCTTTGTACAGCGATTACCGGGCTTGACCATCGATGGCAGGCGAGTCGAGTGGGTGTGGATTGACAAGATATGCATTGATCAAGACGATCTCTCGGAGCGTTCTAGGCAGGTACAGCTCATGAGCCTGATATACTCCCGGGCCGTCAGGACCCTAATCTGGATCGGGCCCGACCTCGATGCATGCTCCGCGGCGTGGCAACTAGTTGATGAAATATACCGTGTCTTCCAGACACAGAATCCGCGCGCCAAGTTCGTGGCTGACATCCCCTTTCGGATGTATTCGGATCAGAACCACGCGGCCTCGGGTCTTCCCGAATGGAATGACGGGCTGTGGAGGCATCTGAGGAGGCTATTCAAACTGCCATGGTTCACAAGGTCGTGGATCGTCCAAGAAGTCGCTCTTTCGCGAGGGGACCCAGTCATTCTCCACGGACAGAGGAGGTACATGTGGCATCACCTAGGCTGGGCGTCGTCCTGGCTGCGACGTAATGGATATCTGCGGTTGGAACAGGTTCCAAACCAAATACAGAATGTCGAGACGATATCCAACATTCGGCGATCCAGTGCTCCCTGGTGTCTAGGCGCCTTGTCCGTCGCAACCTCCATCAAGTGTCATGCTACCGACCAAAGGGATAAGATTTACGCTCTGATCGGCTTGGCCGCCGAGAACCAAGATGTTTCCCACGTGCCCGACGCGTTGCGTGCCAACTACAAGATAGATGTCACTCAAGTATATACAAAGGTCGCTATATTCCTTCTCTGGACATATAAGACACTCTCCTTCCTGACCCGCGCCAACGGCGTGTCCGAAGACGTGTCTTGGGCCCAGCGCAAACACCGTCTTGCGCTGCTCCCTTCCTGGGTTCCAAATTGGTGCGACTTTGCTGTTGCAGAAAGGCATGTGGCCAAAAGCCTTACGTGGCTATCTCATCCCAACGACGCGGGCGCGGCAACCTTACGGTTTCCAGACCACTACAACGCCTCTTGTGGGCTGCACGCGAAACTATACGAGTCCTTGGATCAGTCGGTACTCCGACTGAGTGGCCTGAAGGCCGACATAGTCGTCAACACAGCCGTCTTCGATGACGTACCACAGTCGTCCGAAGGACATGGCCACGACTCACAATTCCTTCAGCTTTGGAGAGCTGCGTTACCATCTCTCCAAGCGACAAAGTCTCTCGCGGACTGGATATCCTGTTGGATTAATGCTACCACGGCAGAGCAGTATCGGCTCGCCGGGAGCACGCCGGAGCAAATCTTAAGAGACGGCTCGGCATTCCTACTTGAGCTCTTATCCAGCCATAAGCATCCGGAGAGTTCTCAGGAAATTATAGTTCAGCTGAGAGAGTTTCCAGTTGGTGGCAAACCGGAATCTTACACCTCGTTGGCCAGCAATTTCTGCCTCCACAGAAAGTTCATCGTCACTGCAAAGGACCGCATGGGCATTGGGCCAGATGCAACGCGGGCTGGGGACCAGGTCTTTGTGATATTCGGTGGAGGCGTGCCATACATCATCCGTAAACAGGAGCGCGGTTCCCTTTTCGTGGGGGAGTCGTATATCCATGGACTTATGGGTGGCGAGGCGGTTCAAGAGCGGCAGCGAGGTGAGCTGGTAGAGGAGATACTTGAGATTCGATAATTTCTCTTTTAGTGGTGTTTAATAACCTGAAATTGAAGCGGCGGGGACAACAGCGTGTTCCAGACTACAAAATGAACGGGGCGTTTTCGTGTCCTGGTACTGATAGTTTCTGAAGCTTAAGCAAAGGCTATTGGTGCCGTCTTAGCTTGGGTAGACACTTTCTTTTAGGACTCCGTTGATGCTTCTTGGTCGGTGAGTCTGAGATATGTCTCTCGAAAGATTGCATAACTCCTTTCGCTTAAACACAGCGCCGCTGTTCTTACAATGTGCAGGGTTATCTTCTGATTAAACTACAAAGCTTGAACGGAACGCTCTCTTTCATTGGATGAATCCATCAGAGGTCCTTAAGAAAGGCGCATCCAGGGAAGCTTTTCGCCTATGAAGGTCGATCTGAGGCCAGACGGCATTGTCCCACTGCGCCAGGCGCTCCATGTTCGTACTTTTGCAGAATGTACGAAGTACCCGTAAGCTGCCTTGCTGTTTCTTTGAACTGCCGTGCCACGTAAAACATGACAGAGGGGCGCTGAAGAGTAGATTATGTTTCACCGGGGCTTGATTTGACCATAGATGCGAAGACTGACAGAAACATAAGGGGGCTCATCTTGAACTATCCCGTGCTCTTACAGAACGTATATTACCCATAAATTCTGTACAGACGAACCGCTGATGCATCGAGTCCAACGTTCACTGAACCCGCCTATGTATTTTACTCGACTTGCTCGATGATTAGAAGTAGGAATTGGGGAACAGCGAGATGAGACCCTTTAGTCACACATCCCAGGAGACTCAGAGGAGCTCCTGACAATGAAACCTCATGGAGGATCGAATTCATGACGTTACTGATAGACTCTTTGCCAGGTGGGCATGATACTTGGATTCTGAAGAATTGTGCTATCAAGCATGAGTCTTCCTGAAAATTCTAGAAAAGGGCACCGAATAGGAAAAAGGAGTGTGAGATTAGTGACAGCAACTGCTGTCTTGTCCCCGTGCCTAACCGAGCCAGCGTTGTCCTCGTCGTCCTTCTTCCCGGTGGCGGCAAGGGAAGCTTCGCCGCTGGCGACACTAGCAGTAGCCGTCCCGCTGCCGACAGCGTTCTGTGAGCCGCCTTTAAAGCCGGGGCTACGACCGGCGCCATGCTTCATGTACTTTTCTGCTTGCTGCGTCATCCGGGGTACCAGGCTAGGGTCGACGTTCCACGAGCTGTCTGAAGTCGGGCACTACACGGCGTGCGTACTAGAAGCGGCCCGCCATCACCGGTAGGGGTAGGGGTTTTGCTTAGAGCCTCTTTGAATAGCTCAAACTCGTCTGATTGGTCAATGGCCTCGCCTTCAGAATGAGGCTTGACAATACCAAACTTGTTTTCCTCGGTCGAGTACTCGTATATAAGGCCACCGGAATATACATTACTTATGTTTATGCTTATCAACGCGTCGAATTTTCGAGGGCGACTGTCAGTGCACCCCCATTCCGAAAGACTAATGTCTAGAGTTCAGAGCCGTGTTATCGTGGTAACCTTTTCGAAACTTAACTTATAAAATAGGCAACGTATAGTCGGCAGATACGGCTTCATCCACTTCTGATCTCACTTTCCTCATTCAGACGAGTCGCGGACGAGCCGCAAACCAACAGTCTGACAGCTCAGTTATGAGCTTGTGAGCGGGGAAGGTCGCCCTTCACTTGATATACTTATATTGTTGATCGCCCAGCAGGGAGCAAGCAAGAGCCAACAGCCCCAAGCATTTCTTATCTTCGTCCGCGATTCTCCCTTATACTCAAGCTTTTGAACAGGTCCATCATGGCTAGCCACGGACCCACCACCGAGGAACTCAGGCGAATCCAGAGGCGGATCAGCGACATTATGCGCAAATACACGGCGGAGCAGGAAGAACGCCAAACCTTGCTCAATCTTATCCAGAACGTGTCAAGCACCAACATACGACTAATGTCCCAAAAGGTCTCGAAATCGAAGGAGCGCAGACGACAGGAAGAAAGTGCCACCATGGAAGAAAACATTGCGCGGATAAAACAGGATCTCGCTGAAAAGGAGGCGGAGATTGGAAAGCTGTGGATAAAATTGGCCGAGTTACAGGAGCGCGAGAGGGAGTTGACGGCGCGATCTTCAGGAGCGGGCGACTAGGAATAGAGGTCGGGGTCTTGTGCACGGCGGGCTTGACTCGATAGGCGGACTTGCTCCAATGTTTTGTTCGTCATTTCAATAAGTTCTCGGATTTTCTGAGCCCGATGATCCTCGACGAACAGCCCATGTTTCACAAGATATTCGGTGTAGCGTTCAGAGTTCCGCATTTGAAGCTCAGCTCGTTGCGCAAGCGCCTGGTTCTCATCTTTCTCGAAGAAGTCGTTGACCACCGTCTCCCTGCATGCTTTGGATCCGTATACGCGTTCAAAGATGGACATCTGGTATATATTCTGGAGTTTAGAGGGGTGGCGAAAGATTTCCATGATAGGCGACACTTTTTGCACGAATTGATGCTGCACGGCTTCGTCCTGCAATCCCCAATCTTGACAGAGCTGGGTGCAAGCGCTCGATGAGTTCCTCATTTCCATGAGAAGTGTGCGGAATTCCGGAAAAATATCGCGTCGGGGAACACCGGTGCAGAAAAGGAGGGTAGCGGGATCGTGTCCCATAATCCATGGTGGCGGCGTGAACAATTGTAGCGGAATCGTACCGGAAAACTCCCAGTCAATGATTGCGAGAATGTGGAAGTCATCGTCGATGAGGATGTTACCACATCTGAGATCTGGGTGGGCGAGTACGAATGAAGGGCTAGGCTCCTTTAAGTCGATGCACTTGGGGATCTCCTTCAGTAGACTGTCCAACGCGAATTGTTCTATCTTTGTTTGGTTGAAACTGGGCTCCTGGACGGGTTGCTGGATCGTCTCTGACAGAAAGTTGCAATGATAATCTGCAAATTGCGCCGTGGATATGAAAACCCTTGGGGTGGCCAGCGTTGCGAAGCTTCCTTCGACTCCGTTGTCAGTTATTGAAAGGAAGGGGCCAAGTATGGGATTCGCTTCATCGATTGGATTCGGCATCAGCGAGCCTGCCGCAGAAAACTCAAGTTTGCGTAGCTGCCCAAAAACATTGATAAGATCAATATACAGATTCTTCCGTTGCGATTCTGTAGTATGCATCCAAGTATCTATATCAAGTTGCCGCCCGGGGATAAATTCCATAATCATAAATGGCGTTGAAGCGCCTTTCACTAAAGTGTCGTCTTCTCCGTATGCGTGGACGCGAGGGATGCGAATCGTAGTGTTGCTTTCGATATATCTGCGTGGGTGATTTGGTCACTAGAATTCCGTCGAACGGGTTATGATATAGCTCACCGCATCGTAGTCACCTCACTCAAGAGCTTGCCCCATGTATCACGAACCATAGGCACGATTGGGATCCTCAAAACCCACGTCTTTTCGTTGGATTCGAAGCGAACAAAGAAGCAGATATTAAAGCTGCCTTGATTCTCATCAATGATGCTGCAAGCCCCTCCTCCACAATGCTTAGAGGCCACATGGCAGACGGCATCCTTGTCGATCGAGTCAATGAATGCACTGTTCTTGGCTTCGACTTGCTCCTCCGTGAGGGGGAAGAAGATTGAAGCTTCTTGTTCGATCTGAGCACTGGAGACCTGACCGTCTGTGGCAGCGTCGTCTTCCTTGTCCTGGCTTGCTGGTGTCGATAGCAGAGTCGATGGCAGATTGTCCGGGGAGTCAAGTCCAGCTGACTCGCGAGCTCGAAGGCCAAGGAACAGCCTTGTCAAACGTGCGGACAGTGACGTCAATTGTACATAACGAAAGAGAAGTGGCGTACGGCACAGCCGTACGAGATGTGCGGACAATGACGTCCATTGCGCCTGAAAAAAGCGTAGTGTCATGGATGCCATTCTCGTGCTCGGCTGCCTCTGCAGATTGAATGGAGTCGGAAGTGTGGAAAAGGGGCGGCCAATCCCTTTGGCTGTGGAGGAGCCACCTCTAGGTCACGAGATCCAGAGCTACGGAGCTACCTACTCGTGCCCGCCCCACCTTTCTGGATTTAGCTGGTAAAGGCTTGCCGGAATCTAGAAGAGTATTGCTATTAAGTCTTACTATTTACACAGACAAAATTCTCTATTTATATAGAGTTATATAGAGCACCTAAATTTAAAGTACCTTAAAGTTACTTTAAGGTACTGCCTATACTTCCCCTAGCTGCCTGCCTTACCTAGGTACCTACTAAGAAGGCCTCGATTACGAATAAGTGCACCCGAGCACCCGAGTTAGTAAGGGAGGGGTCCCCCTTAGGGAGGGGCCCTACTATAGGGGTTTATCCCCCGCGCGAGGTAAGTGCGACGTATAAGATCGCGACTTTTAAGAGACTTAAAAAATATATAAGGTTAAGTACTAATTACTAAGCGGATCTAGCTACTAATTAAAAGAGAGGATTTTAAGAAATTCTATATAAATAAAGAAATATATCTATATAAATAGTAAGACTTATTACTATTTATATACTAGTATATTACTATTTATATACCTACCTTATTTTTTATAATATATCCTAGTATAAGTCTACTTTACTTATTTATACCGCGCGCGCTTAGTAAGTACCTATACTACTTAAATGCCTATGCCTATACCCGCTTATATAAATATATATACTAAATTTAAAGCTATTACTAATACTATAATTAATAAACTTAGCTATAGCCCGCGGTCTCTTATAGTATTATAATAAGGATTATTAGACCTACCTTTAAAACGCTCTTATAAGGCCTTATAACGGTCCTAAGCTAGCTATAGCTATCGCGAAGCGTAGCCTAATTTCGTAGTTCTTAGGGATATCCCTTAGTAAGAGGGATCTAGGAAGCTAAAAACACCCGGTATAGAAGAAGGAAGAAGGAGCTAAAAGGAGGTATAGAGAAGAGGGTAGGGGTATAAGGGGAAGTAGAAGTAGCGATAGCTTCCTATAGAGGTAGCGAGAGATAAGACGGATATACCGGCAACGGCTAGTAAAGAGGGGAAAAACTAGTAAAAAGCTTAGTAGTTAAGAGGATATTAGTAGCTTCTTTAAGTAAGATCTTCTTTATTAATTAAGATACTAGACGGGTATAAAGAGGAGCGTTAGATAAAGGAAAGAAGGATAATTAAGGTAATATAATAATTACTCCCCTACTATAATTACTGCCCCCGTAAGAATTAAATATCTTTGCCCTGCCTATCTAACCCCTTACTTTTAATTTTACCTTCGTATATTTTTATATACTTCTTATATCTCTCTTTACGATAGTTATAAGCCTAGGAGGAATAGAATTCCTATACCTTCCGGCTACTATAAAAGGCACCTTTCTTATATCCCTCGTAGCTTCCTTTTACCCCTCTTACTAGAAAAGCTAATTTTTAACTAACTTTTCTACCCCCCTCTTTTATAATAATATCGAAAAACGATTCCTCTGCCGCCCCTACGGTCTATAGGACGATTCTTATAGAGCCTTAAGATTAGGATAAGTAGGTAAAGGAGCTACGGGCTCGTATAGATAGAACTATCTATAATTTAGTCTTCTTTAATAAGTAGGACCCTCTTAAGCCCCCTCTTCGTCCTAGGGTAACGGAATTTATAGAGGGAGCTACCCTCTTCTCTAAGCTAACCTCTATATAGTAGAGAGCTTTTTCTACTCCCTTAGGTAACTATAAGAGTTACCGTAAGGAGTACCTTTATAAGATAAAGCTACTAACTACTATATATATAGCGATAACGGAATCCGTTAGTACTATAAAGCTAATCTCTCTTTAGGAAAAAGAGACTCCTAGGTAGTAGCTTTTAAAGCTCGAGACCTTAATAGCTCCCTCGAGGGGCTATATAACTAACCGTATTAGGAAGACCTATACGGCCTACCTAGGAGCCTTTTCTACTAAGAACCTTCTAGCCTCTTCGTAGCTAGCTAAGTAAGAAGAAATCCTTAAGGAAGTTAACTAATACTTCTTAATAAAAGCTCTTTCCGGCTAGTAGCTATAGGATATATCTCTACTAATAAAGCCTATTAGTAACGGTTACTCGACTATCTTCTAAGAAGCTAGCTAAGAACTAAATAAAAAGGCTGCTAGAGTATAATAATAAGTAGTCTTATTCCTTTATAGTTTAATAGGGATAAGGGTATATACCTAAAGCACGCGTAGTATATAGCTAAGGATTAGTAGAGTAATTAACTATATAATTATCTAATTATCGGTCCTATATATAGCTCTAAGGGCCTTAGGTTATAAATATAAGTCTTAGAGATTTCTTTACTTTATGCCTCTTTATCTTTATTAAAGTCGCGTAATTAGCGGCCTCTACTTTAAAGGGGAAAAATAAAAATTTAAATTAACTATAATTAAGGAAGATACCTAATTAGATAATTAAGGTCTTTATAAAGCCTTTAAGTATACTTAGAAGTAAGTTAAAAGGGGAGTACTAAGGGTCTTATCCTTTTAACGGGCTAATATCTATAGGGGTACGATCTTACTTATTAAACTCCTTCTTAGCGACTTTCCGACCTAAGATACTAATAGAAAGGGCGCGATAATAATAGGTAAGGCTCTCTTCCTAAGCACGTAAGTAAGTAAATAAACTATTAATAGAACTTTTCTCCTTTACTATAATCCCTTCCCTTTACGTTATTTATTCCTCCCTTTACCTATAAGCTACTCGTTTAGCTCTTTCTTATCTTTACTCGCGTACTTCCTTCTTTAGATAATTATCTACTACCCTTTATATACGCTCCTAAGTATTCGCGCTTATTATTCCTAAGGGTATTAAGGAAATAAAGTAGTTAGTATCTTTACTAGTCTATAGCTTTAGGTATAGCTAGATTAAATAAGCTATAGAGTCTTAGAGACTAGTTATTATTGCGTTGCTAGTAGTCCTATATAAATATATAGAATTATAGTCGTTAATATCCTAGCGGTAGTTTTAATATATTCCTAGGTTTTTAACTCCTTTAACCTAGGAGGGTTTAAAGCCTAGTATAAACCTTATAGGAACTATAGCTAGAGAGGCTATTACTATAGTTTATTTCTAAGAAGTAATAGGGCGCGCTATAAGCGTTACTAGAGTCTTTAGCCTTAGGGTAATTAACCGAGCGCCTAGTAATTTCGGAGTCTTAAAGCGAGTTAGTAGCCGCGCTATCTACCTTTCTTCTATACTAGCTTCTTATTAGGCTATTAGCGGGGGTATAGTTATAAGTCTTTCGCTCCTTTATATATTTAAAGGGGTTATTAGTAGCGGGCGAGGAGTAGGCCTAATTAGCTATATATTTATTATAGAGTAAGTAAAGGCGTATATATAGGTACCGTTTATAAGATAATATTAATAAGCTATATAGAGCTCTTCTATACGCGGCTAGCCTATATATATATATATAGGATCCGGCCCTCTATACGTAACTATATAGCTTAGGCTATAGCTTAAGCCTATAACCTATAATAGTTAAAGACTCTTATATAATGCCCTCCTTTAAGCGCGGCGCGGCGCTGCCCTATTAACGGCTTCTATACTATTAAGCCTATATCGCTAGCTCTACCTTACCCTTTCCCCGTTAATTATACTAGCCCTACTAGCTTATTATCCCCGCGCCTATTAGCCTAGGTAGCTATAACCTAGCTTTATACTTATTAGCTAGCTAGCTATTTAAATAAGGGCGTAACCTATTATATACGCCCTTAGGTAGCTAGCGGCCGGCCTAGACCTACGTAAGCCTTAGGTTGCCTATCCCCTTAGCCTTAAGCAGCCTCCTTTACTAAGGGGTATATAAAGCGGTATCCCTCCTTCCTCCTTCCCTTTTTTCTTTTCCTTCTTTAACTATAATAGTAGTTATAAGAATATACCCTTATATTCCTATTTTACTAGTAGTAAGAATAAGATCGTTATTTAAAGACTTTTCTTCTATAGAGGGCGAGGGACTTTTATCTCTAGGTTCTCTAGTAGCTTCCTTTATAAGGATATAGCTTTCTAGCTTATCTTTATTTAGAATAAAATTAAAATTAAAGGTATTATTATTACTAGAATTTTCTAGATTTTCTATAAATTTATTTTCTAGTATAGTAATATCTTTAAAGATAGTAAATTCTCTCTTAGAAAAATCCTAGATTTTATATATATTTTCTAAATAGCCTACTATTATTCCCTTAAAAGCTCTATTATTTAGCTTATCTTAAGGGTCTTTATTCTTATAATATATAAGGCTTCTAAAGGTCTTAATTTTATTTAAGGTCTTAAAAGGTAGTATTATATTATCCCTCTTTTCTATAGGACATTTAAATCCTATCGTAGAATATAGTAATCTATAATATAAATAGGTAGCTATTAAAACAGCTTCTCCCTATAGGTATTTAAGAAGCTTAGTAGTAAATAAAAGAGCTCGTACTTTTCCTAATATAGTACGATTTATTCTTTCTATTCTACTATTAGATTCTAGCGTTCTAAGAAGACTAGAATTAAAGGTAATTCCTTCTTTTTTATAGTAGAGCTTTATTTTATATATAAATTCTTTAGCATTATTAGAAAATGCTTCTTTAATCCTAGTATTTTTAGGGTTATTATCTACCCTATTTTTAAATTCTAGGAACCTATTTAAAGCTTCCCCCTTTTTTTAAAGAAGATATATTTCTAGATATTAGGTTCCTACGTCTAGGAAAGAAATATAATAGTAATATTTATTATTAGTAAGCACTTTAATTAGCCCTTAAATATCTAATACTATTTTTTCTAAATAGGAATAAGACTTATATAAAGGTTATTTATTAACCTTATTCGTTGCTTTAGCTTTAATATATATTTCGCACTATCTTATTTTATTTTCCTCTTTTAGAGGTATTTTTATATCTTTATTATA